CATAAAATTTATCTGCTAAATAAAACTTTGAAGAAGCAATCGAATTAGATCCTGAGAATAAATAACTAAAATTAAAAATAGCTAACATTGCTAGAGATAATAAGAATTTTGATTTTGCAATAAAATTATATAATGAATTGATAAATGAAAATGGAAAGATTACTTTATATTACTTGGAAAAAGTTAAGATATATGAAGAATGTAAGGATTATTTGAATGCTAAATTACTATATGACGAAATTATTAACATAAATGAATAAAATTTTGAATATTTTTTAAAAAGATGTAATAATATTTTAAATCATTAGCCAAAATAAAAATTTAATTATAACAATACAGTGAAGCTATCCAAGATTTATATTAAGGAATCAAATTGGATGATTAATAATCAGAATTATATTTTGAACTTGGATAAATATTTTTTATTTAATAATCTTTTTCTGAAGCAACCAATATGTTTCAAAAGGCTTGCACTTTAAATGATAATATAGAAAAATATCATATAAAATATGCAATAGCTTTATAAATGTAATAAGCTGAAGGTGAAGCAGTTTAACATTTGGCATTTATAATATAAAAACATCCAGACTTTGATGACTGTCAAGATGTTTTAGAAAGTATAAATTCTTAATCTCCTCAAAATAAGGAATATATAAAAGTTTTTTCTTATATTCTTATATCAATAATACAAGAAGGAATTATAAATGATAATCAAAATAAATAAGAATTGTAAGATTCAATTAGAATAATATTAGAAAAAAAATTAAAGACTAGAATACCTAAAATTAATTAAATTTTTGATATTGTTTCTTCTTTATTGTGGAAGTTATATGGTTTTAAGATAGTTGATTGGTTAAAGAATTTATAGAAAGTTTCTTTTAAATTGTTTAATAATTTCAAAAATGTTGAAAACTTTATAAAATACATAATTGAAATCTCAAAGAAAATGAATATCTTGAATGATTATAATTACATCTAAAAATATGAACGAGTTATCAAATAAATTGAAATATAAATAGTTAATTTAGAATTATCGAATGAACTCAATGAATATAAAAATAAAATTGCTTGTCTTGCCATTGCTGATTGTTTATATTTGCTTAAGACTTTAATTATCAATTCGGATATAAGCTAATCAGATTTAAAAATTAAGATTGAAGAAGTATTTAAAAACAGTTGTTTATAATACAACAGAAGATAGTGACAAACTGAATACTTTTCATTTTTTATTTACTATTATTTTATATAAAAATTAATAATTATAAATCATCAGGAAAATAGAAAGAATAGAAGCTTGAAAAATCTATCCTAATCCTGAACATTAAGTATACTTGTTGGATTTTTGATCCCATGGCAATAAATTAAAAATTTTACTCTTATAAACTTAAGTTTTCTTACAATACATAAGAGGAAATATATCAATTATTAAACTTTCATAACATCAAATTACATAGAAGAATCTTCACAAAATTTTCAATGTTTTCAATAACTTCATATATAAAGCTACATTTTCATTTGTGTTTTTTACAATAAAAGTTAAAAAAGATTGAAAAATAAATTGTGAAAATTTTTATGAACTCAAATCATAACATCTTAATAATAATCATAATCATTATAAATTTAGTATAAGGTTAAAGTCTATATATCATTAACATTAATGAAATCAAATATTTTATCAAAATGAAATATCTAATAGATTTAATTTTACTTATTATATAGATACATGCTTATTTTTTCATAGATTATTTGAATCCTCTTCTAATAATCTATTTGTACAAAATGACTTAAAAATAATAATAATTTTATAAACTTTTATTAAAATTAATAAATTATTAATCTTATGTTACCCTAGAAAAGCTTGGAAAAGAATAAATAATAGAAATACATTCTTAATTCACCTAAATTATCTGTTGGAATGTTTTCAAATTAACCATCCTTAATTTCTCAATTAATTTCAACCAAAATCAAAGCTAAATAATAATAATTAAGCATATCAAGGACCACATGTGAATTTAGAGCTGTAACTCCGATTTCACCTCCAAAATCTGGGCCTTATTCTCATAAATTTAATTATAATAGTCTTTCTTAACTCTCAAGGGTTAATAGCAATGGCAATTTGGATAATATTCAGTAGGAATTTAATAAACAAGATGAGACTATTCATGAATAAGGAGATGTTAGTATAAGATTAAGAAATAATGAAGAAGATGTATTATAGAAAGTGTAAAAAAATCTAAAACTTATTGGAGAATAAATCTATAAAAAGAAATCTAATTAAATTAATTCTTTTTTATTACTTTCATGGCAAAAACAATTAAATTAAAATTGTGAAAAACTTATTAAAGCTCTTTCTTTACAATTGAATTCTTCTTAAAATTTTTATAAACCTTCTCAACATCGTGAATCTATCATCTAATTATAAAAATAACTTAATGAAGAAAAAAAGAATAGATTACTTGTTGAAGAACAAACTAGTAAAATTATTTAGAGCTAAGAATAATAAATTAAATAATATGTAAACTTTCTACAATAATGTAGATTATGAACATTCAATTGCTTGAAAAAGAACTTAGCCTTTAGCAATGAGTCTCTTTTCTAAAATTAATATATTGATTATAAAATGAAAATAGCATAAATTATATATTTTATTATTTAAGATTCTATGAATCAACTAGATTTAAGTTCAATTACTTTGTTTTAACATAAAGAAGATAAGGATTCTCTTAAATAATCAGATACTCTTATTCCAATTCAACCAAGAAAATTAAGATCGTTTAATTAATTAAGAAATAAAAAGGTTTGCCATTCAATCTAATCCAAAAAAAAAGATTAAGAAGTCTCAATATGCAGTAATGATAGATTTGCTTAGTTTCCAAAAAGTTTTGAATAAAAACACTCTTTTAAATCCATTATGGAGCAGTACTTCTAANATATCATTAACATTAATGAAATCAAATATTTTATCAAAATGAAATATCTAATAGATTTAATTTTACTTATTATATAGATACATGCTTATTTTTTCATAGATTATTTGAATCCTCTTCTAATAATCTATTTGTACAAAATGACTTAAAAATAATAATAATTTTATAAACTTTTATTAAAATTAATAAATTATTAATCTTATGTTACCCTAGAAAAGCTTGGAAAAGAATAAATAATAGAAATACATTCTTAATTCACCTAAATTATCTGTTGGAATGTTTTCAAATTAACCATCCTTAATTTCTCAATTAATTTCAACCAAAATCAAAGCTAAATAATAATAATTAAGCATATCAAGGACCACATGTGAATTTAGAGCTGTAACTCCGATTTCACCTCCAAAATCTGGGCCTTATTCTCATAAATTTAATTATAATAGTCTTTCTTAACTCTCAAGGGTTAATAGCAATGGCAATTTGGATAATATTCAGTAGGAATTTAATAAACAAGATGAGACTATTCATGAATAAGGAGATGTTAGTATAAGATTAAGAAATAATGAAGAAGATGTATTATAGAAAGTGTAAAAAAATCTAAAACTTATTGGAGAATAAATCTATAAAAAGAAATCTAATTAAATTAATTCTTTTTTATTACTTTCATGGCAAAAACAATTAAATTAAAATTGTGAAAAACTTATTAAAGCTCTTTCTTTACAATTGAATTCTTCTTAAAATTTTTATAAACCTTCTCAACATCGTGAATCTATCATCTAATTATAAAAATAACTTAATGAAGAAAAAAAGAATAGATTACTTGTTGAAGAACAAACTAGTAAAATTATTTAGAGCTAAGAATAATAAATTAAATAATATGTAAACTTTCTACAATAATGTAGATTATGAACATTCAATTGCTTGAAAAAGAACTTAGCCTTTAGCAATGAGTCTCTTTTCTAAAATTAATATATTGATTATAAAATGAAAATAGCATAAATTATATATTTTATTATTTAAGATTCTATGAATCAACTAGATTTAAGTTCAATTACTTTGTTTTAACATAAAGAAGATAAGGATTCTCTTAAATAATCAGATACTCTTATTCCAATTCAACCAAGAAAATTAAGATCGTTTAATTAATTAAGAAATAAAAAGGTTTGCCATTCAATCTAATCCAAAAAAAAAGATTAAGAAGTCTCAATATGCAGTAATGATAGATTTGCTTAGTTTCCAAAAAGTTTTGAATAAAAACACTCTTTTAAATCCATTATGGAGCAGTACTTCTAATAATTAAATTAAAAAAAAAAAAAACCAAGATAAAACTCAGAAAAAACTACTAGAATGAGAAATTATTCCAATTATATTGATGTTTCCAATCTGAAAAACCCCAAAAAGTCTGGAAATGAGATTCTTATTCAAGACTTTAGTAATAACTCTAATAGATAAATAAAATTATCGGATATGTGCAAAGACATAATGATCTATAACCCTCTAAAAAATTAATCTTCCTATTTTCCAAAATTAAAATTTCACTTTCATATTAAATGAAATATTTATTCTCGTTCTAAAAATTAATAATAATGTTAATAAAATATATATTTAATCAAATGAATTATTACTGCACTCATTATCTTCTCTTTTATGAAAAAGTGTTTATATAACTTTTAATTATTGGATTATTATTTTAATAACTTTGAAAATAAGATCTAAATGGTATAGAATCCATATATATTCATATTTATTGATATATTTAGGACTTTGATAGGGTATACATCTAAATAAGGAGAATCTAATCATCTTAATAAAGTTTCAATTGTAATAACTTCTCCTTAATTCTAGATTATTTAATATAATTTTATTAACATCATCTTTGAAACTTAGATAATTTTATATTTTTATTAAAGAAAAATTAATCTAGTGATTATTAAATGAATTTCTAATACAAATGTGATATTTCAAATATTTTCGAAATCCCAATAAAATACTATAAATATGAAACTATTTTTCATCAAATCATGTATAATTAAGTTATTAACTCATAGAATTTGATAAATTAACTTAATTATTGTTATTACTTTAAGTTTAAATTTTCTAGGTGATTTTCTTGGTAAATCGCAATTATCATCTCTATATTGTAATTTATTTCCATAGTTTTTAGATTTCTGTATCTACTTCATGCATTAATCTTTTTTTTTTTGATTTTCCAGCATTTAAATAGTGTCTTCAGATAATTAATCCAAATTTTTATGTTGTCAATAACTTTGTTTAACATTTAAGATTTAAGATTGATATTTCTCTTAGATCTTTTTTCTTATTTATAATTATTTTTAAAGATCTTAATCAAGATCAGGAAAGCCTTTTTTGTCTGAATGTTGAAATTAGTTTTTACATTATATTTTTCTATACTAATTAAACAATTAGGAATAGTACATTTTTTCTAATTAAACTGAAGCATATTTCTTTAAACCTAGATATCAGATATAATATAAATTGGAATCAAACTATGATCCATAAAATTCTTAACCAAAATTGAACTCATTGACCAATTCACTTTATGAACCATTTAGAAATTAAATCATTTTTTAGATGGCCAATATTGATTATACATTTTGTCGATCTCAAATTACATTTTTATAAATAATGAATAATCATAGTACTTAATTTGAGATTTTACCAAAACTGATTACTAATCAAAACAAATTACTAGATCCGATGTATATAAGAAATACATAATTACGTCATTCTTAGTATCTTAATAAATATAATAGTTTTAGAGATGAATCCAAAATCTTACCTCATATATAAAGAAGATCTATGATGTAAGGTAATTCTAAGTAAATGGTTGTTTAAAGTATTAATTGAATCCATTAAAAAGGATTTATGTATAGCTTTGATTACAATACCAGGCATTTTGGAACAACCTGTGATAGAGGCTTTTAAGGATTATCTAGCTATCATTTATCATAAAAATTTGGAAATTTTGGTACAAAATTATAACCTTTGGAGAAGAACATTATTGCTGATCTAACTGATGGAGAAGATGTAGAAGAAATAAAAAAAGATGAAAGATTGTTTTTTAAGAAAATATACAAATATAATTAAATGCCTGTTTTGGCTTTAATAAAATCTTTTGAAATTGATTGGATCAAGGAGAAAGACTCTTAAATAAATAGGAAGTTGTCAAAAAGTTTGATCTTAAATTTTTAAACAACCCTTTCAATATTGAATACTCACAATGATTTCATTGATTTTTTTATGAAAAATTTATAACTGTTAGAATTAAATACAGTTGCTTTAAAACATAAAGGATTATAGAATTTAAAAACTAAAGTTAATAAATTTTCTAGTGAAGAATTTTCAGGAACTTATTTAATTATATAAAATAATTCTGGACAAGGATATTTTAAGATTCATTTTCCAATTATTGAAATTTATTTTTAGGAATATTAATATGTTTAAACTATTAATTTATCGCCAATGAAATTATTTGAATTATAAAGCAATAATTTTTTTTAAGTAGCTGATATTGTTTAAGACATAAAAATAGATTTTTCTCTCCTAAAATAAAAGCTAATATAAGAAACTGAAAATCTAATTAATTCAGAATAAAAAATTGAAGAGAAGGAATAACCTCAAATACAAAAATCTGATTAAATTGAAACACAAAATATAATAGAATCTGAATAAAAGGTTTAAATAACAAGATTAAAAAATTCAGAATTGGCAATAATTATAAGGGAAAGTATTATTATTTTTAAGTATAGAAAAAAGTGAATTTCCAGAAAAGATTTTAAGTAAAAGAATGATTAAATAAGTTGCTTAAAAAGATGATAAATGCTTCTTTTGTGTAGATTTTTTACCAATTCAATTTATTATTAAAGAAAAAGTTTCATAAAAAACAATTAAATTGTACTCTCCAAATTTTTAAGAATTTAATGAATTTCTAACTTAATTAGGATAGAAAAATATAAAATAAGTAATGGATGAATTTTTAATTACTACATTTGATTTAAAGCCAGAAGATTTTGATTACAAAGAGTTTAAAAAAGGGGCAAAAATATATTTAAATTTTTCATAATTTTCAGAATTAAATTAAGAAATAACTGAAGAACATATTAATAATGGTTTACTATCTGTTTTTGTAAAAGAAATAGAAATAAATAACAAAGATTTATAAATAATTATGGAGTAATGAAAAAATATCAATAATATTAGACCTTGTACATTTGGAATATACAATTAATTAACTTGTGGAACTGAGAAGAGAGTTTGTACATCTAAAGAACTTACGAGTATATTATAGAAAAAATATTAAGTTAAATTTTAACTTATATGATGGAATATTTTTATATATATAAATAAGGTTTTTTGTTTTTTAATTTATGAAGTTATTCTGAAAGAGGATTTTAGTTTTTAAATGATGAAAAATAAAGAGAATGATGAATATCTAATTATCCTGTTTATATTTGTATAGTTGAATGAAATAATGAGAATAATATTTACTTACGAATAACACATAGTTATTCAAATTTTTAGCTCCAAAAGTTAATTTAAAAATATTAAATATTTAAACATAAAATGCAGACTGAAAGCGAAGAGCCATCATAGTTGATAATTAACAGAATAATATTGGATAATTTTAAAAGTTATTATGGACATTTAGAGATTGGTCCATTTCATCATTAATTTACAAGCATAGTTGGGCCAAATGGTTCTGGGAAATCAAACTTAATAGAATCATTACTCTTTGTCTTTGGTAAGAAGGCTTCATGGATGCGTCTATAGAAAATTCATTAATTAATACATAATTCTGCTGAACATAGAGATGTAAAGAAAGCCTCTGTTGAAGTTTAATTTATAGAATAGAGCGGGAATAATCGAAGTCATTTTAGTGTAAAGAGAACAGTTCATCATACAGGATAATCAAATTATGATATAAATAATAAACACGCTACTTTAGAAGAGGTGACAACATTATTGAAATCAAAGGGAATAGATCTTACAAATAATAGATTTCTTATATTATAAGGAGAAGTTGAATAAATTTCATTGATGAAACCAAAATCAGGAGATTAAGAAAAGCCAGGATTATTGGAGTATCTTGAAGACATAATTGGAAGTAATCAATATCAAGAATAGATTGATAAAATGACAGAAGAATATTTATAATTAGATGTATAGAGAAGAGAAAAGGGAGAAATGATGAGAGTAGTTGAAATGGATCTTGAAAAATTAGAGCCAGGAAAGGATAAAGCTGTAGAATTAGTTAGAAATGAAATAAAGAATTCATAATTGTAAAATGTTTAATAATAAATTGCTAATTATAAAGTATAGACTTAAATAAGTAAATGTAAAGAGAATATTACTTAAATTGATGAAAATTTAAAAATTACAGCATAAGAATCTAAGGATAAAGTCAAAGATCATGCAGATACTTTAAAATTAATGAAAATAGCATAAGATAAAGTTTAAAAAACTAGATAAAAACATTAATCAATTAAAGCTAAAGTTGAGGAGTTGTAAGCAAAAGATACACAAAATAGAGAAGAAATTAATAATTTAACTTCATAATAAAATAGGTTTAAAAAGAAATTAGATGAATTAGATTAAGAAAGGAGTAAATGTATAGATGAAGTTGAAGATTTAAAAAAAGAAATTCCAGTATAAGAAAAATCTATAAAGACTTTAAAATAAGAAAAAGAAGAATTAGAAGAAATAGTATAAAAAATGAATTAATAACATTAATAAGAAGTTAGAAAATTAGTAGATAAGAAGTCTAATTTATAAAATATAATATCAGAACCAACATTATAAAGAAATCAATATGCAAAAGATTTAGAAATAACTAAAAATAAATTAAATTAATTAAGATCTCCTGAAACAGATGGAGGAAAAGGTATTTAAAGTAGTTTAAGTGATTGTGACAATAGTATTATGTAACTTAAAGAAATAGTAAAAACACTAAATTAAACAATTGATGAAATAAAAAATAGAGAAAAAATGTAAATAGAGAAATAGACACAATTAAAAAAGGAACTTAAATAGAATGAAGAATAATTATAAGAAGTTCAATAATAAATAGATGGATTTTCAATTTAATAAAATTAATAGAATGAATAGAATGCAACAATTAGAGCAATTATGACAGCTGCATAATAAGGTTAATTAAAAGGAGTGATTGGTAGAATTGGTGATTTAGCATATATTGATTAAAAATATGATATTGCTATATCTACTGCATGTGGAAAAGGATTTGATTCAATTTTAGTTGAAAATTAATAAGCTGCAGAAGCTTGTGTAAATTTTTTAAAATCAAATAGAATAGGTAGATATACATTTGTGTCTTTGGATGTTGTTAATAAAATGATTAATCAAGATATGATGTAGAAGAGAGCTTAAAATCCTAATTAAACTGAAAGATTATTTGATTTAATATAGGTTAAAAAATAAGAATATTAAGCAGTAATATTTAAAATTGTAGGTTAAACACTTGTATGTGAAAATATTGATTTAGCTAGAAAATTAAAATTTGAATAAAAAAATCCAAATAGATTTGTAACACTTGATGGAAAATTAATTGAAGCTAATGGTGTAATGAGTGGAGGTGGATAATAAAGAAGAGGTGCTTTAAGTGCAAATAATAAAAAATAAGATTTAAATCTCTCTAAAAATAATTAAAATTAATTAGAAGCCATGTTAAAATAATTTTAATAAAACAGATAGTTATTTGAATAATAATTAATTAAAGTAGATCATGACTTATAAACTTTGATTAAAGATGGAAAAATAATATAAGAAAAATTAGATTAAGCTTCTTAAGATTTAAAATTTTAATAAGATTTAAAATAAGATTTATAATAGAAATTAGAAAATGTAAAAAAATTAGAATAAGAAAGATCTGATATTGAAAAGTAGAGAAAGGAATATGAAAAGTAAATTTTAAATCATTAAGGCAATATTGATAATATTGATAAAAAAATATCTAAAGAAAAGAAATAATTAGAATAAATTGAATAAGAAATATCTGAGTCTGAAAATAAAGAACTGAAATAAAATAAAGAAAAATTGTCATAGTTGACAGTGAAATTTGATAAAGATGATGGAGAATTTAAAAAAATGTAAACTAGATTAGTTTTTTTGGAGAAAAAATAGAAGACATTAGATAAAGATGAAATAAAAATTAAAGAAGATTTAGAAAAAATAGAATAGAAAATTAATTAGATAAATTAAGAATTTAAAAATGCTGAAGTTTAGATGATTGAAGCATTTGCTTTACTAAAAATCACTTTAGAAGATTAGAAAAATGCAGAGAATGATTATAAGGAAACTTAAGCTAAGAATAAAGAATTTGATGAATTAATAACAAGATTGAAAGAGAAAACTAATAAATTGAAATAAGAAAAGGAGGAATGTATTTCTGCTATGAAAAAAGCATAAGATGAATTAAGTGAAGGATTAACAAAATTAGAATAAATAAGATTGAATTATAAGGAGATGTAAAATGATTATGAATTTTTGAATGAATTAGAAGAGATAGCCAATTGGAGATTATAAGAGTAATAATAATAATAATAATTTCCTTTAACAACAGCAAATTAGAATTAATCGATGTTAAATATCAGCGTAATATTTAAATTTATAATAGTTTATTGATTAAGGAGATGAATCATTTGATGATGGACGAAAGAGAGGAGCAACTTTAGCAATAGACTTAAAGGCAATTTTAGAGATATCAGTTACATAAGAATTAACAGAGGAATAAACAATTTAATTTTGTCCAATAGAGAAAGAGATTGGGAGAGTTCATGCACATATATAAGCTTAAATAAGAGAAATTACAAAGGATGCAAATATAAAAGATATTTAAGAATTTAAAATAAAGTATTTGGAATACAAGGCAAAAAAGAGTGACTTTGATTAGACAAAGCAATAATTATAATAATAAAAATAAAAGATTGATTAATTAAAAAAGGAAAGATATGATTTATTTATGCATGGATTCAATGTAATAGGATCAAAATTAAGAGAGACTTATCAAACATTAACAAATGGAGGGGATGCTGAATTAGAATTAGTAGATACTATGGATCCATTTAGTGAAGGTATAAGTTTTAGTGTAAGACCAAAGAATAAATCTTGGAAATAGATGTCTAAATTATCAGGAGGAGAAAAGACATTATCTTCATTATCATTAATATTTGCACTACATTATTATAAACCTACACCATTATATTTCTTTGATGAAGTGGATGCAGCTTTAGATTATAAAAATGTTTCTATAGTTGCCAATTTTATAAAAGACAGAACAAAAAATGCTTAGTTTATTGTGATCAGTTTACGTAACAATATGTTTGAATTAGCTAATAAATTAGTAAGTTTTTATAATATAATATTAAGATTGGCATATATAAAACATTTGACACAACCAAGACTATATAAATTTAACCAGAATTAGTGTAGATGAAAATAAATTCTTATAATGAAAACAATGAAAATATTAATTAAAATAGATGATGATTTGCTTTTGAATATTCATATACCATTATTATTTTCTAGAAATTTATCTAAAGCTCCTGAAGTTTTAGATTTACCCTATTAATTTTATGTTTGACTAGCTTTCTTTTTTTAATGATGAATGGCTAAACAACTTAGAAATTGTAATTCTTGATTCTCTTTGATTACAGTTACTCGAGAATTATTAGATATGATTACTCAAATCATCTTCTTTTATTGTTTTTCTTTAGTCTTGTTTAATTTGATCCTTTACTTTGTTTAATAGAAGTTCCCCAAATTCTTCAATAGCTTTCAACATATATTGATAAGCTTCTGGTTTAAATTATGGTTTCTATTCATCTTCTTTTAAAATAGTTTTTAATCTAGATAAAGGAAAGAATGCTGATAATAAATTAAATACACAATTTTACTTTCTGGAGCTGCTAATTTATTTTATTAAACTTATTCTTTCAATTATCTAGCTTTTTCTTAATATCTCTTGAATATTAGATATTAATTACTATTCTTTATAATCTTGAGGTAATTCTTTCCACATTTAACTAAGAACTTGAAGTGAAAATTTGCCATCTTCTTTCTTATCCTTCATAAATAATTGATAGGCAGATAATTATTAAACAACTGGTTTTATAGGTGTTGGCTATTTTGAATTAATGCTATCATCAATAGTAATGACTTTCTCTCCTGATTAAAGTATTTACTTTTTCATTTTCCGCGTAATTTTATAAATTAATTTTTTAAAATGTCATCTCTACTTCACTTGAAATTAGATGGAATCAGAAGTTATTGTCATGTAGGCTAAGTTAAAGATAATAATAGAAAAGCAGCATAACAATCTTAATCTATATTTTTTAAATAACCTCTCACTCTTATTTGGGGTCATAATGGGAGTGGAAAGACAGTAATAATTTATGATTAAAATAGACAATTATTGAAGCTTTAAGGACTATTACTACTGGAATGTAGCCTCCAAATTCTGAGAAGTATTCAATTTTACTATTTCCTTAGAGGCAGAAGTTTCTTAACTGATAGTCATTTACTTGGATAAAGTAAGACCGATGCTTGTATTGAACTTGGTTTTAAGTCAATTAATAATCGTGAGATTGTTGCTCGTAAACATTTTAGTATTGTATATGATTCTCCTAATTCTTGTAAATTTTCCTCACTAAGATCTACCCTATAAACTAAATCATTAGAGACTGATAAATTAGAAACATTGCATTCCACTTGTGCCAATATTGAAAAATAAATTCCTTGCTTTCTAGGTGTCTCTATTCCTATTCTAAATAATGTTCTTTTATGTCATTAAGAAGAGCAACTCTGGATGTTTAGTGATAACTCTACTCTTAAAGGAATTTTCGATGAACTATTTGAAACTACTGATTTAGTTAATATTGAGATTAAATTGAGGGAATAACTTAAAGAAGCTGAAAGCAAGGCAAAAATACTCATGGAAAAAGTTGAATTCTCCAAAAGAGACATGGATGATGGGCAACGTTAAAGATCCAATCTTTAGAATTAATTAGAAGAAAAATATAAAGAAATTAAAGTTATACAAGAAATTAATTAATAAATTAACTTAATCTAAATTTCAAATATCGATTTCAATATCATTTAGTAAAAAATGAGTGAATATGCTGATTTAATTGCTTACAGAAATTCAATCCAAGAAAATAAAATTCTATTATAATTAGATCATATTGATTTAAATCAATTATCATAATATGATTATGTGATTACCACTATGAAGTCATTAGAGATTGACTTAAGAACTACTTAAGAAATTCTTAAATCTAGTGAAATTAATTTAGAAAATAAAAAAATAGAATTACAGGACCTTTAAATTGATACTTCTATAGAAACATTAAAATAAGAAATTAAATTAATTAGAGATTCTGTTAAATCTATATTTATGTTTTAAAATAATATTTCTGATGAAAATTTATTAAAATTAGTTAAAGAAAAAATCAATCAAACTAAAATCGATTTGTAATAAGAGTAATAAAAATAACAACAAATGTAGTCCAATTTTTAAACTAAAATCTCTAACTTAAATGAGAAAAGATAAAAGTATTTCATTGAAGTTAAAATAAATGAAACATAAAGAAATGAATAGCTTAAATTAAAAGATCAAATCTCGAAAGATATTAAAAATAAAGAAATGCTCTTATAATAATTAAATTTCCAAAAAAAATAAGCTGAATAATTAGAAGTTCAAATAAAAGAAAAATAAAAATTCAAATCAGAATTTGAATAAATTAATTAAGATCTTATTGATTGTTATGATATTACATAGAAAAATTAATAAATTAGTTCTTACTAAGAATTAGTTAAGAAAATTTCTGATCTAGAAGAAAACATCTCATCAAAAACTACAAAAATAGATCTATTAATTAGAGAAAATGGCTGGAGGGCTATGATTAAAATAAATGGATCTAAATTAGAAAGAGATATTTCAATTTCAAAATGTGAAGAATCTATTAAACAAAAGATTTAATAAATTAAAACTTAAATGGCAAAAGATTAAGCTTAAATTAAATTTTTAAACGATCAAAAGGATGAATTAAAAACTTTACTATCTATAAATAAAGCAATTAAATATGATCCATCAGAATTAGATAATTTAAAAAAACAACTCAGAGAAGTTAAAGAAAACAAAATAAAATATATATTCAATTAAACAGAATTCATTGATTAATATGTATGTATCGATAATTATTAAGATTGCTAGTTCCAGACAATCTGGAAAATGTTTACTATGTTTAAAACCTACAGATTAAAGTTGTTTTGATTTGCTAAAGCATCGAGTATAACAAAACTTACCAAAAACGAAATCTAAAATTAATGAATTTGAATTATAAATCAACAGTCTAAAAGCTGAAAAAGATAAGATTTAATAGGGAATGCAAAACAATTAACATTTAGAAAAAATTAAATAATTAGATTCTCAGATAGCAGAGATTTAAGCAAGTTAGAGAGATTCTGTTGTTGGTGATACGTTAATGTAATTGGAAAAAAATCTTTAAGATATTACGGTATTAAGATAATTGTTTGGAAATGAAGAAGAAAACCAAAAGGAATTATTATTAATTTAAAAAATTTCACTTGAAAGAGAAAATCCATATTTAAAAGGATCTCTTAAATTATCAAATAATCCTTATAATTAAATTTAACTTTAAAGAGCTAAATCAGAAATTTAAAACAAATTAAAATAATATGAAGGTTTAACTGAAAATTATGAGAATCCTAAATAAATATAAGATAATATTTTAAGAGTTTAAACAGAATTAAATTAACTTAAATTATAAAATTAAAAAATAGTTGTTTTAGAACTTGATGATAAATCCGTTGAAATTTATGAGATTGAATCTCTATTAAATAAATTAGAACTAGAATAAAATTAATAAAATGATCAATATATGGAGTTAATTTTATTTTAGAAACAACTTCTAAATAATTTAGAATCAATTCAACCTTAATTTGAATAAAAAATATTAAAGAAATAAGACTTAATGAATAAAAGTAAGAATAATTATAAATACGCTGATTATATTCAAAAGTTATAGTTAGAGATTTAAGGGGAGATGGATAAAATTAAGTAACTAGAATTAGAAATTTAGCAAAAATAACAGAAACTAAAATAATATTAAGAATTATAAGATTACATCTAGAAACTGTAAAAATGGCAGAACTTTGAGGAAGCAGAAGAGAAACTAAATTAATAAATAGAAGTTGTACAATAAGAAATTTAAAATCTCTAAAATGAATATCAATAATAATAAATAAATATAACAAAAAAGGATAAATTAAAATTAGAATATGATTTAAGAAAGTCAAAGTTAGAATAAAGTTTTTAAACATCTTTGGATTAAAAAAAAGATATAAATAAAAGATATGATGGAACAGAGCAAAAAAGACTTGAATTATTATGCGAATTGGTGGCAAATTAATAATTTATTAGTGATTTAAGGAAATATTTATCAATTTTAGAGTCTACAATGTTAGAATGTCATGGTTAGAAGATGAAAGAAATAAATAAATTTTTGTTTGATACTTGGCAAGTAAATATATAATAATATAATTTAGAAAATTTATAATGGATAAGATATTAAATTTATAGAAGTAAAATTTGATGAAATTCCAAATTAGAAGAAAATATCGAAAAAGTACAATTACAGATTAGTAATGAGAACAATGAATAATACAGAAATAGATATGAAAGGCAGATGTTCTATGGGTTAAAAGATGCTTGCATCAATTGTTTTTAGAATGGCTTTGGCTGAATGTTTTGGTAGTAATTGTTGTTTTTTGGCTTTAGACGAGCCAACTTCAAATTTAGATAGGAAACATATAAAAAGTAATAAATATTTAAATAAAATAGCACTGGCTGAATAACTTAATTCATTAATAGAACTGATGAAATAACATGAATAATAAATATAGTTGATTATAATTACTCATGATATGGATTTAGTGAAATTATTAAAAATGCATGCTGATTCATATTACATGATAAGTAAGAAAGAAAATGGTTTTTCATGTATAGAAGAAAGAAAAATCGAGGAGCTTAAATGAAAAACTATTTGAAATTAATTCATCACTTTTTATAAATTATGCAATATATTTGATATGCTATATAATAATCTGATTATAAAATGATGACTCATTATAAAAATTAATCAGCATAAAACTATTAAAAAAATGTCGAAAGAAGTATTTATGTTAGTTAAAATGAAAGTAACTTTTGAAAAGATTTGATTAAGTGTCAAAGTCTTTAGAACAATTTGATTTATATGAATAAAACGAGTTTTCAATACCTAGCACTTAATAGTATGTTTTAGTACTATACTTAGATACTCTGAGGAATGTTATGAAGCATTTTAGAAGATTTATTAGACAAGCTAAGTTCCTTAACTTTAAACAATTCCAGAAGATGAAAAGGAGTTTTACATTTTAAATAGAGATACAGGACTTATGATAGATTGTCGAAAATTAGATTATTACACAGTACCAAAAGCAGATTCGAAGGAAGTGGCTTGGAAAAATTACTGGAAACATAGTAGAGAGATAAGTGAGCTACTACTATAATTAATCTAATCAAATGAAAATAATAAAGTGTATGAACTACTAGCTCATCCATAATTCTATGTAGATATAAATATCAGGTAGAAGTAATATTATATAAAATAGAGATTTAGATGACTGGACTCCTCTTCATTTTGCTTGTCAATAAAATAACACTGAAATAGTTCAATTATTATTGCATTAGTAAGCAAATCCAAAATTACTTTCTTTGAATAGAAAGACACCATTACATATTGCAGCAGTGAAGAATAATCCAATAATTTGTGAATTGTTAATAAATTTTGGAGCTGATATTGATGCTTAAGATTCCGATTAAAATACACCATTACATATTGCTTCATTACATGGAAATGATTAGGCTTGTAAAATATTGATTGAGAAAAATGCAAATACTAATTTGAAAAATTATTAGCATTTAACTCCTATAGAAGTAACTTCAGATATTAGAATTATTGAAATTTTTAATTCATTCGGAATCTCGCTTAATAATTTTACTTATACAAGAACTGTTGTGAAGGAATAAAATTTAGTTTTACATAATAGTCGAAGAGATCATGTATAAAAAATATTGAAGTTAGCTTAATAATAATAAAAAGGAATTATTGATCAAGAGATTAAATAAGAATAATTAGGATTAATAAATAATGAATAATAAGAATAATCTCTAAATAATTTTGAAATTAATTAAAATAGAACTACTTGGGGTAAAATTATGGATTTTGCTGTCTCCTTTTCTCGAATCTCAATCAAAGGTAATAGATAAACAATAAATCCAGAATCTGAAAAAAATAAGATAGGTCCATCTTCATTTTAATTTTATTAAAAATTAGGAGAAGGAGGATTTGGTTAAGTATTTTTAGTTGAAAAAATTGGTTAAGAACCCAAAAAATATTATGCAATGAAAATTTTAAAGAAAGAAGATATAGATACTTCTAATATTATAAAATCTGCATAAATAGAAAAAGATGTTTTAAAGATTATGAATCATCCATTTATTGTTAAATTGAATTATGCATTCTAAACATTAGATCATTTGTATCTTGTAATGGATTTGTGTTCTGGAGGAGATTTGGCAACCCATTTAGAATTAGTTAACAATTTTCCAGAACATATTGTAAAAATATATGCAGCAGAAATTACATTAGCTTTGGAAGCATTGCATAAATAAGGAATAATTTTTAGAGATCTTAAACCTGAAAATATAGTATTAGATAAAGATGGACATGCTCATTTAACAGATTTTGGTTTATCAAAATAAGGAATTGATGAGGAAATTTTGAATCAATCTTTTTGTGGGACTTTAGCTTATTTAGCTCCAGAAATGTTAATGAAAAAAGGACATGGTCGTTAAGTAGACTGGTATATGTTAGGAATATTTATTTATGAATTGCTAGTAGGGGCACCACCTTATTATGATGCTGAAAAGGAAATTTTAAAAGAAAATATTAAAAGAGCACCTCTTAAATTACCAAGATATCTAAGTTAAGAAGCTAAAGATATAATTATTTAATTACTGATAAGAGATCCTAAACGTAGATTAGGATGTTAGGAAGATGCCAAAGAAATTAAGAATCATCCATGGTTTAATGATATTAATTGGTTAGATTGTTATAATAAAAAATTATAGCCTCCTAAACCACTTATATGTCATGAACCTAAAGAAGCTAAGAAAGTTACTTTTAGCAAAAATAGTAACAGAAACAAATTAAATGACTGGACCTTTTTTGAAAATTGAGTTAAATTGTACTCAACTTCCCTTATATAAAGATATGTAAAAATAATTTATTTTTATATAAGAATTATCACATTAATTATTATAAAATTTGAAATCAAAGGTATAATAACTAATAAACATTGTTATTCTTAAAATTATATAACTTTTACATCCCTACTCAATATTTTGAAACGATCCATCTATTTCTTACAATTATTTTAATATCTAGCAAGTTAATTTTGATATAATGAAGCATATTTAAATATAATGATTTTTAATGCATAAAAGACTAGATTTTGGAAAAATTGGTAACTTAGAACATAAGTATGTATGATCCAATTTATCATTACCACAATAGCAATCATATTAATTATTCTTTCAACTTTAACATTTCTCCTTTATATATCGGACACTTATATGTTAACATCACAACAAGTTTTTTAATAATAGTTTGGTAAATGGACCAAAATCATTATGTCTCATCAAAACCAAAGAGTTTAATAAACTTTATTCAGAAGCTAACAACAAATATTAAGAGTTGATAAATTATATCAATTTACTCAGTAATTACACTATTCTAATTTTTCATAACCTTATCCATGTTTAAATGATCTAAACTTTATGGATGAATATGCCTATAGTACTTCGTTTTGTTATTTAACATATGGTATCAATCATTAAAATGCAATGTATAAAAAGCTCAAAGATCTTTGTAGCATTTTGACTGAAACAGTTTTAATGATTGATTCTGATTTCGATATCATGTTTGCATCAACATAAGATGTTCATTTTTTTACAGTTTGGCCAGGTTCATATTTGGGATTTGATTATAATCCTTAAAAAAGAATTTGGTACACAAACCATTTAGAATAATTGTCCAAAAATAATAAAAATCTTACTTATTTTTGTGAACCTCATATTCATTGGACATGGTAACTTTTAATGATTGCTTAAACTAAAAGTTTACTGAATATTGATGGATCATTAGATGGAATAATAGCCTCTCATGTAAATTTCAGTTAGTTTAAACATTATGATGATGGACTCAGTTTTACTATAATAAATCCTGATGGAAGAATTTTATTGAGTGAATTAAATATTTCAGAAACTTCTTATATCTATGATTATAATTTAACTCATTTAGATTTTTAAGATTATTAATAAATAATTAATTAAGCTAATAAACGTGAAACATTTAGTAATTGTGATTCAAATGTTTGGAATGATTTTGGCTATTTATGTAGAAAAATATAAAATTCAACTGAAGAATAACTTATCAATACAAAAATTATGAAAAATGAAGGCTTGGTCTTAATTATGTAAATTATTTAATATATGTAATATAGATAGTGTAAATTATCATAATATTAGAAATCATTTTAATAAATGTTTGTAACCTTTTAAAATGGAATATAATCTATTTTTTTAGGGACAATAATTGGTTCATTAGGATACATGTTCTCATCTGTCTTAATTACAAGTATTGTAATTATCATCTTATTCAACCCAATAATAAGAATAATAAATTAAACTTCTCAATATGTATTTAAGGAAAGTTTTTATATGCAGCATAAATTATAAAAAAAACCATAACTGCAATTTTTTCAGAAATCTAAATCAAATACCTTGATGGAAAGATTATAGACTTCATTCAATAGATTGATCCATAGATCACTTAATCCAAATAAATCATTGTAGTGTTTATGGATTGAATAATTTAGATATCCTTTCAAAAGATAAAAATTAAAGAAGAGAATAAAAAAAATCTCAAAATCAAATTCTTAAATAAAAAATAATCTCTAAAATGAAGAAATTGCAGATTAGTAAATTTTATTTGTGTAACAACTAATTAAAAATGATCAGCTTCAATGAAGTACTCAAATTGATTTGTTTATATATTTAACATTATACTCAATGCATATAACCATCATGATCAATATAATAATGTGAGAAAAATGCACCAATAAAAATGGCTCCAAATAAGAGTCCACTTAATTAATGATTTGGTAAGAAATGGCCAGTATTAATAAAGCCTAAGAACATAGCAAATAACATAGGGAAACTCCACCATCCAAAAACAGGCCAAATAGCTATGGTTAGACTAAATTTAAAAACATAAAATATACGTTATAAAACTCATAAATCCAGCAAAAGCACCTAATTATATAGCTTTTGGATTATATGTTTCTATATCTTCAGTAATTCCTTTTATACATGGTAAATAAAATGCAACATATAATGATAAACTTATGCTCATGCCAATAAATAATAATGCAAATGTGAGAAATAGTCTAATTTGATTTTTTTTGATTACTCATTGATATTTTCATTGTGAAACAATTATTTAAAAAAGTTTGAATAATAAACAATAGCAACTGCTGCTGATATCCACAATATAGCCTAAGCTTTAACCCAAAGCCATTCTCCCCATTATTCAATTTTATCATAGATATCTAACTGTTTAATAATTTTAGGTTATCTAGTAGAATCTTCTTCTACATTTTACACGGGTACATACCTTCTCATATTATATTTTATTAAAATAATCAAGTTTTGCTAATTTATATCTAATAAGAACCATAATGAAAAAAAAAATAATGTTCATTGTGCCTCCACAGTCAAAATTAAATACTACTGATAGTGAAGAAACTAAAGAAGGATGTTAATGTTAAAAAACAAATTGTCTAAAATTATACTGTTAATGTTTTCATGAAGGCAAATGTTGTGGTTAATAATGTGGTTGTAGTGATTGTAAAAATAGTTTAAATGATAATTTTGAAAGAAATAAGGCTATTGTGAAGATTATTCATAAATATAAGAATGAATATATATCAAAATTATCAGGAGATAAAGGTTAAGGTTGTTGTTGTAAAAAAAGCAAATGCAAACTCAACTATTGTGAATGTTTTGTTAAAGGCAGATCTTGTGGTGAGTAATGTCATTGCAAAAAATGTGAAAATGGAAAAAAATAATATAAATAAAATTGCAGTAATCAAGAGGAAAAGATTTAAAATATTCTATAATATCAATCCACCTGAAATAAGTCATCAATATTTAATAATTTNCTCAAATTGATTTGTTTATATATTTAACATTATACTCAATGCATATAACCATCATGATCAATATAATAATGTGAGAAAAATGCACCAATAAAAATGGCTCCAAATAAGAGTCCACTTAATTAATGATTTGGTAAGAAATGGCCAGTATTAATAAAGCCTAAGAACATAGCAAATAACATAGGGAAACTCCACCATCCAAAAACAGGCCAAATAGCTATGGTTAGACTAAATTTAAAAACATAAAATATACGTTATAAAACTCATAAATCCAGCAAAAGCACCTAATTATATAGCTTTTGGATTATATGTTTCTATATCTTCAGTAATTCCTTTTATACATGGTAAATAAAATGCAACATATAATGATAAACTTATGCTCATGCCAATAAATAATAATGCAAATGTGAGAAATAGTCTAATTTGATTTTTTTTGATTACTCATTGATATTTTCATTGTGAAACAATTATTTAAAAAAGTTTGAATAATAAACAATAGCAACTGCTGCTGATATCCACAATATAGCCTAAGCTTTAACCCAAAGCCATTCTCCCCATTATTCAATTTTATCATAGATATCTAACTGTTTAATAATTTTAGGTTATCTAGTAGAATCTTCTTCTACATTTTACACGGGTACATACCTTCTCATATTATATTTTATTAAAATAATCAAGTTTTGCTAATTTATATCTAATAAGAACCATAATGAAAAAAAAAATAATGTTCATTGTGCCTCCACAGTCAAAATTAAATACTACTGATAGTGAAGAAACTAAAGAAGGATGTTAATGTTAAAAAACAAATTGTCTAAAATTATACTGTTAATGTTTTCATGAAGGCAAATGTTGTGGTTAATAATGTGGTTGTAGTGATTGTAAAAATAGTTTAAATGATAATTTTGAAAGAAATAAGGCTATTGTGAAGATTATTCATAAATATAAGAATGAATATATATCAAAATTATCAGGAGATAAAGGTTAAGGTTGTTGTTGTAAAAAAAGCAAATGCAAACTCAACTATTGTGAATGTTTTGTTAAAGGCAGATCTTGTGGTGAGTAATGTCATTGCAAAAAATGTGAAAATGGAAAAAAATAATATAAATAAAATTGCAGTAATCAAGAGGAAAAGATTTAAAATATTCTATAATATCAATCCACCTGAAATAAGTCATCAATATTTAATAATTTAAATCTCTTTTATTTAATCATCTTTGAACCATTCTATTTATGTAGATAATCCATGGTATCTTTTCAAATATAGAAGCCAAATTTTGATAATTTTAATTCTTGTTAAAAGGATTAATTTTTATTTTTATTTATTGATCTTAATTTTGACTAAAAATGAACATCTTTTTCAATGTTTAGGAATTATCTATAAGAAAATAAATTTTATTATTATTTAATAAATTATTAACTTTTTTAAATAAACTATATAATACTATTCATTGTAGAGCTTATTCAAATAAGGATACCTAATATATTATATGTGCTAAAATAGTTAATTTATTCGAAGTTGAATATTAATAATGAAAACTTGATTCAAAAAGAAACAATCTAGAATCTATATTGATTTTAATTTCAAAGTCAAATGATAAATCAATGAATCATCTAAATAGCATTCATAAATGGTTAAAGATATAAATTTATCTAATATAAAACCCAATCAAAAATAAGATAAATCAGATGACTATATATTTCTACATAATCAAATTATTTACCCTAAATATTTAGATTTACTTCATCCAATTAATCTTGTCTTTTTTAAGATTAGCAGTAATTAATTTTTCAATTTTTATCATTTTGCTTTTAATAATTCTTTATCATTCACAAATATCAAAATTAGAGAGATATTTTTTTTGGGATCTAATTAAATTATTGAACATAGAAATAGAAAAGTTTCTTTTAAATATATCTGCTATTCATAATAACAAAGTAAAAAATTTCTTGATGAACTTATCTAACTTTATTTTTTTTTAATTTATATTTACATTTTTTGACAATAAAGGTTTTGTTAATAAAATTTCTTTAATATTTGCTCCAGATTTAACAATTTATTAGATTTCATTAATTAAGGTTGAATAATTGGTAAACTTTTTGAAATTTTCATCAAAGATTTACAAAAAAAATTTGTAGATTTTTTTTAGACAAATAAATCAAAAAGTTTTGTATGGAATCAAATACAAAATTTTGAATATTTTAATTTATAATCATTAATACTCACTTTGGTTTAAAGTATTATCCAAGTTCTTTATTAATATATTCTGAATATGCTCTTATTGTATTAATTAAATGAATGTCTAATTGTGTTTGTTTTTTTCTTTTTGAATCCTTTATCATATTCAAATTCTCTTCACACCACGATATTAACTTTTTGAAGATAGTAAAATTCTAAAATATGCATAAAAATTCACATCATAAAGTGTTTATCCAAGCTATTTAAATTTTTAAGGCAGCTCTTTTGGATACTTATGTTTTAACAGAGCTATTATTATTGATGTATTTCTTAATCTCTCAGAAATTATTGTCAAAGTATTATCATTCTAACCCAATTAAACTATTTGTGGTGCCAATAAAATTACATTAATCTACTATAATCTAAACATTCCTCTAAGCCAATAAATGAATATTATTTAGAGTTTATGTAATTTATTCAATAGTATTTTATTTCTGCATATTTGAATAAAATTCAATTGCCATCTCATCAGGATCATTATAGTATTTCATCTTCTTATCATAGGAAACCTAATTTATTATTATGGCCTACTTTAAATAAATAAAATTTAATGATGATGAGAATCAAAAAGCAAGTACCAACAACTATATATTCCCACATAATTATTGATTATTTTACTTTAATATAAATTAATTATAATTATTATTATTTTTTTTCTAAATAATTTTACTTTTTTAAAAAATTAATTTTATTTCATTTCAAACATTCAACGAAATCAAAATTCAAATATTGAATAATTTTAGTTACAGAGAATAATTTTGAGGCAAATGTGTATAATAAACTATTTAATAATTATAACAATATATATTGATTTATTCTTCCATAAGAAGTAATTAAATAATGAATTCTCATTTTTATATAAAGAAAAATTTAAACAGAAGTTGTTATTTTTTCTTTTAAGTAAATAAAAAATATATCAAGAAAATGCTTCTTTCTTTATTATATTGATTTAAGAAAAGAAATTGAAATATTCAAGATAATACAAAATAATTTATTCATTTTAGAATTCATTTGATATCGAAATCAAATTTCTACTTTCTTATCAACTAATTAATGTATATTTAAGTTTAATCTGAATGAATTATGACTATGATGAATCTGTTGATGATTATGATAATGATGATGATGATTATTATTATTATGATTATTAATATCGCAAGATTAAACATTGTATGTATGAAAGAGAGATATTGGGCTAAGTATCTCTCTAAGCGAAAAAGGAGATTATGGATCACTGTGATATTGTTTATGTTCTAAATAAACAATTTTATGCTTTTTTGATTCATAATAATCTTGCTACTTTTAAGTTGGATCTGTAATTTGGAGCTATAATTTATCGAGATATTCAAATATTTGCTCTTCCTTAAAATTCATAATGAATCTTTATTAAAATTTATAATAATACAATTATTTTGCTTTTTTAAAATTAGAATATTTATTATAGAGTCAAAATTAAATGAAATCATTATTATAATTGTTATATCATGTTTAAACAATGACTTTAGCTTTATAAAAATTCTTCAAATAGTTAATCAGAAGGTACATTTTATTCGTTTTCATAATATGAAAGAGTTTTTTTCAAAATAGAAATTTATTCATTAGCATTATCTAACTGATTTCTTAAAGTTTCATTCTGTTGATAAATCACTTTAAGTTTTTTAAATTCTTCAGTACTAAATAATTATTAATTAAATATTTCCTAAAAAAAATAATAATAAAAATTACTTATTTAATTTATTCGAGAATTCCTTAAGATAATTAATTGTTTGATTAAAAACAACTTGTTGATCTACTTTATTTTGTGGACTTTAATTTAGTATTTTCATTTTATAATGTTTCAATCAAAAGTGTTAATTTATTATTTTCTTCTAATAATTATCTTAATTTGAGTTCCAATTCTGGATTTTCATCAAATTTTCTTTAACTTAGTTTTTATCCATTATTATTTTCACTAACTTTCTTTTTATGGAGTTAAAATTCAAGTTCTTAGATTTTCATTTTACTTTTCAATAATTCAGATTCATGTGTTACTTATTACTTTGAATTTTTTTCAAATTCTGCAAAGTTATCATGCCATTATTTAATTTCTATTTAAATAATTAGATAAAATACCTTCTTTTTAACTCTATATTGTTTTTTCAGATATTTTGATTTTTTCTTTAAGTTTTTTAATTTCTGAATCTTATTGCTAAATTAATTAATCTTTTTTATCTGTTGAATCCTAGATATTTTTAACTAAAATATTCAATCTTTCATTTTCTTATATTACTAACATGATTTAAGATTCCATTTATAACATTGAATCTTAAGGATCTTATGTGCAGACTTTTTAATATTTTTATTTCCATTATTCAATTTCTAAAGCTTAATCATCAATAACTTTTTCTAGACTTTCAATTTTAACCTTAATAAAATCTAATTATTGACTTTCATGTGTAGATGACTAATGCTATTTCAATTCATTCTTAGTTTATTCTAATGCTTAAGACAAGTACATATTATCATTTATTAACTATTGTATTCTTGTGTTATCTTAGACAATCACAGATCTATTTTCTTAATAGCATTTTCCAGATTATTATTATTATTTACCATTAGGTGTAAAAGCATTAGATTATCTAACTTCAGCTTAATGATTATTAACTATCAATCTTAAAGCATTCTAAGAAACTATTTATCTTTATGGTGTGCTAGGAGCATCTTAATAATGACTACTCAATCTTATTGCACTATTAAAGGGACTCAATGATTGAACTTAACCATTTTGAAGTACAACCTATTTTGTTTTTTAGGTCGAGTTGGTTCTGATCATTCAAAATTAAATATAACGATAATTATAAATAATTAAATATATATGCAAACAACATTATACTTAAGTTTTATTCAAATTCATAAACATTTAGTACTATTACTTAATATCTCCAAAAAATAATATCTAACTCTAGAATCTTTTTAATAAACTTCCTAATCATTAAATGACATTCTTAAACAAATTAAAACATTAATGTATATGAATAAAATTGATGCTCATCTCACTAAAATCAAATAAATTAACACAGAAACTAATAGAGTACCAAATAAATAAAACAAGAGTTCTGTGCTTTAGAACATAAAATATTAGGAATCATGAACAAAACAATTAAATAAATGATTTATTCATTTATTTTTTTCTTCTATTTTTTTTCTGTCTAATTTTTACTTATCTTTATTTAAATTTATATTATACTACATATTATTACTTAGCTGAATTATTGAAAAACTGAAATTAAAATTCAATTAATAAGAGATTCAAAGTCTTTTTTTTTATTATAATTAAAGACTAAAAAATTCAAATTATTGGAATAAAATGATGACGAAAGAAAACTAAACTAAGAAGCTCAATATAAAATTGTTAATTTTAGAAAGAATACTTTAGTTATATTATTTTTCAAGTTTCAAGGAGTATCAACAATTTATTATTCTCATATTGGGAGAAATTTAATATCTAACATTTCTATGGGTCCCTCATTATTAGTCTTATTAAATTGGATTTTATGACACTTCAATAAATTATCAAGCTTTTACTATTTATTTTACTCGAATAGATTAATTGATTTACTTTTAATTTGGCAGATCTTAAGCACTTTATTTGGTGGCGCTAATAACTTAAATAATTTTTTTTTTGATACCTATCATTTTATTAATTGTTGTAAAACATAGACAATAAATCTTTTAATATACAATTTTTAGATTATACTTTAACCTTAGTTCTATTTATTGTTAAATATTTTTGATTACTTTTATTGTTCCCTTTTTAATTTTTTGCTTAGATTCTCTTTTAATAATTGTAGAAACCTAAAATTTATTAAACTATATTCATATCATTTTTATTTGCTTGTCTTTAGGATTAATGTTATTAATTGCAATATTTATTTCTATTTTATGTAAAGAAACAATCGATTTAAAAAAGGATAGATTTTAAAAATTAAATTAAACATTTTTAGATTATGTTAACTTAATTCTTTAAGTCTTATAAGTAATAGTTTATGCGATTATTAATTCATAAAATAATGCTTTGATATTGTAATGTATCTTAACTTTAACAATTTCTTTTATCAAAATATTTCAGATTTATTAATTTTAATACACAAATAATAAAATTATCAGCATTATTTTAAGTATATCTTCATTTGGACTTATTCAATCAATAGTAAATCTGATCAATACAATAAATAATATGTAATATACAGAATACATGAATTCTATTATTATATTATTAGTAGTAGCTTTATCTAAAATTTTAATTGCAATTTTTACTTTTTAAGAAAACATTATGTGCAATAATATAATGTCATTAAAACAATAATTGCCAGTAAAGTATTTCTTTACTAAATTAATAAATGATCATTTTAATGAGAATCAAAAAAAAGTTCTTAATGCAATAATTGTTAGTAGTTTATCAAAATTATAAGATTAAGATCTTGATGAAATATATTTATATAATAATGATTATAGTTTTCTTTCTCCAAATAATATGGATCAATTTGTGACTAAAAAATTAAAGTAATATGCCAAAATTGTTTAAAAAAATAAAGGATATGATTTACACTATATTGCAATGCTCTATAAATATGGATTAACTAATTTAGCTTTAAATCAAATAAACAACTTATTAAATTCTATGTTTAATAAATCTAAAAGCTAAGGATTTATGATTGAAAGTGACAATTATAGTAAAGGATAAGAAAGTTCAAGTAGATAAATTCATCATTTAACAATCTCTAGTAAATCAATGAAATCAAATTCAGATGATGTTAATGATTTAGCTAAAAAAGATTCTTCATAAAGGAGTAAATTAATGATATAAGGAAAGCATTAACTTTCATAAATCGAAATTTCTCGTGCTTTATAATTAAAAAATTAAATTAAAAGTGATATATAATTGAGATTTTATGAAAATAATAAATCTAAGAATTAAATTAATGATATTCAACTTGGAGTGGAATTATTTTTAAAAAATGAAAAACGTAATTAAAGTCTAAAGAATACTATACTCATTTTAATAAATGAAAAAATAAAATTTTTATCTGAATTTACAAATAAGAAAATTCTTGATTCTGGTAAAATCTTTGATTTGGCTAAAAATATAAGCAATCGGCAAATTAAAGTGGAAAATAAGATTTTTTAAAGATACTAATAATTTCCCAGTAAAAAAATTTAATCAATTCTAATATTCTATTAAGCAGAAGTTTTAAACAATTATATAGAAGCTTATAAATTTAAAACATTAACATCTATGCCTGATGAATAATTAATAAATATGGATTCTAATATTAAATCCACATTTTTTACAAAGAAGGTTGTATTTTTAAATATAGCATTAGAAGATAATTAAACATTATCTGTGCAACGAAAGTCAGAAAATGCTTTGAAGTTTTTTTAAATACATCCTGAAGATGCAAAATATTTTACAAATATTGAATTTATTTTACCATTAGGTATATAGAATGAACATAATCTGTTAGTTTCTAGATTTATATAAACAAGCAAATCAAAATTTTATCTTAATTCTTATTAAACATTTTTTCGTTATAAGAATATTTTAATGAAATCATGTTAGTTTATTTTCGATATTCATTTTGATAGTGTGAGTCATTACAAATTCTCTGCTTTTTTTTCTGAAAGTGTAAATTAATCAGCCTACATTTTGGTTGATATAAACAATTAAATAGGGGGAATAACAGAAAGTTTTTTTGAAAAAATAGGTTTTAACGAGAAATATATATCTTTAATAAATTCATTTGAAAACTTTTCTTTGCCAATAGAGTTAATACTACCAAATTTTTAAAAGTTGACTGATTAAAAAATTTAGAGTGCGATTACTGAATTAAGATTTGTTAAAGAAGTATTTATAAATAGAGAAGATTATGAGAAGAAGCAATAAAGATAATAATCTTTAACATCTGGAAATTGGTCTCAATTATAAAAATTGTATATATTTGATGCAGAATTAATTATATCATATTTTGAAATATATGGATATTACTATTATATGATAGAAATAAAAGATTTAAAATAATAATTCAATTCAAAAAAATCTGTAGGATTATCAAGTAGAAGTAAAGTATAAGAAGGTTTAGAACATTTTTTTGAATTATCAGATTTATCTGAAAATGAAGCAGTAGCTAATTCTCCAAAAATATTTAAAGCAGTTAATTCTATAAAATTAAATGAAGAAATGATAAATTCAGGTGATGAAATAGAACTATTAAAAAATTAATTTACTAAACCTATATAGAAATTATAGCCAGATTATATTACATTTTAAGAACCAAATATTTTAAGTCCTAATGTAAGTAATACACCTTGGTAAGATTCATCATAAATTCCTTTGCAATTTAATAATTAATAGTTTCAACAATAAGATTATTTTAATAAATAAAAAGATATTTCAATATCAATGAATGAATCAAAAGTAATTAATTAAGATGAATTAGATGAAGATATAGATAAAATGGCAAGTAGGAAAAATGTAGATGAAGAGTTCATAAAAAGAAAAAAATTAGGATAAATAGAAGAACAATCTTCATCTAATAATGCTCTTAAAGGAATAAAAAAATCATTGTTTTATAAAAAATATGAAATGATTGTTTAGCATGCAGAACCAATATATCCAAATACTTTAAAATTATTTGTACTTTTTTAAGAATTAACATATTTTTTAACATTAACTTATTTTTTTATTATTTTGATAGGTGTTTAGAATGATTTAAAAAGATTTATTGGAGAAATTGATATGATACAATTACATGCAGGTATAATGAACCCACATGATTTATATTTGTAAATGAGATAAACAATATTTACATATTAAGGATTCTTGGCAGCAGGAAAACTTACTTAAGATCAATATTAATAATTAACTAATCCATTATATGAAAATATTGCTATTGGATATTTTGAATTTAAAGAGGGATTTATTTATTGGTTAAGTAATGATTATTTAACACCATTTTTTAAAGATAAAAATATAACTGCATATTATATGTTAAATGATGCTACAAAAACCTATCCAATTGAATAAAACATTCGAGAAGCATTAATGGCTACTTTATCATATTATTATCAATTTAAATTAAGATTTGAAGCTCGTCTAAGTCCAGCTAATCAAACCTATCAAATTTATCAATTTGCTAATGTTTACAATTTCCATTTTTGGCTTGAAGATTTGACTTTAGAAGTTTTAGAATATTCAAAAAGTAGATGCAATGAAACTAGTGATAAATGGAATCTAATTTTGATTATTTTTTTATTTATAGGAGTTTGTCCTCTATTAGGAAGTATCTACTACTATAGGTTATATAGATCAAAATTTGATAAATATACTAATTTATTTAAGTATTGTTCTTCTTATAAAATGGATCTAGAAATTGAAAAGTTAAAATCAATCGTAAAAATTATTAATAAGAATTCAGAAAATCTATTTAATTATTCATTCTCTTTAGAGATTAAAGAAGATAGCATTTAAAAAGAAAAATAGAGGAGTGATCATGATCAACTCAAAGCTAAAGATATAAAATTATAATAACAATTGAAAAACTTATCTTTTTTCTCAGGGTTTTTCTTCATCATTTTTGGATGGTTAATATTTTTAGGATTAAGCATTATAGCAAACATATAAATAGCAGATTATTTTAATAAATATTCATCGACTGCAGATACATATAAGTTATTATAAGATATGACATTATATGCAGGCACTCTATTTAGAAATAGAGATTTTGGTCTAAATTTTCCAAATTTACCTTATTTAAGAGATTACGATAAAGAGAAATTCTATGTAACAATTAATACAGGTTTAGATACTATAAGCTAATTTTTAGAATTTTCTTACACTTTTGATACTGAAAAATATTAAGTATCACAAGATTTTTTAGATTTTTTCCTTAAAATCTAATAAAATAATGTTTGTACAAGTATTGGTGATGAGAATTTAGGATTTCTAACACAATATTGTGAAAAATCTCTTTAAGGATCTTTAACTTAAGGATTAACTTAAACATTAAAATTTATTTATTCAACCATAACAGTTTAAATGGCTATGAACAATTTTACTAAAAGAATAGAATATAATTGGTATGAGAATGAAGGTGGATTGATAGTTATGAGAGCAACATAAATTATGAGCAAATAGTTTAAAGTAGGAATGGTTAATGTTACAAATTAATAGATTTAAATTTCAAATGTAAATATTAAAACTAATAAAATTTTTAGATCATTTCAATAATTTATTTGATTTATTCTATTCTTCTAATGATATATTTGGTATAATATTTATTACCAAAATTACAAAAAGAGTTACATTTAGTTCGAAGGTTTATTTTGTTAATTCCAACATCAGTATTATTCTTAGATGATTAATTTGATCGTCATGTAAGAATAATTATTGCTGGCTAAGAGTATTGATAATTAAACAATTTGTATACATTCATGTTGTTTATTCAATTTTATATTACACATTCAAATTAATTACTTTTTAATTGTCATCATAAATGAATCCAGAGTTGATATATTTTTAGATAATATTGTAGATTAAGGAATATTTTATATTAAAATGAATCTTAACACATTCAAATTTCATAAATTTAGAATTAAGAAGACGAAATCAATGATATCATTGTATCTGAAAATAAAGTTTACATGTAGCTCTCTTTTTAATTAAAATATGCTATCAATATATCATAATATAATTAAATATGGCAGAGGGCATAAAAAAATATGGGAAATCTTTTCTTCCTTACAATTCTCTAATAGGAAGATCATAAAATTTAAAATCTGATGCTTCTTTTGATCCTGTTTAATAATTGGTTGTTGAACCTAAAGTTCCAGATTAATAAGGAGACGCAATCTAATTAATTACAGGAGACATCCCATAAATCTAAAAAATTATTCAAACATAATCCCAATAAAATTAAAGAGTAGTCTCGAAATTATCTTATGATGGAGGGATTGAGTTATTAAAGGATAAGTAAAAATATATAGAACTACTTATCACAAATTCTCTTGAAAGCAAATTGCTTTAAAGACCACTCATATTATTCCCAGCCTAACAGTAATATTTAAATTAACTTGGTACATTAATAAGTTAATCACCTAATGGCTCTTTTTGTCCATTTTTAAATATAAATTAAAAAGAAAAGCAGCAGTTGCACTAAAATTTAGAACAATAACTCAATACATCAAATATTTGTCATAATACTTGTCAATAAAACAATTATTCTAAACAATAAACTATTCTTAAGCCAAAAGCAATCAAATAAGATTTGCATTTTAAAAAGGAAGAAATAAATTTTCTGAATTTAGAAGAATCTTGTTAAAGCGAAGTTATAAAATAGGAGGAAAGCAGTTGGAATGAACTTCCATAACCTCATTTGATTAAAAAGTACAATAAAAAACTATTATCAAATGATAGTTCTGAATCATTTAAAATCATAAGAAAGAAAAAAGAAAAAAAAATTAATGATACCAAGAACATTACAAAGAATTTTTCGAAAGCAATTATCTCATATATCATAAATAATCCTGATTTACTTAAATAATTCTTCTCAAACAAATAATATGATGACTTTTTGCTTTTACTTAAAAATAAAAAAAATCAAATGACCAATATAAAATAATTAAGAGATCTTTGGATTGATGGAGGAAAATTTTCTGAATTTAATAAAGTCTTTCGAATTATAAGGTATATATTGTATGTAATAATAAAAGTTAATACTTTTTAAAGAATCAGTCAGTAGCTTACGTTTATAATTCTAGAATTTCTNTATCATTGTATCTGAAAATAAAGTTTACATGTAGCTCTCTTTTTAATTAAAATATGCTATCAATATATCATAATATAATTAAATATGGCAGAGGGCATAAAAAAATATGGGAAATCTTTTCTTCCTTACAATTCTCTAATAGGAAGATCATAAAATTTAAAATCTGATGCTTCTTTTGATCCTGTTTAATAATTGGTTGTTGAACCTAAAGTTCCAGATTAATAAGGAGACGCAATCTAATTAATTACAGGAGACATCCCATAAATCTAAAAAATTATTCAAACATAATCCCAATAAAATTAAAGAGTAGTCTCGAAATTATCTTATGATGGAGGGATTGAGTTATTAAAGGATAAGTAAAAATATATAGAACTACTTATCACAAATTCTCTTGAAAGCAAATTGCTTTAAAGACCACTCATATTATTCCCAGCCTAACAGTAATATTTAAATTAACTTGGTACATTAATAAGTTAATCACCTAATGGCTCTTTTTGTCCATTTTTAAATATAAATTAAAAAGAAAAGCAGCAGTTGCACTAAAATTTAGAACAATAACTCAATACATCAAATATTTGTCATAATACTTGTCAATAAAACAATTATTCTAAACAATAAACTATTCTTAAGCCAAAAGCAATCAAATAAGATTTGCATTTTAAAAAGGAAGAAATAAATTTTCTGAATTTAGAAGAATCTTGTTAAAGCGAAGTTATAAAATAGGAGGAAAGCAGTTGGAATGAACTTCCATAACCTCATTTGATTAAAAAGTACAATAAAAAACTATTATCAAATGATAGTTCTGAATCATTTAAAATCATAAGAAAGAAAAAAGAAAAAAAAATTAATGATACCAAGAACATTACAAAGAATTTTTCGAAAGCAATTATCTCATATATCATAAATAATCCTGATTTACTTAAATAATTCTTCTCAAACAAATAATATGATGACTTTTTGCTTTTACTTAAAAATAAAAAAAATCAAATGACCAATATAAAATAATTAAGAGATCTTTGGATTGATGGAGGAAAATTTTCTGAATTTAATAAAGTCTTTCGAATTATAAGGTATATATTGTATGTAATAATAAAAGTTAATACTTTTTAAAGAATCAGTCAGTAGCTTACGTTTATAATTCTAGAATTTCTAATACTATATGGCATCTCAAGTATAGACAAAATCTATTGAGAGCTTTAAAAGAGCCTGAAAATTTTAGATTTATAAAAGATTTATGATTAAATTGTTTGTTGCCAAATTCAAATATAGCCAATATTATACAGATAAGATATTCATTATTTTTTTTAATTTCTTAGACTATTTAATTGATTAACAATCAATAATGAGATAAAAGATTGAGGACCAGATCTAAAGAATAAACCTCCTAATCCTTTATTAAAACTTAAAAGCCTTCTGATTTAAAGATTAATTTAATGGTATGGAAACAACCTTAATAAACAGTTGGATTTCTATAAATAAATTTTAAATTATTATTTTATCGAATTATTAATTAAAATATCTAGTCAAAGCCACTTCAATAGGACAAGTTAATAAAACATAACCATAAAGTTGCATTTGCACTACCAAACATATTTAATTCAGTTTAATTTTTGATCCATTATTATCCATGTTCTTTAGTAAAATCAAAAACAGGTAATTAAATTGTTGATCCTAATCCAGTTCTGAGTGCCATTATTGATGATCCAGCATACAATCTCTTTAATCAATATAAGTATTCTATTAAATTTACTTTTCTTATTTATAAATTTAAAATATTGCATCAATTAATCCTGAATAATGATATCTATTCCCACATAGTAAATCATTTGTTTACAGCATTAATCTTGTTTTGATCATATTAAATGGACTGGACACAAAACTTAATCTTCATACTTGATATTTTTCAATATTCGAAAAACCTTTACATACCCATAAGAATTGTATAAGTATAAATATTTATTTGCAATATCGTTTACAATCTCATAGGTACCAAATCTCAATCCATTCATTATAACCTACAATACTAAAGCAGCCTATAATCCTTTTTAAACTCCAAACAATCCTTCTGATTATGATGTTTTCATTAATGTATTTATTACTCCAGAATAAGTTGTTTTAAAATGATCTTCAGCTACAAGTTCTCCTTATGCTTATAATCTTGTTTTTGCTAAATCAAATGGATTTGTTATAAGAATTGTAGTAGCTCTAGCTATTGCTCCATTCAATACTGCATCCATTATTAATTTTAATAAATTCGTTAATGAAAAGTGATAAAGAAATATTATTTACACTCAGAAAATTCAAAGAAGCAAAAATTGAATTAAAAAAATATTTAAATTGGATAGAACAAATTAAAGTAACAATCTAAAATCTATATATAGTTAGAAATTGCTTTGGCAGCATAATCAGAAAGACGAACAAATTATAATTATAGAATACAGGGTTTTGATACTAATAAACTCAAACAGGGTAATTATCCTACAAATGAATCTTTGACAGAAGAAGTTCAAGTTAAATGCAATTAAATGACATTTTAATCATAAAAATAAGAATTGAATCAAGAAAATGTTAGAGAATTTATTGATAAGTATGAAAAAATGCTGGTTTAATAAGAACAGCAATAGCAAATTAATCAAAATTCGGGTTAAACATTATTAATAAATAGAGATTCCAAACAATTTGGAAATAGTACTATAGAAGAAATGTTTAAACTATCTTAATCTTAATAAGAATCATTATAATAGAATTAATTAAGTTATGATACTTCTAATTTTGGGAATGATTAAATTGGGAAGAAGAGATAGGATGATAATCTATTTAATAATTTATAAAATTATTCAAAAGAGTATGAATAAGAATAGAGTTTAGAATCATCTAAATGTTTTAAAGATTATATGATGATATAAGAGAAAGTAGTAATGAATTAAAATCAAAATAAACAACAATAGAAAAAATCTTTTGAATAGTTTTATTAAGAACATGTAGAAGAGGAAATAAATACTATATAAAATGAAATAGAAGAAATGTAAAAGTAATAATTATAAATTAACAATAGATTTCTTTAGCGAGTATAAACTGCAAAAGATAAACTAACAAATAGTTTTAAAGATTTTCAATAAATTCCTGTTATTAATAGATAAAGTAGTGAGAACTCTGTCTAAAAAGTAACAGAAGATCTCAAACTAATTGATATTATAAAATAAAATATGATTAAACAAATGGAAAATAACGTAGATTAAGATAAACTAAAAAAACTGAGAAACATGAAGCATTAAATTTAATTATACTTTAATAATGTAGAAGATGAATTACTAAAAATTAATGAAGAAACCTCTATTGTTTAATGATTTATTTATTTTTTTTCATTTTAAACTTACTATTTAAATTATATCTGAGATAAATGAAACCATATTAATTTGAATAATATTTAATTCTAATTCATGTGTTGTGGAGATAATGAAAATAAAAGCCCTTAAAAATAAGCTTTAAAGACTAAATAAAACTAGCAGGGATAGAAAAAGGATGTAAAGGTTGTTATGCTGGGAGATAAAGCTGTAGGTAAAAGTTCTTTAGCCTCAAGATTTTGTTTTGATAAGGTAAGAGGATTCATATTAATATAGTTTTAATCTGAGTATGAAATAACAATTGGTGGAGTTTATAATAGTGTTGATATGGCTGTTAAAGGTAAGATTTGGCTCTTTTAATTTTTAGGATAACAATTAAAAATTCATTTGTGGGATACAGCAGGAGAGGAAAAATTTAAATCTCTTTTATCATTATATTATAGAGATGCTAATGCTGCAATTATTGTTTATGATATTACTTAAATAGAAACATTTAATTCAATATAAGGATGGCTTACAGAATTGGATGATAAAATATAGAAAGATGGTTGTTAATATTATTATTAAAAGGCATGGTATTGGCATTAGTCGGAAATAAATGTGACTGTTTAGAATCTGATAGAAAAGTACCAAAATAAAAGGCCTCTGAATTTGCCAAAACTCATGGAATGATTTTTTATGAAACATCTGCAAAAACAGGAGAAGGAGTTAAACCAATGTTTACATAATTGATAGAGTAATATGCCTAAGATAAATTATGATTTTATTGATATTAATAATTAATATTCTTATCTATACATAAAAGTAGTCAATAATAAATTACCTAAATATGAAAACTTATAAATTTAATTTCAATTTAATATTTGTTATTTTAAAGATTTTACTGCAGATGCAGATAATTTTTCTATCTTATACAATTTTAGAATATTAAGGTTGAATTTCAGATTTAATTTAAATTCTTGAACTACTGATAAATTTTGACATTTTTTCTCTTATTTATTTTCTTAATATTTCCTTTCAATATCATATGTAATAAATTAGGACTTTTATATCTATTCGATTTCACCTTCTTCTTATATAAATTTATTGATCATATAAACAACCGAATTTAATAAATTTTATATGTATTTCCAATTATGATATGTATATATTTGCTGATTATCAAAATAACTATTTAGAAGTTCTATATAATATCATCACACATTACCTAATCAATATGTATTAATTTTATATATAATTATAAATACTTTAATATATCTTCTAAATAAAGTATTTAGAACTGTGAAACTATTCTGAATAATTTTCTGGTTCATCATTAATATAATTTGCACATGAAATCTTTTTAATTAAACCTTTATTTAAAAAAAATTGAATCAAATGAAGATTTTATGAATTATAAAAATCCAATCTTCTAAAAGATAAGCTAAAATCAATTAAAAAAGATGTTTATGCAATAATTAGTGTTATAATATTTATTTAATTTCGAAGAAAAATGAAAAATAGTTATAGAACAATAAAATGTACAATATTATAAATTTCAACATAAATAAAATATTCATGAAAATTATTAATAAAAATATTAGAGTATTTGAATTAAGATAGATAAAGTGGATTGAAATTAACGAAGATTAGATATCTTAATAAAAATAATATAAAATATAATGATCCAATATATTCTATTGCCATTAGAATATTATGGAGCATTAAAATTTTTATATTTTTTAACAATATAATTTAATTCATATATATAATTATTTAAATAATGTAAAAATAAACAACTTTAACAGATTTTACAATTTTATAAAAATTGGGAGAAGGTTCTTTTGGATAGGTTTACAAAGTATTTATAACATATATATCTATTGGTTAAACGAAATAGTGATAATTAAGAATATGCCATGAAAAAGGTTCGAATGGGTAATCTTAAATTAAGAGAGAGGGAAAATGCATTAAATGAAATAAGAATTTTAGCATCAATATAAGATTAGAACATAATAGGGTATAAAGAAGCATTTTTTGATGAGTAATCAAATTGTTTATGTGTTATAATGGAATATGCATCTGGAGGAGATATAGCAAAATTAATATAAAATTCAATTCGTAAACACACACTAATTGAAGAAAAAGAAATATGGAAAGCTTTAATACATATGACAAGAGGTTTAAAAGTGCTGCATAAAGCTGGAATTCTGCATAGAGATTTAAAAAGTGCAAATGTTTTTAAATCATCAAATGGAATCTATAAATTAGGTGATATGAATGTTAGTAAAGTATCACATGGTGCTATGGCAAAAACACAAACAGGAACTCCATGTATTATATTTTAATTATATAAGATTATGCTAGTCCAGAAGTATGGAGAGATTAACCATATTCAAATCCTTCAGATGTTTGGTCATTAGGATGTGTTATTTATGAAATGGCAACTCTTAAACCACCTTTTAGAGCAACAGATCTTAAAAGTTTGTTTAGAAAAATATCAGCTGGTATCTATGAAAAAATACCAAAATAATATTCATAAGAATTAAATTTTATCATTGCTTCTCTTTTAAAAGTGCCACCATAATTAAGACCTACTTGTGAATAAATCTTGAATGATTTAACTATTAAGAAATATATTGATGAACTTGAACCATAACCATATTCTCCATAATAATAAAAATTAGCTAAAGCTCAATTATTATAAACTATTCTATTACCTAAAAATTTAAAATAGTTATAGTAAAAATTACCTAAACCTATGTATGATATTGATTAACCTATTCAATAATTACATAACCAACCCAAATCTACCAGGTCAGTATCAGTAAATGAATAAAAATATACTGAAAGACCTAAAAGTCAAACTCCTTAATGTTAAAAAAAATAACCTAATGTTATTTCCAATTAACAAATACAAAGGCCTGTAATTTTTTATATATATACTCAAATAGAAAATTCCTTTGGCTCCAGTTAAATTATAACAACCTGCATAAATCATCAATAATCCTTAATCACATAGACCTAAAGAACGTCCTGTCTCTGCTATGAGAGCTTAAAGTCCATGTTCAGTTCGAAAAAGTGTTGATTAAAAATAAAATAGAAATCCCAGTCCTTTAGTTAGAAAATCAAATCCTTATATTAAAAACAATGATGAAAATATCAACGCCAACATTATCAAGAAAAGAAATAATATTCCACTAAAACGATGAATTATTATTGTATATTTAATCAACTATTATCCACATATTCAATATAAATTCACAATTAAAAATTAATTTAAACCTTTTTAAAAATAGAAGTAGCAACAACATAAAAAATCAAATGATAAATTATTTGTATTTTTGCCACAAATAGTTATTTTCATTACTAGGTTTTTAATGCTCAATATTACAAATAAGATGTTAGATCTTAAATTGTAAGAATAAATGTAAAATAATATTGATTTAAATAAAATATAAAATAGGAAAAAATCTATTGAAACAATTAATAAATTAAAATTGTAAGAAGAAATTTTCAAATTGATTGGACAAAATTTTTTATATGTTTAAAATTTATCTATAGTTGCAAAATAAAGACAAATAATATTGAAGACACAGCTGATTTTTATTTTCTGATATAAAATTTAAAATTTAGAAGTAGTTTTATCTATGTTGAGAATACAATTTTTAAATTTACTCTAATTGTTATTAATTTCTAAAATTAGTGATTCTTAAAAAGTTATGTAGTTTATAGATTACAGAACAAAATTGTCATTATTTTTATGATGGACATTTTTCTATATTAGTATATCAGAAGTACATTAGGGTTTGATTTTTTTGAAAGCAACTTCAAGTTTGTTTAATAAATAAATGAATTAAAATTGAAAAACACAAATCATTATACTGAATCAAAGCATATCAAAATTAATCCATATTTAAGAAATTTATTAGGAATTATAAGATATCAGGAGATTGTTTTTTATGATTAAAAAATTTTAAATTAAATTGATAATTCGATTGAAATCGTTTCTGAAATTTTTAAATGAACTGGAATCAAAAATTGTTAAATAACATATAACTTTACGATAATGTACACATCTAAAATTTTTAATCCATTTAAACTTGATAAATATTTTGTAATAATATATTTTAGCATAATATTTTGAATGTTTATAACAATGAAATCTAATTATAAACCTGTAAACCTTCAGAAATTAATAAAAAGAATATAAATAAAATTTGCTTCTTTTGAAATTAAAAAAAATATTTTTATGCTTGATAAAATTACGACATAAATGTATATATGAAATTAAAATTAAGAGTGTTTAAATTATCTTCTGAGTTAGGATAATTTTTTGAAAAAATAAATAATATTTGTTATTTCATTAATATATCTGAATTAAAAATACTTTCAATATCTATTTATTGATTTTAATATATTATATAATCAATAATCAAAATGAAAAGAGATTTTGAAAAATAAAACAAGAAAAATATCGGTTTAGCAGAAATATTTAACAAACTGATATAGATTACATTACATTGTAAAAAAAGCGTAAACATACACTATCAAGTGTAGCTCATACTTCTATTTATTTGTAAATTTTAGTTAGTATTCTTTTTAATTTAGCTTGAGTATTTATGGTAAGAAGAAAAAAATTATTATTTATTGCAAAAAGTCTTGCTTCTAATATTTCGAACAGATATTTTTTTATAAACATTTGAAATGGTAAACAAGTTTGTAATATATATAATTCTAAGTATTCTAATAATTTAAAAGCTCCTATGTGCTTTTTCATAATCGGATTTGAAAATAAAAACCAGATATATTTATTTAAATAAAGTGCTTGGGGTTTACTTTTAATTATATTATACTTTTTTTCATATTATACTTACTACATTAGTTTGTTTATTCTTAGCTCATTAATTTAATCAATTGCATGTAAACAATTTATATTATATTCATTTATTATTCGGAATTTTATGTTTTGTAATTTTATAATTAGAAGCAATTTATCATTTATAAATTAGTGAATCATCAATAGATGGAAAGATTATATGTTTTGATAGAATAAGAATTACAGTAAAAGATTACATAATGTATATTTTAAACTTAATTGTTATAATCTTATTTTCAGTAGTGAAAACTACTCAATTGATTTCTTGGATAATTCACTTGCTCATTTTATTAAGTATTTCATTGAATACAATTAATTTATAAGAAAATCAGACAGTTATTGAAAATACTAAAAAAAATATAATATACTTTTCTGATTCATTTAGTATAATCTATGTTTTTTATTCATTAATCTAATTAATAGTTTAGAAACAATAATTTTAAGTATTAATCTATACAATCTTTTCGTTTCCTTTATTACTAAAAATATTGATAAAATTTGATTAATATTCAAATACAAAATTAGATCATCAAGCATTTTCAAAATCGAAAACTAATATATTTGCAATAACTCAGTTTTTGTTAAAAAAATAAAATAATCATTTCCAACCTTTGATATTTAAACTATATATCCATAATTATCATTAGAAATCATGTAGAGATATAAAATGCATTTGCAGTTAAGAGATAATATACATAGATCCACGAGATGCAGCTGGACTTACTTAAAATATTTATAAAGATTTTGTACATTAAAAATTAAAGCAAATGAGAAAATTTATTTTCAATCAAAATATTGGTAACATAAATTAAATCTAATATTATACAATTCTTTATGGAGTTTTGTTAGCTAATAATGGATGGCCTATTTAATCGATTAAGCATTTTAATTAATTAATATATGGATAATTATCTAAAAGCTCTTTGAAAAGTGTCAATTCAAATGTATAAAATCCTCATTCATTTTCTGCAACTTTAAGAAATGACTCTTCTTCACAAACATAAACAGATCCAGATAAAAAAATCGAAAATATTAAAAAGAATAATAAAACAAAAGTATATAAGCATACTATTTCATATTAAATTAAATTTGAATAAACTTAAATGTCAAAAATATTTTTTATTTAAAATTAAATTAGGTAAAATTTGAAATATTTTTTTGGCAATTCATAATTAACAGCTGAAATGCATAATGTATCTGAATAAATATAAAATTTTATTGAATAAGAAATGAAAATAGATTAATATGTTAAAGATATTAAAAAAATCTTAAAAATTAAACTTAAATATTTTGAAAATTTAATGACTTATATTAAAGAAAAGAGAATATCTGATCTTCTGAAATCATTAATGGATATAACAAACAAAATGATATCATTTAAAAACACATTACTTTCTTAATATGAAATTCTTTAAAGTAAAAGATTATAATCGTTGTAAATTTTTTTTGAGGCTGAAGTGTTTAAAAATTATTTAGATGCATTTAAAATGCAGAATTAATCGACTCTATCAGAAGACTAAATATAGATTATTAATAGAACTCTTAATATAAATTTTAATACTAATGACATGAGCTATATTATATTATAAATAGATGATGATCTTTAAAATGCAGAATTGATAAAATTTTCATCTAGCTTATTAAAATTAGTTGATACTAAAGAAGATTTAAGTTTTGAATAATTATTTTTACCATTTATTTTGAGGGAGCATCCTCTTCTAATTTCAAGATTTTTTAAAATAGGATAATCAAAGTATTTTAAACAATTTAATTAAACGTTTCTAAGAACCAAAAAAAATATGGCTAAATCCATAGTTTTTACTTTTGATAATATTGTATAATTTAAATAAGACAAGATAATTTTAGTTGGATTATTGCAAGAAATTGTAATTCAATCAGCTTACATCATGGTTGATGTAAATCAAATTGTTGGTGGAATAACAAATTCTTTTTTCTCATTATTAGGATATAATTCTTAAATCATCGAAAGTATTCCTGACTTTTCGATATTTTATTAATTAAAGATAACTTAAATTTTTCCAAATTTTAATGATCTAATTTAAAATGAAGATTAACAATCTTCATTAAAATTTAATAATGTTGATTCTTATTTCATAGATTTAGAAATGTTAATGAATGAATTTTATATTGAAACAATAAATACAGTGCAATAATAATCCGTAGCCTTGAATAAACTATGGAGTAAACAAAATTGCATAAAGTTTTACTAATCTAATATATCAATTTAGGCATATTAAATTTTTGGATATTATTATTACATAATACATTTAGATTCATCGATTTAAAAAGCAGAATATCTTAGTACTAGTAAGACCTTAGAAAGATTTAGTGAAGATAGAAGAAAATCAGAGCAATCATAAAATTTTTAAATAAGTCATTTAAATATGTCTTTTGAAGAAGCTTAGCCAGGAACAATAAATTAAATTTCAATTTAAAGTAGAGAAGGATATTCAGAAAAAAGTTATATTCAAAATAAAAATAATGATCTTTATGCAGTTCAAGAAGTTTAATAAGAATATGTAGAATGTAAAGTGGATTAAATTCTATTTGTTCTTTCACCAAATAAAAGTACTAGTAAATTGATTGATAATTAAAGAGAAAGATTTATGTAATACTCTTCATAATAAGATTATTATACTATAAACACAAGTTAAAAATAAAATAAATAGAATTAAAGCAATGATTAAAATGAATAAAATTTTTAAGGTGACTTAATAATAGATAAATTATTTAGAGATTCTTTAAAAAGCACTGAATTTGGAATTAGTAATAGTGAAGTAATCAAAAAGTATGAATTATTGAGTAGATTAACAAAAGTAAAAACGCCTAAAATTTTAAAAATAACAATTAGTACAATAATAATATTTATCTTAATCTAAACAATTTGTTTATCATTAGTAATTTCTATTCTTCACAGTGATATTCTATAATTTATTTCAGATATTGAGATCATAGCTTTACATGCAAGCATTTAAGGACCCCATGATTTATTTTTTTCAATGAGAAATACAATTTCAGCATATTAGTAAATGGGAAGAGAAGGCTATATTCCGAATTCAATTGTACCAAACTTAACTGCTCCATATGAAAAAAATTTAGGATATGGATATTATGAATTGAGAGATAGCTTCTATAAATAACTTGATAACGAATATTTAAGAAATTTTCTAGATGGAGAAAGTATGGAATTATTGTTTATGAAGAATAATGATACATAAAATTATGCTATAGAAATTAAGACTTTTAGAGAATGTCTTTTCATTATTTTATAATATTAATATGCATAAATGAGAGTCTTGTAAAATAAATTAAGTGCTTCAGGATAGCCATTTTAAGTATTTTTGTTTTCTAATTATTACAATATACAAGATAAACTTGAAAATATTACAAATGATATTTTAACTTTTTCAAAAACAAGAAGTAGAGAAGTTGGTTAAAAATGGAATTAAATCAGTATAAGCTTTTCTATTTTAATATTAATAATTGCATTGATTATAGTATTTTAAATTCATCAATATTATAAATTGTATGATAAATTTTTTTAGTTACTAAATTTTGTGGATAAATAAAAAATTTCGTTTGAAATTGATAAGCTGAATCAATTATTAAAATAAATTATGATCAATTACGAATACATTTACTCTTATTAGTTTGATCTTAAATATTAAGAATAATTGATGTAAAATTATACTGCTTTAAATAAAATTTAAAATAATAAAAAATCAATTGAAAACAATTAATAAATTAAAATTACAAGAAGAAATTTTCTCATTGCTTGGACTATTATTGCTTGCATTTTTTAAGCATATATTATTGTTACATAAATAAAAACAAATGAATATATTAATAAATATGAAGACACAGCTGATTTTTATTTTATGATATAAAATTTAAAATTTAGAAGTGGTTCTATGTATATGTACAGAGAACATCTTTTTAGATTTAAAAATTTTACTTATTTAACAGCTTTTGATTTACATAGAGCATATGAATTAATAGATAAAGCATAAAAAAATGTTTAAGAATATTTAGATCTAACAAGTTCATTTTAATAAAATAAATACTTATTATCTGATGAGTTTATTTCTTTTTTCTAATACTAATAAACTAATGATCTATGTCAATTTATCGACTAAGTATAAATTATTTTATAATATTAATAGATTTATTAAGATTTTATGTCTTTATATTGTGAAAAATCGTTTGATGGTCTATTGAAGCAAGGTTCAATTGCAGTTCTTAATTTTATGTCACATCAAATTAAAAATTAATAAGCTGTTAATAATTTTACAAAAAGAGTTGACGTAAATCTTTATGAATTAGAAGGTTCTTAAATTGTACTTAGATCTTTTTTTAGAATTTCAGATGAATTTTAGATAGGCTTGAGATTAATTACAACAGCATAAAACTAATTCACTCTCATTATAACAATAATATTCATCTCATATTTAACTATTTTCTTATATATCACATTCTTTATAGTCAAGAAATCATTGATAAAGGAGTATGCATTATTGAGAAAAATAGTATATTTAATTCCTCAATAAATTATATTAGGGGATGAGTCTTTTGAAAGATTTCTTAAATAATTAGCATTGACTTAAGAATTAAAATGATTAATATATAAATTGTCTAATATTATAGCAATATCAAATATTACGTAATTTATTAATTAAGATATCAACATATACATTATATGAAAGTTGAAAAAGCTGATTAGACGCGTGTTTTTTCTGCCAATGATATAAACTTTGAAACAAACTAATCTACCTAGTGTGAAAATATTTTGGCTGAGAATATCAAAAATTCTGAATTGGATGTTTCTTTGATTTTATCAGAAAACAATAAAAAAGACAGTATTTACTTATATAATTTAGGAGAATCAAAAAAAGAGAATGTTAATTCATATCTCATAAATAAACGAGCCTTCTAAGAATAAAGGCGATTTATATTGAGAACTTTATGTTTGATTTAATTTCATCTATTGGCACCATTGCTTCTTTGTGTGTTTTGCATGTTTAAGACATTTATTGTAGAATTACTATACGACAAGGAAGAATAGAAATTTACATTTTTATTTTATATTAGTGTGGCTTTGGAAATATTTATATTGTTTTCAGTCACATTGTCGACTAAAAATGCTAGAAAAATACCTTATGCTTAGAGTGCATATGTCTTTTTTGGTATATTTTTGTCATTAATTTTGGCTGGATTATATTCATCAATTTATTATTCTGACAATTAAAATGTTGGATTTATTATTCTTGCTTTGATTAATATATTTTAGGGATCTAATGCAGGAGCACTTTTTTATTTTGCTACATTGAAACAAAAAAAATCAATATTATGTATAATTTCACTTCTATTTAGATTCAATACCATTTATTTGTATTTTCCCACTACTTCTTAGTTTAATTTATATGTTTTTCATGTAAAATGAATTTCTAAAGTTTGCTTGTTGGATGATTGCATTAATTTCAATAGTTTTAGCAATTTTATCAGTGAATGCCTTGTATTAAATAATTGATGGAGCAGTAATTAAATTATATAATTTAAAAATAGTTTAGATTAGAAAAAGACTAACATTGTATTGCCACTATATTTATATATATAAAAATGATTGTTTTTTGCAAAGAATTTTGACTGAATTATTTATTTATAATTTTTATTATAATATGGATAGCATAAGAGAAAGACTTTTACAATTAGATCAATAGGCATAACAATTTTAATAATAAAATAAATATTTAGAAGCTTTGAATGTCTTCGAGGAAATGTTAATGATAAAAAAGTCAGCTTATGGAGAGGATTCTGAAGAATATTTCAAAACAAGTGATAAATTATGTGAATTATGTAACTTAATCGCTATGATTTTCTTGTAAAAAGAAAAATTTGATGCATCATTAGAATTTTTAAAGAAAGCAGACATGTTAGCGCAATCTAGTACTAGATATAAGTATTAAAGTGTTAATATTAATTATTTTTTATTAGAGCAATAACATACAATAATTTAGCTTGTTTTTACAGAAGAAATGGAAAATTAAGAAGTGCTTTATAATATTTACAATAAGCTTTGGAAATTGAAATTCGTTAAGAAACAGCACCATCTTTAGCTGATACTCATTTGAATATGTGTGCTGTATTATCTTAATTAAATAGAGTAAGGAATGTTATATAATAGCACGCTGAAGCATTGGAACATGCATTAATATCAGTAGTATTACTATAAGATGAATTTTTAATGAAACCACCTGATTAAAAAATGGAACAAAGTTAAAATTAAGATTAAAAGTCAGGTGAATAGAAGATGAAAGATAGAGTAGCTGTCTTAGCAATAGCTTATCATAATTTAGGAGTTGAATTTGAATATTTGAAAAGGTTTGATGAAGCAATTTAAACATATTAAAAAGCTGTTAGATTTGGTGAACTTCATCTACCAGCCGATCATCAATTAGTAAAATTAATTAGATATTTTAGATTGGAAATTTAAAGAATGTTTTAGGAAATGCTTAAGAATAAATTAATCAATAAAGAGCTAAAGATACTAATAAAAGATAATAGAAAGAATTATAAAGTAGAAATCAAAACAAAAGGAAATTAGTAGAAGTAGAAGCAACATATAAGTAGACAAATAAAAAAAAAACTGAGAAGAATGTTCAACATTAATAACAATAAGTAATGGGATAGACTATGCGTTCTAATCCATAAAATAATAGCGTTAATATAAGAGAGGATGATCAAGAATAATAAGGTGGTGTTCAATAAGAATCAAGTTATAATGATCATGATGAATTGCAATAAGAGGCTTAAATTTAATTATAATAACAATAATAATGAAATTATATTCATATAAATATATATATTTATTTATTTTTATTTGTAGATGAAGTAAAAATAATTATCTGATTAAAAAAATACTAAACTCAAGACTGAAATTAACGACATCAGATTTTTAATGTAGTAAAACAACGAGTTAATGTAGCAAATATCACATAGACTTAAAAATAGAAACTAAGTTTTTTAATTAGAATAGCAATTAAAAACAGAGAAAAAATAAATGATAAATACAAGTAGAAAGGTGGGGCTTTTAAGTAATTAATTAGAAAAAATCTAATAAATTGTTTTATCCTAAAAATAATAAATTAAATCATAATAATAATTAAGCAAATCGTAATTGCGATAATAACAATAAATCCCTTCAAACCAAACTCTAGAAAAAGTTAGATCAAAATCTTCTAATACTCGAAATATAGATGTTGGCATCATTAAATCTAAAATTAGGTAGGCCTTGCAAGAAGTTATGTATGAATTTCTAGACTGATTTTAGCTTTAATTCTCCTTTTGTTAATATATAATTAAAATTATACTTAAATAATTATCTTAGTTTCCATTTTGTTTTCGATTAAAAATTTCAATCTTACTAAAATTTTTATGTCTATGATTCCTTCTCTATTGCATTCATTCAAATTTCAAGAAAATATCGTTATCAAATGAATCTTATCGTCAAAAAAAATTGGAATATAAGAGAAAAAGTCTTTTAAATTCAATTAATAAAAACATTTTAAATTTAAAAGAGAAACAAGCAACACATGGAAAATTTTCATAAAACTAGACTGAAGTAACATTTGATTGAAAATTTATTGTTTATCCATTAGTTTTACTAAGTGCCAAAAAATTTACAATATTTAATTTTCTCTCTTGGTACATATCAGTATATCACTTACTTATAATTGCCATAATTCAATGATAAAATAAGGTTGTTGTATCAATAATTTAATTACTAATTTTTGATTACCTATCTATCAAGATTTGATATTGCATTTTGTACTTAAATTAATTTAGAGGAATCATAATATTTATTAAGTTTAAGCTTGATATTAATCTTAATAATATTCCCTTATATTTTGGTCATAATAATAAAAAACAAAAAATTATTTTATTAGAGCTCCTTATTACATTCATTAATCAATGTTTCATCTTTTATTATATAAATATTTTAATAATATTTATACATTCCATTAAGTATACATATCCTGAAAAGCTTTGACTTAAAATTAACATCTTTTACACAAATATATGTGTCATTTATAGATTATGTACTTTAGTTACTGTATATCATATAATTTATAAGCTACACTTTAATAAGAAATTTCAAAAATACTTTGATAATTCAATCTATCCTAATAATTTTAATTTCTTCCTTAAAAATTTAACGAGTTTTCGAATTTCACACTTCTTAATCATTTGAACAAAAAATTATATTATTATTTTCTTGTTTTGGATTTGTATTAGGATGCAATACCTTGATTTTCTACTTATTAGATAACTATTAAATATTTGTAAATATCCTAACAATAATTTTATTTTTATTATTCTATTTTGTTTTAGATTAGGAATTCCAAGCTTTTGAAATGAACTAACTAACAACATTTATAAAAAAGAAAAAAAAACCTTTTTTGAAATACCTATTTTGTAAATTGATAAACAAATAACTTAATAAAACTTAACAGTATATAATGAATTCTATAATTTATTAACATTATGGATTTTAAGGTTACAATTCAAAAAATGCATATGAAAATTTATTTGAAAATTTAGATTAAGAAATTGAATTAAAATTTTAAAGTAAATAACTTTCAAACTTAAGTAAATTAATATCAGAAGATAGGTTTTTTGATATTTAATATGTATCGATTCTTTATTAATTGAAATTCTATAATTTGGCATATAAATAAATTATGATAGCCAATAGATAAAATGATTTGAAATAATTAAACTAAAGTTCTGAAGCTAACTAAAAAGAAAGTGATTTTTCAAGATTATAAACTTTTAATAATTAAGCTAAAGTTTCTATTAAATCTTTAAGCAAATCAGTAAAGTCTAATTCTGAAGATTTAAATAATCTTATCTAAAAAAAAGCTATGAAAAAGAATAAATTATTGATATCTGTTAAAGAGAAAGTTTCAATGATAACATAAGCATAAATGAATATCTTAAAATATTCGATTCGTCAAAATATTAAATCCTAATTTTAGATTATTAATAATAAAAAATATAAATTTGATGAAATTTAATTAGGAGTCGAGATGTTTTTGAAAAATGAAAAAAGAAATAACAATTTAAGAAAAGCAATAGTTAGATTATTATAAGAAAAAATAAAATTTTACACATAGTTTGTCAATAAAAAGATATTGAATCATTAAAAACTTTTTGATTCTGCTAAAAAAATTAGTGGTTTGATGTATAAAATTGAATAAAAATTGAACTAAAGATATTGTTAATACCCAAGTCACAAAATATAGTCTACTTTAATTTATTTTTAGGCAGAATTATAAAATAATTTTATAGAAGCACACCGAATAAAGAATTTAACATCAATTTCTGAATAATAACTGATTGATATTGATTAAAATCTATAAGTTTCTTTATTCTCTAAAGATGTTATTTATATCAATGTAGCCCAATTAGAAGATTAAGGAGATTTATTAGTACTGAATTGTTCTGAAAACACATAAAAGTTCTTTGAATTTAATAATGAACAATATAAACAGTTTAAATTAATTAGTCATATACTTCCAGAATTTATATTGAATGAACACAACATATTAGTAAATAGATTTATTTAAACTGGCCAAGCAAAGTATTACTTATCGTATTTTCCATCCTTTTATAAATCAAAAAATAATTTTGTTAAATGTTGTGATTTGTTATTTGATATGCATTTTGATGAATACTATTTATTCAGATACTCAATTTTCTTATAGAATAATTCTTCCACTAAATCTTATATATTTGCTGATGTTAATGAACAATTAGGAGGATTTACAGAGTCATTTTTTGAAAAACTAAAATATTCTAGTACATTTATTACCTAGATGAGTGATTTTAATTTTAAAATAATAAATATGCAACTCATATTTCCAGAATTCCAAACAATAATTAAACAGTAAAAAAATAGCATTTAAACAGAATTAAAATTTATAAAACAGGATGCATTTTTACAATATTTAGAATAATCTGATCATAAACTTAATATTTTCGGACTTTGGAATGACTAAAAAAATGTTAATTCATACCTTGTTGATATTAATATTTAATTTCAAAGTATTTGGGATTTTAATTATTACATAATTGAAATAGCAGATTGCAGACCTTAACATTAAGAAAATATGATATCTTTATAATTAAATAAATCATAAAATGATATAGAGAAAATGTTTTTTTTGAGTTAATTAACAGAATCTGAAGCCTAAGCTAACAATGCAAAAAATTTTAAGAAAAAATCAGTTTAATTAAATTTGGATGAATAATAATCATCTTAGGAAGTGATTTTAACATCAAAATTGCCTGCTGTTTACATTTAGAATATTCCATAATAAGAATTTGAGCCAAATATTTTAAGTCCAAATTCAAGTTAAATAGGGTTAAATGAAATTTCCTACTAGAAATAACCTTAATCTTAATAACAAGATTATTTTAATTAAAGTATGCGTGATAATTCTTATAGTATACAAAAATCAATTCTATAAATATAACATCAAAACATCCTTCCAATAGAATAAAAAGAAGATTTTTTTGAAGAATAATTTAAGAAAAACACATCTCTCACATCTAAATAAACTGGTATATAGAAATCTTTATTTTATAAAAAATATGAACTCATACATGATTAAAAATTTTCATAGGTTCCAGCATCTATGAATAAAATATTGGTGTTTATTCTGTCTAGTTTAATCATCTGTCTTATTTTTTATGTAATTGTACTTACTTTGGTTTAGTAGGACTTAACTAGATTTATTGCTGAAATTGATATGATATAATTGCATTCTGGTGTCATGGTACCTCATGACTTCTATTTTTAAATGAGATTTACTATATTTACTTATACAGGATATTTAAATAAGTAGATAATAACAAGAGAAAGATTCAATAATTTAACAGATCTTTTTTATAATAATATGAAGATTGGTTATGATGAATTCAGGAATGGTTTCACAGATCAATTAAATAATCAATATCTTTAACCATTTTATAATGATAAAAACGTAACTGTTTACTACATGTATGAATTTGGTCTAAATACTTATCCAGTAACATATAATGTTAGGGAAGTGTTTTTCACTTTTCTAACATATTATTATGAATTTCTTTTGAGATTTTAAGCAAGATTAAGTCCAGCAAATTAAACATATTAAGTATTTCAATTTGCAAATGCATTTAAATTGCATTAACTTCTTGAGACTTTAGCCTAGGAGGCATGGGATTATTCAAAATAAAGAAGTGTTACAATAAAAGATAAATGGAATTAGATATGGATGATATTTTTAATCTTTAGTATTTTGCCAGTAGGTCTAGCTATTTATTATGTTAGAGTTTATAGATAGTTACAAGATAAATACTTGAATTTATTTAGATATTTTTCAAGTATTAAAATTTAAAGAGAAATTGATAAAACTAAGACTTTGATAAAACAGTTAAAGTAGAATCCAGATCGTTTATATCATTACAAATTTGAGGTAGAACAATTTGAAGAATAAATAATTTATGAGAAAGGAATAATCGAAAAAGAATAGCAAAAGTACAAGGAAGCAAAATACTTACCTTAATTTAAGAAATTACCAATAACCTTATCAGTAATAATTCTGTTTGGAGTTTGGATTCTTTTTTTTTTATTTAGTTTCTTTAGTAATTAGTAAGTTTAATAATATTTAAATAAGTATCCAAACTCATGCGACCTTTATAAATTTTTATAAAATATGTCATTAAGTACTGGATCTCTTCCAAGGGTTAGAGATTTTAAATTAACATTTCCATCATTACCATTCATAAGAGAAGAGGACAGTGTATTATTTTATGAGACAATAAGAGATAATTTGAATGATATATCAGAATTTCTTATATTGTGTTTGAATTTTAATCCAGATTTATATTATTCATCAGAGGAGTTTTCAGAATATTTCAATGATATTCAATCCTAAAATATATGTGAAGTTTTAGGAAATGATCAAGTTGGATTCCTGGATTATTATTGTAATATTTCTTTTAATGGAAATTTGAAATTGGGGTTGCTGCCAACTATCAAATATATATACAATATAATTTAACAGGAACAATCGATTAATAATTTTACAAAGAGAGTTGAATATACATTTTTAGAAATGGAAGGAGGCTTGATAGTAACAAGAGCATTTTAATATATGACAAAAGTATTTAAAAAGGGAATGGTTACAATCACATAAGAATAGATAAATATTTCGAATGTAAAATATGAAATATAAAATAGGCTCTATCTATATGTTATATAGTATTAAATATCCTGTTAATCATATATTTTTCTAGTATCTTGCCATTGATGATGATTAAGGAATTGATTTAAGTAAGAAGATTTGTAATGATTGTTCCAAGAACTGTGTTATTGTTGGATGATCAATTTGAGCGTCATGCTCGAATGATTGGAGTAAATGAGAAATACTGATATTTTTAAGATTTTTATTTTGGAAATAGGTAATATTAAAAAAAATATATATTATTATTTTTAAATTATTGAGATGAGTTCATTTAAACATGGAGTATTTATTTTAATTTTACTTTCAACCTGTGGAGGAGAAAAAACAATTAGATCAAGTCCATTAAAAAATATAACAGCATATACAAACTGTTCTCAAAAATGGTTTGATAAAGAAATGCTGGGATCAAAAACAATATGTTCATCTGGTAGTATGGTAAGTAGTTTAGCTATGATATTATAATCAAGTAGTAGAACAATAAATAGTAGGCCTGTTAATCCAGAAGTTTTGAATAGGTATTTGATAACAAAAAATGGGTATAAAGAAGATGGTGAGATTAATTTTGCTGTTTTGAATGAAATTGGCTTACATTTGGTAAGAACTGTCTCAGATCTTGGCACAGCAATGGGTATCATTTTAGTTAAATTTAGAATATTACAAGAATGACTTTTACATAGTATTGAACTTAAATTTCGGAAAAAACTATGGCGTTTTGATAGGATACAAAGAAATAGATAATTAGATAACTTAATATATCATAAATAACCCAATTAAACCTAGTGAAAATATTATTGATCCAAAAGATATCACTGTGGCCTTAATATTTAGAGTTGTTTGACAATATCAATAAGACAATAACAGTTATTAAATAAAATATTTTAACATAATCTCATTAATACTCAATAATCATCTGGAGCAATAACATCATCTATTTTCAAGATCATTTTGACAACCTAGGTGGCTAATTGGATTTGTTGTTTCTTCGAACTCAAAGTTTCATAAATTCTTTGTTCTTTCATATCTGTGGTACCCTGAAATATTTATTAAAATAATACTAATTCCATGCAATCAATGCCAATTCTATGATTATTTTCTTATAATTGTCTTGCCTTAGCTTAAGCAACTGATGTAATAGGGTTAAGACCACAATTATCAGCTAAACAACTAGGAATTCCTTCAAGAGCATCAGCAAATGATCTAATAGCATATTATTCAACTGATGAAACCTAAAATATACTATTAAATTTACTTCATCAGCATATTAAAGTACTTAGATTGCACATGCTAATTCAGCAGATCCTCCTCCATAAACAATTCTGTTATCTTTAATTAGGTTTCTGATAACACAGATGGCATCATGGATTGATCTTTTTGCTTCATCTACTATCATTTGACTTCCTCCTCTAATAAGAATGGTGACTGCTTTAGTGCATTAGCAATTTTCTATGACAAGCATTCTTTCATTTGAAGTTCCAAATTAAACTTCTTTAACTGAACCTGCTTTTCCTAATTTTTCAGGAGTGATTTCTTAAAATCTTGGAATAATTCTAGCTCCTGTAGCCATGGCTATTAATTCTACATCAGTTCCTGAAACCCATCTAACTGCTGGTAGATTATTTTATAATAATAAATGATTAGCTTCATCATCAAAACCCCATTAACATAATGCTATATTAGCACCACTATCTTTTACTAATTTAACCATATCAACAAAGTATTATTATTCTTATTAATATAATTTTTTATAATCTTCAGCACTTGAAATATTGATATTATGTTTAGTTTTTGGTTTTGGTGGTTCAAATGGACAAGTTAATAGACAGATTTTAGCATCATTAACTTCTTTAACCATTTATGGATGACTCATATCTTTATCAATAAGAATTCCTGAAATTAATCTAGTATCTTCAACACTTCCTCCAGTTTTAGTTTGAATCTTAATCAAATCCAAATTCACATCTTTTCTATTTAAATCAGCAACATCCAAAACTGCAGTTACTGCTATTTTTCCAAGTTCTCTTTTTCTTTTAGATACAACTTTTGATCCAAGAGCTGTACATGCTGCTTATATTAAAGCTTCATGTTCATTTGCTTAAATATCAATTTCTTCAGATATAGTTTCTAAATGTTCTAAAATTTAGAATATCGAATAGTTACTTATAGCTACATCACATGCTCTATCGAATCCATCACTAATTTTTAATGGATGAATTCCTTTATCTAACAAAGTCAGAGCCTATTCTAATAATTTACCTGCCAATACGACTACTCCTGTGGTACCATCTCCGATTTCTGCATCCTATGATTATGATAACTCTACTAATAATTTAGCAGTCGGATGTTAAATTTCCTATAATTAATTATATAATATATTCATACCATTTTCTCTACAATAGTTGCACCATCATTCGTTACTGATACATCACCATCTGGAGATACTAACATCTTATCCATACCCTTTGGTCCTAGAGATGAAGATAGTGTATTTGCTATTGCTTTAGCTGCCAATATATTGCTCTTATATGCTTCTAAACCTTTCATTCTCTTCTTTGATCCTTGCTCTCTTAATATTATGTATGGTCTGCCATAATCATCAAATGCTAAACTCATATTTTAAATAAATTATTTTAAATTTAATCCTCACCTCACAAAACTCTTATTATTAAAGTAACTTTATATATATAATTTACTATTAATTTGCTCCTTATTTTAATTTATTAATTATCAATATGCGTAATCGATTCTAAGCTTTCTCTTTCAAGAACTCAACCGATTCACTTAAATTCAATACTCCACTCACTTTAAATAAAATTAGATCATCTGAATCACATCAATTTGGATATGCAAATAAAAAATTCCTTTATATTTCAACCATCTTACCCAATTTTCAACCCTATTAACATATCATCTCTAAACTCAAAGATTAAAATATTAAAATCTAATAATAGAAATAAATCAAAATGAGAAACAAAAGACATTTGATTTAAAAAAAGACCATCAGTGAAATTATTTAAAAATAAGAACCATAACCAAAAAAAAGAAGTAATAGACATCATAATACTGTATTTTACAATCACTAGGCTAGTATACCAATTACTACTAATCTTTTTTCTAATGATTCTACTTAAAATCCCTCCAAAGATAATTCAAGACATTCCATACAGTTACATAGATACAATTCATTTTCACCACGAAAACTTTATTTAGAAAAAAGGAATACAAAGTTTTAAACCTTTTCATAAAGATTAAAAACTTTTTACTTACCCATTACAGCCCCATTTGATTCTTAAACCATTCTCAAATTAGAAATGATAGAAGATGGAAGAGTTAGAGTTATTAAATAATAAGGTTCTCATGATGATTTCTAAATTAATATAAGATTATATAAATTTGAGGATGAAGATAAAAATCTTGATGATCAAATCAAAAATCTAAAAACTAAACTTCCTACTTTGCATTAAGAAGATGATGAAGAAGACGATTAAAGTTATGATGATAATTTAGCCAATTTAAAATAGATATCAAATAACAATTAAAAATAAGCTTATAAAAATATTTTAAAATTTAATAGACGAAGTCTCTAAAGCCTTATAGATAAATAATAATTAGGAAAAAGCAGAATCAAAGAAATTTTGGCTACTGGTAATTTAATTTAATTACTTTTGTATAGAATACAGTTAAAGAGCATTAACTGCCAATTTGTCCCCTATAAGTAATTATAATCTTGGATATTCTCCTTTGCCATCTATCAAACTCTTAGATGAAAAGAGAAAAAGACCGATTAATAAGTTACTTCCTTTAGATATTAAACCAGTTAGTCAATTTACATTCACCAATATCATTCCTATATTGCCACTTTCCAATATATCTCCATCTACTTAGTCAACTAAAAATAGTAATGCTAAAAAAACACTTTCAAGAAATATTATTAAAGCGGGAGGAAAAAAACATAAAAAAAATATTACATTTGGATAATTGCTGATAAAAGTTTGAAAACAAATATGATCTCATCCTAGAATATTGATTTAAAATATTGATATAAATTTTAACTAATTTAACAATTTTATGAATCCTAGTTTGTAAATGTTTATTGAATTATAAAATTGCTTTGATAAATAATAATAACATTATTAATTAATAATTAAAAATGAAGAATCTTTATATAAATAAAGAAATTTTAATTGATAACCTTAAATAATATTAATGTAAAATAATCCATATCCTACTTCTGAGCTCAAAATAGAAGAACAAACATTCAAATATTTCAATTTAGTTGAATTATTTGGTGAAAAAGTAACCAGATTGCCATACTCAATAAGAATTTTATTAGAATAAGCAGTCAGGAATTGTGATGGATTTAATGTAAAAAAGGAAGATGTTGAAAGAATATTGAATTGGGAAGAAACATCTAAAAAAGACACAGAAGTAGCCTTCAAACCCGCAAGAGTAATATTATAAGATTTCACAGGTATGAATAATGAAAATTCTTAAAGGTGTACCTTTGGTAGTTGATTTAGCAGCAATGAGATCATAAGCTCAAGCAATGGGTAAAGATCCTTAATTGATTAATCCCTTATGTCCAGTAGATTTAGTAATTGATCATTCTGTACAAGTTGATTATCATGGTAATAAAGATGCACGTGAATAAAATGAATAAACAGAATTTGAAAGAAATTTAGAGAGATTTAGATTTTTAAAATGGGGAAGTTCAGCCTTTAAGAATTTTGAAATAGTCCCACCAGGAAGTGGAATAGTCCATTAAGTGAATTTGGAATATTTAGCTAGAGTGGTGTTTGAGAAAGATAATTTATTATATCCAGACTCAGTAGTAGGAACAGATTCTCATACAACAATGATTAATGGTTTAGGAGTATTAGGATGGGGAGTAGGTGGAATAGAAGCAGAAGCAAATATGTTAGGAGAATGTACTAGCATGGTACTTCCATAAGTAGTAGGATTCAAATTAACAGGATAATTGAGTCCTCATATATCAGCCACAGATTTAGTCTTAACATGTACAGAAATGTTAAGAAAGAAAAAAGGTATATAAAATATATAAATCAAAAGTTGTTGGAAAATTTGTTGAATTTTATGGTCCAGGAGTATCAACTTTATCTTTAGCTGACAGAGCAACTGTTTCTAATATGGCTCCAGAGTATGGTGCTACTATGGGTTTCTTTCCAGTTGATAGCAAAACGATAGATTATTTGAAATAAACAGGAAGGAGTGTTGAGAAATGCAATTTAATTACATAATATTTGAAGGCAGCTAATTTGTTTTATGAGGAAGGGTAAACAATGTTTAGTGATACTTTGGAATTGGATTTATCAACAATATAAGCATGTGTAGCAGGTCCAAAGAGACCATAAGATAGAGTGACTTTAAATTAATTGAAATAAGAATTTAGTTAAGGTTTGACAGCACCAGTATCTTTTAAGGGATTTAATGTAAAAGCAAGTTAGGATGTTGAATTTGAATATTAAGGATAGAAATATAATTTAAATCATGGATCAGTTGTAATAGCAGCAATAACATCATGCACAAATACTTCAAATCCAGGAGTGATGTTAGCAGCTGGTTTAGTAGCTAAGAAAGCAGTTTAAGTTGGATTAAGTATTAGACCATATATAAAAACATCATTAAGTCCAGGATCATAATGTGTTACATAATATTATAAGGCAGCAGGATTAGATGTGTTTTTAGATTAATTAGGATTTCATAATACAGGTTATGGTTGTATGACATGTATTGGTAATAGTGGACCAATTGATTAAGGAGTAAGTGAAACAGTTTAAAATAATGATTTGGTAGTAGCAGCAGTATTATCAGGAAATAGAAATTTTGAGGGAAGAGTACATCCAATAACAAGAGCTAATTATTTGGCATCTCCACCTTTAGTAGTAGCCTTTGCTTTAGCAGGTAGAATGGATATAGATTTTGAGAATGAAGCAATAGGAGTTGTTAATGGTTAGAATATCTTTTTGAAAGATATATGGCCAAGTAGAGAGGAAATAAAATAATTAGAAGATCAAGTAGTTTAACCATAGATGTTTATTGACACTTATCAATAAATAAAATAAGGAACAAAAAATTGGAATGAATTATAAGTACCAAAAGATTAACTTTATTAATGGGATGAATAATCTACTTATATTCATCATCCTCCATATTTCTAAGGATTAAGTTTAGAATTACCAATAATAAATCCAGTTAATAATGCTTATTGTTTAGCTGTATTTGGTGATTCAATAACTACTGATCATATAAGCCCAGCTGGTAATATATCTGCTAATAGTCCTGCTGGTAGATATTTAAAGGAAAAAGGAGTTCATTAAAAAGATTTTAATACTTATGGAGCAAGAAGAGGAAATGATGAAATTATGGTTAGAGGAACATTTGCAAACGTTAGAATTAAAAATAAAATGTTATAAGGAAAAGAATGTCCAAATACTATTTATGTTCCTACTAATGAAGTTATGGCTATTTATGATGCAGCAGAAAAGTATTTAAATTCAAATCAATAAACAATTGTTATTGGAGGAGCTGAATATGGATCTGGTTCATCTAGAGATTGGGCAGCTAAAGGACCTTATCTTTAAGGTGTTAAAGCTGTCATTGCTATTTCTTATGAAAGAATTCATAGAAGTAATCTTGCTGGAATGGGAGTTCTTCCACTTGAATTTACTAATGGATAAACTGCTGAATCCTTAGGACTTACAGGACATGAATTATTCACATTGAATGTCAATAAAGATAATATTAAAGTATTCTATAATATTCTAAAATATATAGGTTAATCAAATTGTTGAAGTTGTTGTTAAGAAATCAGATGATACTACTTTCAATTTCAATACTCTACTCAGATTAGATACTGATGTTGAAATTGAATATTATAAACATGGAGGAATTCTTTAATATGTTTTAAGAAAAATATTAAAATGAGTTTATAGTATCAAAATCAAAATTATATATGTTTATTTTATTTTATTTAACTATTGCTCTTGCTAAATTCACCAGAATCACCTTTCCTGTTAATGATGTTAGAGATAATATCTATTTCCTATAAAAATATGGAATTGATCTAGGAAAAGGTACATTCGCTTTTAGAGCCAGATTAACTAAACCATTTGATTAATAAACTGATGATTATGTCTATTTTCGATTCCATATTTTCACTGATGATTATTGGCCTATGCAAAAAAGAGAATCTAAATGTACTAATAAAAGATCATTGGGCACTTTTTAAGAAAGAGAAAAATTACCTTTAAATGGAGATTGGAGCAATCTTAAAGAAAAAAAAATTAATCTCTATTACAGAGATAAAATTTATATTGTTGCCACCTCAGATTGTGATGGCGAATTAGCAAAGGTTGAAGGATACTATATTGAAATTGAAATCACTTCTTTAAATAATGGATCACATTTCTCTTGTGAAGATAATGGAATTTAAAAATTATATGGAATTCAAATTATTGCTAGTTTATTTATTGGTGCCTATTGTTTAAAAAAAGGAAAGGATGATTTATTTATTAAATATGTCATGAAAGTACTCTTTATAGATATCATTGCAGAAATATTATTTCTCTTTCATTATACAGTTTATTCATATAATGGAATGGGAATCTATTTATTTGATTTGTTAGGTAGCATTTGTAACAATGCTTCACAATTATTATTTGCATTTCAATTTGTGGCATTATCTCAAGGATGGACTATTACAAAGTAAGAACTCAATACTGTTTAATTCTTTCCTTTCATCTCTATGGTTGTATTATATTAATCCATTATTATGATCATTATTAAATATTTTGATGGAAGTGAAGATAAATATCATAATTTTTATGGAATTGGTGGATGGCTACTAATGTTTTCTAAAATTGGATTGACTTTTCTTTATGGATTTGGAATTTTCAGACTTTTCAAGTAAGTTAAATAATAACAATTTATTTTTTTAATTGCTATTGTTGGAATTTTATATTAAATTCATTATCCTGTTGTGGTCTTTATCTCAGAATTGTTTGTGGTACCCTATTGGAAAAATAGAGTTATTACAATGACAACCATTCTTGTTTCACATTTATGCATGGTTTTTTGTGCTTTTATTTGCACTTCCAAATAAACTGCATATTTTTAATTGAAAAATTAGAGTTAGACTATAATATGAATATTATATTAAAATTGTAAACAATTTATACATATGAAAAAATAAACATTTAAAAAACCAAATTCATTAAATACTTTTACATCTTTTTATTATCATTCATAAAGATGAAAATCTCAATATAAAATTAATTAAATTAGAAGTTTAATGTAAAACAGATTAGAAGAGAAATAAAGACTGATTTTTATAAATTAATTATTTAAAAATGTTTAATTTAACGAATGAGATTCAAATTATATGAATGTTTAATTAATTTTGAATTAAATATTCAAATATTTTCAAACTTTCATTATTTTTATATTGACTTTTAACAAATTTTAAAAAATTAAGTTTAAATTCAAATCAAAGTGGTTAATATATGAAGAATGTGAAAAATCTTCTTTAAATATAATTAAAAAAAATGATTATATAATTGAAGATATTTTTTTTGTATTAGAATAGAGCAATTTTGATTTATATAAATTTAATATTTTTGATTAATCAATTATCTTCAGCACTTTCTAATATACAAGTATATCCAGGTTTATATCTAGCATTTTTCATATAAAATAAGGAGATATTTTATTAATTCTAAGGTCCAAATCGTTAATCTTATAATTAGTCATCCTATTAAAAGTTGGTATAATCTTAATCCTATTATTATTCAATATTATCTAAAGATGGAAGAATAGGTAGAGCAACAATAAAATAACGATGAGCTAAAGCTTGGCTTGCATTAGGTCTTTTTAATGGATTATAACGAAGCATTTAAGAGATTAAATCAAGAGCATCATCACTTGCTTAAGTAATAACTTATGATAATGGTTTAGGTTAAATATTTCTTGGAAATCGATGTTATATTTTAGCAGCTAATTTATATCCTAAATAATAATAATAATAAATTATATATATACCATCAGGCCAATCCTATTCTGAAGGAGTTCCCATGATTTCACAAATTTTTTATAATTAATCTGTATCACAAGTCCCTGGAAAGAGAGGCCATAATCTGTATAATTCTGCCATTATACAACCTATAGCAAATATGTCAATAGGAGAATTATATTCATTAGATCTTAAAATTACTTCTGGGGCTCGATACCATCTTGTAGAAACATAATCTGTAAATGGAGGAGATGATCTAATATCTCTTGCTAATCCAAAATCTGCTATTTTTATTGTACCATTAGATTCTAATAAATTTTCAGGTTTTAAATCTCTATGAAAGTAACCTATTTTATGCCTATTTAATTAATAACGTTTTACATGTATGCCAACCCTTGCAAAGTCTAATAAATTATATTCCGAATATGGATCTCATTAAAAGGCTTTTATCTATCCTTCATCAAGTGATAAACATTTCGTTCCATAAATTCAAATACAAAATGCAATTCATCATTTTATTTTATTATTTCGTATAATTTTACAATGTTTGGATGATGTAATTTCAAAAGTGATTTTATTTCCGGAAGATTTATACATTCATCCCATTTATTATATTTATGTTTCATTTTCTTTATTGCAACAATTTAACCAGTTGTTTCATCTACTGCTTTATATACTGACCCAAAGGTTCCATCTCCTAATACCTTCCCTATTTTATATTTATCCATTCTATTTTGATTAATAATAATATATTAACGTAATTATTATTGAAATTATCTAAATTTACATCTCCTGAAAAAACTGTTAAAATATATATAATCATATTATTCATAGTTTCCACTACTTACTTTTGAAGATGATGAATCAATTCAAAAATAATAAAAACTATATCTAAAAAAAATTAAGATAAAACTAAATCATCTAAAATCAATTGAAAATTTCTAATCAACATAAAAAAAAATCTAAACAGAAAAATTTTTGAAGAAAATTCTAACTAAAATATTTCTTAAAATAACAATGAAGAATTTCAATAATTATAGAAGAAAGAATTAGATGTTAATAATATATTACATTAAACTAAGAAATATTTAATAAAGAATTAAATATTAGATAATTTAAGAAGTTACATCAACATTCAATCAATAACCTTTATTATATAAAAGTTTAACCTACAAAGAACAAAATTTTATTATTCCAATTTTAATTATTCAAACAAATTTACAATTAAGTAATCATTAATATATTTAAACTTATCTTAATAAAACTTATAAATAGTTCATTAGATTTGCATAAATCACATTAAATCTTATATGAACATTTTAGAAAATATTTGGTCAAAAAAACTAGCGAAAAAGTGGATAATATTTATTTTCTATAGAATTAGATGAACGAATAATCTTTTGTATTTAACAGGAATTAAAATTCAATTAAAAAAGAAAAAAGAGATGAAAAATGGGTAATTATAAATTAATTTAATTTAGATATAATTAGATAAGAAAAATGAATATAGATTAGTATTTTCGAAACTTAAAATATTATAATTCATATCAAGTTAAAGTTTTTGAACACAGGAAAAATTTTTTTAATTGATTTAACTAAAAGTTAAGATTTCTCTAAAAAATAATTGAAAGATTTTCTAATTAGAATCAATTGTCTTAAAATAAAGAGATGAATTGAAATTGCTATTGAAAAATGAGTTTATCAATATGTTTTAATGAATCAATATTCTATTATCTTCCATAAAATAAAATCATAAATATATTGGAAAATTCTAATGGATTTCATATAGGAGTCCTAGTAACAAGAAGTGTATATCCTTATTTTGTAGATAAATATTTCGTTGTAGTATCAGTTCCTTTTTTGTTGAAAGTCCAAAAAGGAGTTTTTCTTAAAGGTTTAATAAGTACTTTTTATGCTACATGATCATTATTTCTAGTATTTCTGCTATTTGATCTGCTACTCCTATTTATAATTTTATACAATACCTTATAGTTTAAAGATCTTAAGTAACCTTATACGTTTAAATTGTGTTAATATGTTAGTTTTATATAGTAGTATTAAATGTAATCGCTTCATCATTAATATTCAGAGTTTGTTCCTAAAATATTATAACTCATTACTAGAGAATTCTAAATATTATTCAACTTAAGTTAGGTAGGTTAGCCAATTTTCTTTTTTGCATTCGAACAGCAAAACATAATTAAAAAAATATTTATTCAATATTAATAAATAAATTCTTTTATTTTTATGTAAGTTTACTTTTCTTTTTAATGCTTTATAATAATTTTCTTCTAATTATCATTCTATTAATTAATCAGAGACTTAAATCGATTGCATAGTTCAGATGAAAATAATCTCTTTCTTGATTTGAATTCGTACTCTAAAGTACTCAAATAGATATATTCATAGTAGTTTATTTATTTGAATTTGTATTAAATTGTCATTTCATAAATAATTCAATATCTTAAAATAGTAAACATAAATTTACATTTCCTATCATATGTTGTATTGTAAAGAATGTTAAAGTTAATTAATAAAATTAATAAGTTGTCAATCTAATTAAAGCACTATTATAAAATTAGAATATAAACAATTTTTAGCAGAATAAAAGAAATAATTTCTTATATTCTTATTTTTATTAAATGATGATTGAAATTTATTTTCAAATACTTCTATCAATTCAATAATCAATATATTCTCTAAGTTTTTGTATTTAATTATTATAAGATTTATATATTCTGTCCTCGGATGAATTTTAGAAAGAAATTTTACTGAATATTATAATTAAATTAGTAATAAAATATTTTTCACTTTTTTTTCATTTCTTTTGATAAATTTGCCATTTAATATAAACCTCAAGAGCTACTTAATTTTCAGTAAAAAAATATTCTAAATTATAATATTTAAGCTTTTTTTCTTGGATATTTATTACTAGCTTATATTGATCCTTGGCTTTGTTAAATTCTTAAAACAAAAAAGAAACTTTGATGAATAGAATGATCTTTTACATCGAAATATATGTAAATTTCATATCTTTCTAATTATTTATATTAACATGGCACTTTTTCATTTAGGGTTTTACTCATCCTATCCTTTCTATCTATCATTTCTATAATATATTTTTATTTTAAAGATTTGATATAAATATATCTCCTTTCTCAAAGATTCGAATTATTTTACTTAAAATATTCTTCCAAAACTGAATTAGTAAATATAAATTTCAAATTTTAAGCATTATTAATATCCTTTCTTGATAATTGTAGATAAATATTAGAAATGAAATCAATTTAAAAAAAATTTCTATCGACTTGGTCTTCTCCCCTTAATTTCAATATTTATATATATTAATTTGCTTTACTTGAATATTTTTTATAAATATTCTTATGAAAAATTTAAATTCATTACTTATTATATTAATTTTGTTATTTAATGTTGGCTCAAAATACAAACCAGTACTAAATGATATACCTTTAGATATATTTAAATTAATTAACATAAAATCCTATTCGTAAATATTTAATTTAACTATTATATAAATTAATCACTGCCAACTAGATTACAATTTTCAATGATAAATTCCATTAGTTAAATATTGGAATTAATCATAGAATTTAGTATGAGAATCATCAATGCTCATTTAAATTAATTTGTCAATTTCTTATCTACACTATGAATATTTAATAAATTAGAATATACTTATTATTCATTTTTATTTAACATAAATCTTGATTTGAATTCTTAAAATTCAAAAAATTTAAAACAATTAAAATTGCTCTTTTCCATCATTATTTCAATAATTTAAAATATTGATGCACAATATTTTCTGATTTCCATAAATCCATTTAACATTAAATTTCTAAAATATTCAAACATTTTTGAATTTTTTTTATCCATAATTTCCAAATAATCTTTTGTCATTTTAAATGGTGCAGTTTCAAATCCAGCATTTCCAGGTGAAATAGAAAGTGCAAATCCAAAATCTATATGAATAATATGTCCTTAGTTATCTACTAAAATATTCCCATTATGTCTATCCTTAATTTACAAAAAATAACAAAGTAAAGAGTATCCTGCCAAACTTTCTACAAAGTTTTTTTGAGCTTAATTAAATTCAGAATCAAAATATTATTTATAAAACTAAAGCAATGTTAATTTTTATTTAGCCAAATATTTCTTAAGTCCATCCATAGATATTGTGTTCTAAACAAATTCTATTAAATAAATCAAAATTACTTACCTAATATTCCAGAATTTTCAGAAATAACAATTATTTCATAAGGCTTTAAATATAAATTTAATTTAGCCGATCTAAAAATTTCTTGCATTTTTTAAATAACTTGCATAATTAGTAATTCTTATCTTAAATCATCTCCTCCCTTAACCATTATTATCCTAATCCTTAAAGATTCAAAGTTTTTATATTTTGATTACTTTTTTATCCTCTAAAATTTATCTTACCAGTCTTCTCCCCATGGATTTAAATTAGAATTTGTTTTATTCTGAATATAATTTATTGATGATGTTGATTATATTGGTTATTAAAGAAATTCCAAGGTCTATTAGTTTTATTCTATCACATCAGAATTTAATGAGAATTATTGTTATTCAGAATCTGTTTAAGATAATTTTTCTTCTAAATCTTTACTTTATTAAGGACTCATTCTTTCTTAAGGTTCTTCAGATATTTTTGAATTTTCATGATCTGACAAAAGATTACTCCTTCTTTAATTAGAATTTAAATTTTGAGTCTGATTGTTTAAATCATCAAAACCCTTAATCTAAGTTTTATATTATATTAGTTAATCGTAAACAATATTCTACTATCTTTAATAGGTTAGCTCTTTCAACTTTTCCTCTAAATTTTTAGGCACATCCATTTATATAAAATCTTCAGAGTCATTGAAAATATCACTTTCATTTTCAATTAAATTGATTGAATTGATCTTCTCTTATAATTCAGTGATACTGATTGTTTCTATAACAATTCTATAGGGAACTCTAGTTTTTGTATTAAAGCAAGCTGCTCCTTCTTCACATATATGTACCATCTTTTATTTTAAATTATAAAATTACTAAATTAGATGCTTCAGCCTTTTCATCATCCCTTTCAAATGGTATAATTATCCCTCTAAAAAAAGCTAAGTCTTTGTTCATTTTTATCATTCTAATTATAGCACTATTACCCTTTTAAATTTATGTAAGTAGAAATTATTTTCTGTTTTCATTTTCAATAGATTTTAAAGTTAAGGATAATTAAATCATTTGAATGATAAATCGATCATGGGATATTATGTAATGAGATCTAAATTCTTTTTCAATGAATTGTTTCATCAATTCTAAAATAAGTATCAAAATAATGTACACTATTAAAATTATGGATTATCTTTATTTTATTCAATTTATTCATTATTTATCGTAAGTGCTCCATTAATCATTTGTTTTTCTAATCGCTTAAAGAATTGAATACAAATTTACTCTTTAAAAGATTTCCATTTTAGAATAAGTTTTACTATTCTTCTATTCATCTTAAGAATAGGCAAAGAAACACCAAATTATTTTAAAATAATTTGCAATGCTTTAGAAACATAAATTTTCTAAAAATGTTTCCATACTTTAAGACCCAGTCTTAATTACCATATATCTAGAAATAAGTATATTTAATCTACACAAATTAAGGAATATAATATTCAACGAACTTTTTTGGCATATGATACAATCTGTTTGTTAAATATTAATGAGGTCCTGCTTCATTAAAAGTAGCCATGAAATAATGTATTAATATTTCTGGTGTAAAAATCTCTGATTGAAATATAGAAAGGACGGCTTTCCAATTTTATAAAGCCTTTATTCTTTTGCTTAATTCTTTAGTGTCTATATCCAATTCTTAAAGAGTTTTTGGTAATTATTGTTGATAGTTCATAATTTCCTATAATTAAATATATTATGCCTCTTTATTTTAATTAAAATTATAATGCAGAATTATTGTATATTATATTACAAAAGAATTAATTTCATTAGTCATTATTCAAAATCATCATCAGCATTTGGATCAATTATTCGAGCATTTTCATTATTAATTATATGATTAATTAATGATTATCCATTTTAAAGCTTTTAGAAGTATTAATTTCTAAATTCTGAAAAATGATAAAGTAAAATCTCTTCATAAAGCATATCTAAAAATAATTGATAAAATTATTTTACCTTTTAATTGTTCTTTAGTCAATTCATATTTCTCAAATTCGAATTCTAAGGGATTAACTGGTAGAGATATTGGCTTTAATAAAATATGGATCACTTATTTACTTCGTCTTCTTCACTGTGTAAAATTTAAAGATAAGAATGTTTTAATGCTTAAGAGGCTGTTAAACGATCACGATGATCAAATTTTAAAAGGCCTTTTAGTAAATCCAGAACTACATAGGAATAAACCATTTGTACGATCTTAATTTATGTGTCCAAAAATTTAATTTAATCCTATCCCATTTTAATGCCCATATTCTTAAATGATTTTTCTTAAATTTTATTACACTTTTTAATCTGGAAATGATTGTATATATTATTCATTTGGTGTTCCTAATAATTCAAAAATCACTTTAATCTAATGTTTAGTAGAATCTCCTCTTAAAAATGGTCTTCTTAAAATCATTTCAGCTAATATACAACCAACTGACCATATATCAACTGATATTTAAAATATATATGATTACCTGCTGAATTATAATTCTGATATCCAATTAATAATTCGGGAGCTCTATACCATCTAGTTTCAACATAATAAGTCATCATTATATTATTTTAAATATTTTCTGCTATTGCTCTACCTAAACCAAAGTCACATATCTTCACATCACAACTTCTATTTAATAATAAATTTCTTGGTTTCTAAAATAAATATTATTCTCACTAAATCTCTATGTAAAATGCCAGCTGAATGTAAGTATTTTAAACCTCTCAATACTTAATAAATAAATAGACGCATATGATCATCATTTAAAACAGAATCACTTTTTATAACTTATGATAAATCTGCTTCTAATAAATCCATCACCATATAAACATCTTCAAATTCTTCACGACTTGGAGGTAATAAGACTTATTTTAAATCTACGACCTTTTTTTTAGAAATTTCTCTTTTACATTATCATGTCTTATTAATCTTAGAATTTTTAATTCCCTTAAGGTTCTCTTAGCAAATAAACGATGGTTGAATGTTCTTTCTATTTTTTTTATTGCTACAGGCTTATTTGTTAATTTGTCTATTGCTTGTATTACACATCCATAAGCACCTTAACCAACTGATTTTATAAAATAAATGATCACTTATATCTATTGGCATATATCTTTAATCTAAATAAAATGTATGCCCTTGTAAAACATGTTTAACACTTTCAAACTATTTTTTGTAAGGCTTGTATAAATCTATGATCTTTTAGGGTACATTTGATTCTATAATCATATTAATAATTTCAATATTTATAATTAGTCAGATTGATCCATTTATTATAAAGTTATAAATCATAAAAAACTAAATAAAATAATCATCATCTTCACTATTACTAAATTATGCATCTAAACTCTCAATAATTTTAATAAGAATCTTAAAAACTTCGACTTTTTTTTTTTAATTTTTATTTCTCTAATTTATAATATTAGAACATACTTTATAATTAATGAAAATTAATCTGTTTCATCCTTATACTTTAAATTTTCTTATTCAAACTTTTCGATAGTCCTTCAATCATTTGAAATAATTGAAGAGTAAAATTTATTGGAATTTTTCTTTATATAATTTCGCTTGTTAAACTCTTTATATATCTATATATTACATTTTTTTTATTAAATTAATCAGCTATTATTATTATTTTTGAATAATTTAAAATATTAATAATCAAAGGAGCTTGTTTTCTGCCTCCAAATATGGTTCTAATATTATTTTATTTAAAATCTCTAAATAACTAAATTAATAAATTTAAACAACAAAAAAGAGCATGATTTCTTTTAAATAATTTATCTATATTTAAAATATTCAAAAAGCGAATGAAAAGAAAGCAAGCCCTCTTAAAATTTATATAATTTACCTTATAATTATATAGATATTAAATTATATAACATTTTCCTAAAATGCGAGGTTGTTTTTTCCAAATATTTTTAATCTTTAAAAAATTTTAAATACAAGTTTGTTGATTAAAACAAAAATTTTTTACTAGTGTTCTTATTTCATAATTGAAAATCAGAATAAATGAAAAAGAACTTTCATATATTATTAAATTAAATTATATATTAATGGTTTTAATTTTGTAAAAAAAGCTTCTAGCTCATATTAGATTTAAGAAATTATTAGCACTGTCAATTCTAATATAAAACTATGCTTAATTTTAGAAGTATTTGAAATAATTTATTATAGCATTTAGGCAGTCTTTAATTAGAATTTATAAATTAATGAATTTTAATTTAATTTTGGATAAATGTGATTGTAAAATATTTGGCATCTTTGGAATATATTTTATAAAGTAATAGAAAATTGTATAAATTTTGCAAATAGTATCATATGAGCATGATAAAAATAATGATTAATAAAATATACTATTCTAAAAAGATTGTTTATAATTTTGTCCATCTACACTGTCTAAGTTGATTTGGCTGACATATTTATATATGAAATGAATGGTAAATATATGGGGAACTTAGATGTAGTATGTAATTTATGAAATTCTAAAATCTAAGAAAGTATTAATTTGATGAACATCTCTTTAAATACAGTAATTAGATGCAGAATTATATTCAGTTTTTGATAAGGATTTAAAATAAAAAGTGAAAATGGTATTTTAAAAAATATGATTTTGAACTTTCGCAATGGGAAAAAATGTCAATTTCATAAGATTTATATATATGAGATGTAATTAATACACTTCAACTCTGATTGGATTTTGCATAGAAATCATATTGATTCACAAGTTTTCCTTTGATAAGAATTTTCATGGTGAGTTTATGGTTTCTTGAATTTGAAATTGGCTTGAATCCGACTTACTTAGGTGGTCTATGTCTTAAAGTATACAGTATTGTTTTGGCTGTAGAGTAATTTAAACTACAAATAACAGCTGCCTAATGTAAGGGATATGGATAAATAAATACATCTTTGATTCTAAGTTTTTTATCAAGCACGAGAGAAATTAACTAATTCTTTCTATCAGGGGAAATATGACTATATTTTCTTTTTGATTTTTGAATAGAAGGCTAAATGCCTTTTTATTATTAACGAGTTTTGACTCTGTAAGTATGGAGTGAAGATTAAGATGCTTCATCGAAATTCATTACGATTCTTGAAATTAGAAGTGTTAAAAAAAGATTTTTTTAAATAATTTTCGAAAAGAATAAATTAAGTTATCAACACAGATATGAAAAATAAAGTCTTGAGTAAAGAAATATATGATATTTTATGTTTTAAAGTTTAGAACATATAGCAAAACAAATAATAATAATCTTGCAGACATAAAAAAAACTGAATCAATTAAATGAAATTGTAAATTATTATTAATATAAATTAAATCACAATTTAGGGTGTTGATTCTTCAACATCTCCACAACTTCAACAACTTCTTTACAAATACGCTGAATTGATTTTAAATCTGCATTTTGATGAATCGGTAGATAAAGAATCTGATATCAACTGAATCAATTTACATTTTTAAAATATGATAAAGTACTGTTTGGATATTAATAGGAACTTCCAATAGGACTTTCGACAATATCTAATTAGGTGACTCCCATATAGGCATCAATTCCTCTTGAATTTAAAATCTTGTATGTAGTTTCTGGATCTGGAACAACAACAGGGTAAAGCCTGAGGAAAATATAACTTTAAATTTTTTAACCAAAATTTTCTATCTTCCACCGCATGACCTGGTACAAGTAAACCACCTTTCTTTAAAATACTTTGTCCAGCCAATTAACGAGATATTGATATATTGAATTAATCAACATCAAATGTTTTCATTCTTAAAGCTAACATTACCAACATAGGATCAGGAACTCTAAATCTATAAGTCTATAGTATATCTTATGGGTTTTTTTAAAATCCTCTAATACTATTAACTACAAACTCTTTGTAATCCCAATTAGGAAATAAATTTATGAAAATCCATCTTGAACTTCTATTAATTGTTTTACTATTTAATAAAATCATAGGAATTAAATTCTTTAAGGTTCTTTTAAAATAACTAGTATAATTAAATTCATAATTAATACTTTCTTTATGACCATTTTGGATAAGTTTCTTAAATTGCTCTCATTTTTCTATAAAGAGCTTCATTATTTCTGATAACACTTATTGATCCTCCAAAAGCAGAACAAGTTTTTATAGAACCAAAACTAAAAGTGGAAAAATCCACATTAGGATTTACTAATGAAATATTACTTAATTATACATTTTGCATTAGGTGCACTAAAACTTTCTGCTTCATCTTCCATAATGAACAATCCTTTTGATTTTGCCCAATCAATAACTTCAGATGCATCAAACTTAGCTCCAAATACATATGAAATCATTATTCCTTTAGTCTGATAATATAATTCAAAAGTACTCTTTCAGAATAAAATTTTTTAAATTGATCAAGAGTACATCCCAATGTATGAGGATCTACTTCTATAGGTACTGGAATCAAACCATTTAATCTTAATACTTAAACCATATCAGGTATATTAATTCCGGTAATTATTACTTCAGAACCTGGGGGCCAATTCAAAGCCTTTTATTATAATAAATAACCCTTACTTACAGTACCAAATCTGTTGAAGCTCGTACACATAAGGTTACCAATATTTTTTGATTTTTCAATTCACCTAGCCAAATTTCTTCGATCTTTTAACAAGTTTAAATTAATGTTACTTATTGTATATATTTATCTTAATCAATTGGTCTTACATAAGACCATAAAGTATTGAAAAGATGTCTATATTACATATCAATATATAGTGCAGAATAAGGTACAATCTAATCCGCCTTAATCATATTATGTAAATTAATATTAAATTGTAATCAATGTTTGCTATTTATTCATTTTATATGATGATTTAATTCTCCAATACTTCATCTCTTAACTACATATTTTTTATACCATTTTAAACTATAAATATAAATCATTAAAGAATCTCTTCAATTTTTATCAAATTTAGAAGTATGAATTTAATATAAAAAGTAATCTATTTAGAATTTCAAATGTATGCATTTATATATATATATTTAATTAAGAAAATAATATATAAGCATTAAATTTAGATGTTCGATTAAATATTGTTATTATTATATCAAAAACACATCAATTGTACTGAATATAAGTAAATATATTACCTTATGAAACCCTATCAATTCATAATTTTCTCTGAAACATCTTCTGCAAGTATTCATACCATATTTTCTAATTAAACCTTATCTGGCACCACATACTCTACATTCTATAAAATCTCAATGTGAATTACCTCTTGAATCTTTTCCATAAGTTCTGGGGTGAGTTCTAAATAAATGGTTTGGCATGCTTTGTTTTATTTTATTTAAATATTTATTAAAATCATATTAAAAAAAATTACTATAAAATTAGAATTATATAATAGAATAGATGATTACTATTAACATAGAAACTCCCAATCATACTAGATATTAAGGATTTCTTCATAAAGTAGACATCACCGAAAATACAATTTTGTTACATTCTGTAATAAATTATGGAAAAGCAAAAAGACCCATAAAATAAAATATTTCTGATAATAAGAAATAGAACTATTTTATACAATTTCCCTTAGAATATGTTAAAACTGATACTATCATTACTACTAATGATGGAAAATCATATAAAGCTAAACTACAAAAAATAGATACCTATACTAAATTTCCAATTTTCCAGAATATCTAATTAATTTCTAAATAATTGGAAGACAGTGAAAGGACAACTTTTGACTTCAAATCTCATAGATTAATTTCCATTAATAAAAAATAGTAGATCAAAATGAAATAATCAGTTCAAAATTAAAATAAATCTGTTGATCTTTAATAATCAAGTCCTTCTTGTAGAACTAATAATCATAGGTTATAAGCTAAATTTAAAGAATTAACAGAATAAATAGGTTATAGACCTAAACTTAAATTTAAAAATTGAGGATATGTTTAATTAATCTATATTTATTAACTCATTTCCATTTTGTTATGACTTCTAAAATTGTTTATAAAATATCTTCTGAAACTTTTGCAAATCTAACTGGATTACTAAGAATATCATTTCTAACTTCAAACAATGTTCCTACTATAGGTTTTGAAAATGTTAAACAAGCACTTAGAAAATATTAAAATAAATACCAATCAATTGAAAAGTTTAAACCTTTTTTTCCTGTATAAGGTTCATTGATTCTACAATCATATCCTTTATTTTTTAAAATCTTTTGATGTTCTTCTCCAAATTCATCAAAAATGCTTGTTAATATTCCTATTTCAACATCTCTTTTCTTTCCTTCATATTGAGGTGTAAATGAATGAATTGAATAAATAAATTATGGTTTTATTGTATGTATAGTTTATCTAACCTAAAAATGATAATTTGAATGATATTAAATTCTTATCCATTATTCTTCAAGTGATAAATCTGAAATTTATAGGTGTAATTACTTTTATTCAATTCTATTTACATATTATCTCCTGTTTCTCTGAAAAGTGATTCTGATTGAATTTACCTATTTACATCACAATAAAGTCGACTAAATATTATAGGATTCTTATACCTATATTTACTATGTACAAGAGTTGATTGAGTTTGATTGGCCAAATATTTTGCTAAATTCAATGCTCTAATAAATTTATAAAATTTGATTACCCTATATCTATAGCCCAATGTGTATTTGCAAAATTTCTTAAATCATCTTCAGACCATACAAAACCTTATGGTAATCTTTATAAATGTAATAATTTACACATTTGTTGCATGATCACAAGTAAATATCAATTTATCATTGTTCCCAAATTTCTCAACTTATGAGTTTTCATATTAATTATAATTTTTCATTTATTTTATGAAAAATATAATATTTAAACTAAATCTAATTGTAATTTATTATTGAATTAACAATAACTAAAACTTTTTATCAAATTTAATGTCGCTCACAAAAGTACCTATAAATGACAATGATTATAAATAACCAGGGTCTTAGACACTATAAAATAATGCTCCTTAATTTCAAAAAAGAGAATATAAAATGATATCAAAAGAGAAAAAGACATAGTTGATTCGAACTGTTCTTCTCTAGAAATGCAAAATTAAAAGAGTACTCTATTTTATTATATTCTCTTTAGATTGCTAAGGATCTCAACATTAATTATGCTACAGCCAAAACAATCCTCCACAATTACAGAAAAAAAAATATTTAATTTGATCAAAAAGACCATCTTAAATAAGCTACTTATACCAATACCAAAAAATTCTCCAAATTGAATCTCAAAATAATCCTCAATGACAGAATTTTGAAATAATAAGAATACGTATTACCAACATATTGAAAAAAAATATATTCATTCAGTATTTCTAAATTTTTACTATGACTTCTGTTTTATTCAATAATCACGGATGCTGAGGTTCATCAAAAATCATATTCATTCGATATTATTTTATAAAAAAGAGAGTTCAGTAAATGCTTAATTAAAAACATATTATTTTATAACCATTATAATACTTTATATAATTTTATTTATAATGCATAGCGATTTATTTAATCAATTCAAAGGCTTTTGTATCAAATTTAATTAATTTTAGGTGCTGAAGCATATTAAATTTAAAATATGCATAATTTATCACAAATACACAATACAGTGTACTAACATCTTATTTTTAATAGTTCTGATTGATATATTTTAAAACTAAGTTTGATACGTTAAATGGGAAGTTAAGACATAATAATTAAATTAAATTATTTTTATATTAACTTGTACTTCAAAAATGCAATAACATTAGTTAATAATTTAGTTTATATAAATATTATATAATACACAATAATAAATTAATTAGTGAATAGGCACAATTTTAACAATTCAGGATTAAGTCATTTCTTTAAGAAAATCAGATTCACAGCTATCATGCATATCAGAATCAGATTTCGAAATCTCAGTTTATTTTTAAGTTAGAAAATATTTTTAATCAAAACTTACTATTAAAGGAGTTTATTATTTCATACAGAGTTCTTAACTGGATCTATTTGATGAATAAAATTTCTCACTACTAGTTGAAGCACTTAATTCTGAATGCTAGGTTTCTATTTGTTTTTGATAGTCTTTAATTGTTATACATTAATTGAGTAAATTTTTGATTACATCTTAATGATGAGAAGTCCATTCTTCAATAATAATAAGTGTTATTTTAGATGATAGAATTTCCTTTTTGTATTTTTAAGTCATCTATATTTCTTAATCAAATTAAGTAAGAATATTGTGAAAGGTATCATCATCAACTTCTGATAAAATTTCTTATCTATTACTTAGAATATCATTCTAGATGTTAAAAATAACAGATTATATTTAAGTTACTTTTTCATGTAAATTTTTGAATGTTTTATCTAATTCTAATTCATGATTATTTAATAATGTCATTAACTCTTTCTTTTTTTATTCTAATAAAGTCTATATATATTTAAATTGATGTTCAATTCTGCATTTCTATTAAGCATAGTGTTTCTTGATTGTTTGTAATTTTGAATTCAAACTCTTAATACTATTTTAATCTTCTTGAGATATATAACTACAAATATTTAAAAACTCTTCAAGAATTTCATCTTTATTTAGAGATGAACATAAGCTTTCTTGTAAACTCTAATGCATCTGCCATTATTTTGACATAATAAAAAAAATTATTATATATATTAACTGTATATTGTAATACTTTCTTGATTGTTAATTTCACTCATCATCTGAATCAGTTTAATTATTAGAATTATTATTACCCTCTTCTGTATCATTATCATGATCAGATTAATGTTCAATAACCATTTCATAATTCTGATTATTATAACCTATATTAAGAATAATTATTTAAAATACCAGGTATTTTATTATTGTTGGATAATGTATTAAATGGAGCTAATTTTTCATTATCTAATTCAATGTCCATATTTAAAGGTGCCATCTTACAATTAAAAGTTAAATGAATATAATCTCCCATTACTTTGCTGATTGTTGCAGTAATCCATTAGTTTTAATCACTAAACATTAAATATATCAAAATATTACTAATAATCTATCTTTTCGTCAACCTTCACATTTTTTTCAGTCAAATCATCATCTGTATCAAAATCGTCATTTTATTTAAATGGTTCTTTTGTTAAATTAAGATATTATTGTTTTTTCCAGCTCAATAATTTTGCATATCCTTAAGAATTACTAGGTAAATAAATATTATGTAATCTATGTTAACATTTTTAAGGAATTTAATTATTAGCTATTAATTTATCATTAGGCAATGGTTGAGAATTATTTTTTTCTATAATCCATTACCAGCATCGTTAATTTTTGACCATCCATTGATGAACTAAATTATTTCTGAAAACCATCTATAAATATTATAAAATATTCTTACTCTTAAAATATATTGTTAACAAACATCAGTTTCAAAGAAGTATTAAACTTATTTTTACATGGCCTCCAATAGTTTAGTCATACCTAAATTAATCTAAAATTTAAAGTAATTAAAATACTCTTGTAACTTAAAGTTGATCTTTTAATTAAAACAATCTTTTTAAAACAACTAAATATTTTCGATATTCTTTATACTCTTTGTCATTGATTTACTTAATAATAGAGATTATAACTGAGTCACTTTATTTTTAATTGTCCATTGAAAAAACACATAGAATGTCTGAAATCATTCTGATTGCTAATTTACAATCTCCTTCTTCCAATAGAATTTATATAAATTAGTTGTCAAATTGAAGAAGAATTTGCTCTTCAGCAGAAAGCATTTACTTATATTCTCCTTTTATTAAATAAGCAATTACTCTCCATAAATACACTCTACTAGTTGATGGTCCAGAATTCATAGATTTTTCAAATTTCTTTTCTAATAATTCATCATAATAACTTGAAGCGACATCAACATTTTGATAATTTTATTATCCTAAATAGTTAATTGGTTCATCATTGAATTTAATTACTTTTATATCGTCCATTCTTCTTATAATTTCTCTTAAATTGAGTTAGTTTTTATTAGGATTTACCTATAATACATCTATTGTAAGATCTAATAATTTGCCAACTAATTTTTTTTAAATTAAATATTAAGCATTTGACTAATGCAATTTTGCAAATTTATAAAATAGATCATAAAATTCAACTGAATTTTTTAGACTCTTTTTTAATTCTGGAATCATAAGTATCCATGCATTTATTAAAGAGGCTACTAATGATTTTGGTTTATCATCAACCATTTCAAACAAGTCTTAATATCCTTCTTGTTTTTAAACAGTATCTATGGCTGTAATTAACATTTATATTACAAATTTTCTAACCATCTTTTTTGAACAATCAAATTAAAATTCTCTAATATAGTTTGGTTAATTGAAACATTTTAATAACCATTAAGAAGTATCAATTGACTTTCTTAATAATTCTTATATATCTAAAATATTATTTGAAACAAATGTTTTATCATTTTCTCTAACTGCACAAGTTAAATAAAAGAAAACCAATGTTTTAATAATTTAATCCTATACTTATTATTATTATAATTAGAATTTAATTACATTCTACATAAAAGTAAAATATTCTGGACTAAAAATGAAACGTTGAATTTGGAATTTTCTATTTTCATCTTTAATTTCATCTAAAAATGATATTGTTTTTTAATCTAATTCAACATCTATTTATTAAGTTTAATCAGCAACATTAAGTGGATTAATTCTTTCATAAAAGAGCATATAAGCGCTTTTAGATTTATCTTTTAATTATGATGGATATTTATTCTTCAACATTTTATCTGATCCTCCAAAAGCATCATTTTTAAGATCTTTAATATCAGCAGGAGTTACAACAATATCATTGAATTCATACCATTTATTTAAATCATTCTTATCTTAAATAAATGAATAATAATGTCCACTATCAGCAGAACCCATATGAATTACAACTCCAGTTAATCTATATTAATAATATTCTTAAGGATTATCTTAACCATTAGAATTAGTATTTCTATTTTCAGATTATCTTAATCCTTATTAAGAATATGGAAGTAAATCTAATTCAAATGGAAATTCTATTCTATCATTAATTTTAGCTTTTGCCATTAAATCAAAATCAAAGTTAAATCTTTTCAATACAAGAATAAGATGATCTGGTAATTTCTTAATACACATTCTCTTTAAAGCACTAACCTTTTTATTACATTATTCACAATTATAAGCATTTTCACCTTCAAGTAAATCTCCATGAACTAGACTTTACAAACATTCTTCTAAATTCTTTTTATTTGCTACAGGTAAAGATATAGCAAAAAATGGTTCTTCTCTTTCTGAATAATGTGGACAAGTCTTTCCTATAATTTCATTTGACATTACTCCACCAAAAAAACGTTTAACTAAATCTTCATCCGAAGTTGATTTTATATTTAATTCAATTCTGTCCATCAATAAATTACAAAATTCATCTACATCCATTTATTCAAATATATTTGTCGGATTTCCATCTAAATCTTTGAAAGCATGACAAAACTTTTTTGGATTATGATATTATTTTTAAGAATGTTTTAAAGCCAAAAATAAACATTTTAATTAATGCAATAAATTCTCTTCTTATATACAAGTATTTTTATCTTCTACTCTCAATAATCTTTCTCTAAATGCTGGTACCATATATAATTATTATAATAAAGAATTCATATAACAAATGCATGCTAAATTATATAAACCAACATATCCTGTCGATGATTTCTCATGGAATTTGCTCTAAATATTCCAATCATTTAAATTCTTTGTTCTCCAAGTATTTGTTGAATGCAATGGTGAAACAGTCATTAAAAATCTATTCATATTTTATTAATTTTTCAAAAGAGTAAATAAACAATTAAATCCAGCTGTTCTTGATTATTATGATTTACATTTGCATCTTGTTTCTCCTTCATTTTCTAACAAATAACTTAAAATCTATTCAAATAATTAATTGTTATTTGATAAAAGAGGAAGCTTATCTATTATTACATTAAGCAGTTTAAGTAATCCTATCAAAATTTAATCTTAATCTTTAACTGTATTCTCATTTAATGGTAACTATTATAATTTCTATTTGATATACGATAATAAATAATCACTATCAAAGTTTTCTATATTTAAATTATTTTCTTGTTATAAAATATTACAACAAAATTCAAAAAAGTGCTCACATTTTTATTTTTTATTTTAAATTACATTCTTTAAAACATCATCAAGTATTATTTTTATTAATAATTTACTTTCTTATGTATTCTTCAAATTTAACAATTAAGCTGCATATTCTTTTTTAAGTTCTTAATTTTCATGTTCTACAAAATAATTGTAAAGCTGATGTTGCAATTCATGATTTTACTTGATATATTATTTACAACCAGACTCATCTAAATAATTAAAACATTTTCTAAGAAGACGTGTTTCTATTTCATTCATTTCTTTTTATTAAGGAGTTTTTTTTTAACCTATTTCTAATTTTTTTTTAGTTTTTATGTAATGACAAAGTTCTTGTATTATTTCTAAGATTTTCTACTTAATTTAATCAATTATTTAAGGTTCTTTTATCTTTATATTATAATGACTTAGAATTTCTAAATATGTTAAACAAGCTTTAATCTCAAGTGGTCTCTGTTAAAATTGTAAATTTTAACCTAAAAATTTTTAAGTTACCAAATCTACTCCGTCAGAATTATTAAATTATTCACACCATTATCCATTTTCTAATAATGCTTATATGATTTATAGTACATAAAACATATCAAAGAAAGAGTGATCTAAGTATTTTTTCCAATCTTTACAATTTTCAACTTACTTTTTTATTTAAATATTAGTAGGCAATCTATTAATCAAGTCCCAAACTTAAGTTAAAAATTCAGTACTTTCTTATTTATCAAGTAATTTAAATAGTATTTCAAAAGTACGTTATTCTTGAGAAAGGTAATTTTTAGGATGATTTTTATTATTAATTTTTACCCTTACTGTGGCCATTTAATAGATTACCTAATTAACATAAGTATCAACAATGTCATATTATTATTCAATTGGTTTATTTTCTATAGTGATGTCTAATTATTAATATGCTACTTATAATTCCTCAGCTAATTTTTATTTCCATTAATTAACAGTTGTTGTATCACCTTCTTTAAACTCTTTAATAGAGATTGGACTATTAGCACTTATGATTTAAGCCTTGAATTAAGTATAATTAATAGGTTTAGCTGATTTTTTTGAAAGAGGTCCACTTTAAAAGTAATTGAATAAAGAGAGTAATAAATTAATTGATCTGGTTGTTAAACTAGGACATTATTATTAAATAAGTTCTAAACATTTATCCATCATTTCTTAATATATTTTATCACATTTAGCATCGAGAGTAGAATTAAGTGAAGTATATAGATTAATAATGAAATTGGCTATTTATTCAAGGAGGGTAAGATCCTTTACTTTAGCAAAAATTTACCAAATAGCATTTTTACCTTCAAAATTATGATCATTCACAAGGAAACGGAGAGTATTACTATAATACTTTAAATTTTGTCTAGTTTGATTGTAGGATTTGAAAAACACTTAAAATAATTCAAAGTCTTCGATTGTGTAACTAAATTATTGATTAAACACTTTTACTTTTCATAATCATTCCTTTCAGGATTGCATAAGATTTAGGTGAAAAACTTAGGTTCACCTTCTTTATCAAAATAAATTTAATTAATTTTAAATGTAGCCAAATCTAGATAATGATTGCTAATAAGAATTTTATTTAATTCCTTTTTCTATATACTTCCTTTTGTTTTAGCAGCTAAAGCATCCCATAATCTGACACTTTGATCATAATTAATTTTAAGTTCAGTTTATTAAAGTAAATAATTAAGCATTTATAATCTAAAAAAGACATTTTGACTAAATTTTTAAACTCCATTAATAATAATATCTTATGGAGGTTCATTTTTAAAATACAATCTCACTTTTTCCATATAAACTTCAATATCTTTTACAAATAATTCTATTATATTATATTTTTCATCAGTTGATTAAATCAATTCTTTTTTACTTTTATCATCCTTAAATTATTTATCAAGAAAGTAATGTACAAAACTAATAGCTTAATAAACAGATTTATGATTGCCAATCAATTCAAAACATTTTCCAAAATAATAAGAGATAAATTATTTTGTTTATGGTATTTAAGAAATAATCATACGAGCAGCTTGAAAACATTACTCTTAAATATGACTACCTACTAATTAATCTTCTTTATCTTATAATAATTCCCATAATTAATTAAATGTCATAAATCGTTTCTCTGGTTTTAATTATAATTATTATTCATGAAACTTTTAAGATAAAGCTGCTTCTGTAAATGTTCTAATCATTCCCACAATATTTTCATTATACTTAGGATATGGAATTTAAGATATATGATTATAAAGTTTTTCAATTCCTTAAAATTATAGAACTGGAGAAATTGCTTTAAAAAATTCATATAATGCAAGTTGAGTAGTCTCATGTTTATCATGATTATTTAACCAAATTTTATCCACATAATCATTTTAAAATGCTAAATTTCTACATAAAAAAATTGCCACATCACTAGTTCTCTTTATAAGTTCTGGATGAACTGAATCTCCTAAAACAGTATAATCTAATATCTTATTTTAAGTTATCCATCTTATAAGTTCTTCTTTACTAATTGAAGTTTTCATTTTTATTTAACTTCCAGTTTCAAATTTAAATTTTTCAGTAAAATCTTTTATTTCACATAACCCTTTAACTCTTTTTTCAAGAAAAGTAGATTTTAAAAATTTCAGTGCTAATTATAATTGAATTTCATCAACTACTTTATTTAATTAATCTTATGTAAATCCTTTTTAAAAATAATAATGCATTTCTTATACAATTTCTTTAATTAAATCAATATCTGTATCTTTAATATCTTAAATTGTTAAATTAGATACTCTATATTAAAACCATTCTAATGTTTTCTTAGCCATATTGCCTTATTCTTATAATGGAAAGTATGAAGACAAATATTGTAATGTTAAAACAATTCTTGACATTGCTTTAATAGGAATTTAATTGTATTCTCCTCCATCATAAGGTTTTAACAAATTATCCCAACTCTAAAGACCTTAAATGGATTTAAAATAAGACATAAGCTTCAAATAAAATGGCCATGTTTTTTTAATACATTTAATTACATCCCCAGCACCTTAATAGAGTCTCCAATCATCAATATTTGGATTTGTTACAAATCCTTAATATACAGGTACTGTAAAAATCTTATCTATTTATTATTACAAATGTTCATAATTTAACTAATATATTTATAACTAAAATAAATACATAAAAAAAGGAATTCTCTTATTTAAGTAGTCTCCAAATTGAACCAAATAACATACAGAATGCTTCACAAACTTCTTAAAGACAACTTGCTATGGCTATACGTTCCTCAATTATAAATAGTTCATTATTATTTTGATATCTCACATACTATTTTCAAAGATTGATATACATCTGCAAAATATTTAGGAAATTAGTCAAAGTACCACTTTATAAAGTTAAAGTATGTTTTAAAGTATTCTAGTGCAAATGGAATTTCCTTTGGCTACAATTCACTTGAAAGTACCATGTCCAACCATATGAATTATCTTACTCGAATACATTAAGTAATCTCTATTGGTGTCATTCCAGAAAAATTAGTTTACATTATTGTATTCAATTCTTTTGTATATTTCTCACAATCTTCTCTTTAGTATTTTATATAATCACGTGAAGTTTTTTATTGTCGATAGTCATCACCCGTGTAATCTTTATTTAAATGATTACTTACTTATAGATGATTTTCTTGCAAATTATACTCTATTCTAAGATAATTTAATTATCTAGACAATATTTAAATACATAAACATACTTCATTATCCTTTTTTGATAATCCATCATATGTGACTTCAATCTCCTTTTCTGTTTTCGCTAATATGTATGCTAACTTATATTGTTTGCTTCCTTAATGGTAAACATCAACGTAATTCCCAACGAATAACTGCTCACTTAATTCAGGCTTCTTTTTACTTTTCTTGATGTCCATATTTTATTTAAATTAATATTTATTAATACACAATAGGATACCACCATTTTATTCATCCAATTTATACATTATAAATATTCTCTTATATTTCTCATCGCACTTTCTCTTTTTACTAATTTACTCAACAACTTTTCATTACTATATATATATATTTTTATTTAATGTTATATTCTTCTCTTTTTTCATCCATTTCTAATCTTAAATTATTTTTATTATATATATCTTATAACCAATCATTAAGCTTTTATTATCAAAATTTGAATCACTAAATTTATGAATTTATTATGTTATAAAATCAAAAAATCTAATAATAAATTTTAATAATGAATAATGACTTCAGATTCATTCTCAATAAAATCAAAACCATCTAATAAAATACTTTAAGCTAAAATTGTCTAATTTAATTATCAACTTCATAAATTGAAGAAATTAATAAAACCATCCCCATTTTAAAACAAACCTTGACGATCTATAATAATCATCAAGATTCTTTATCATTAAATTTAGTTACTCTTATTCCTAATTTATTAGTAATTTAAAATGATTATCTTGTCATTTCCAATTGCACTATTGTCAAATTTAAATCTACTCAAGGCTATTGTATTTAACTTTCAAACGGTATAGGTAATCTCTTAATTTTCATTGCTAATATTGAGAATTATAAATTATGGAATTCAAAGTTAAAATAATTCTGTAAACTTTCCAATTTTTCATAGAAATTTTCTGTCTAAGAATAAACTATTGCTGGCTATTATATTATAAAACACAAAAAAACGAACAAATTTTATATTGCTAACATGTAACCCCTCTAAAATACTAATATGGAACTCTTAAATAGTGAAATTTAAACTTTAAGAAGTATCAAACATCCCTCCTTACTTGATTTAAAATGGTTATATTAGGATATACGATTTGTATACTTAATTTATGAGTATTTTAAATGTGAAAAACTTACAACTTTACTAAAATCAGGACTTAATTTAGATTAAACATAATTAGCATCTGTAAAGAATTGATTTATTTGTAGATCATACTATAATTATTATAGTTAACTAAATTTTTAAATAAGTAATAAATTTATCATGGCAATATCACTCTCGACAATATTCTAATTAATGTATAATCCTCTTATTTATCTATTTACCTCATTAATATGAAATTTTTACATAAAATTGATATAGATACTTTAAATTTATATAAATAAACTACTCAAACTTATTATTTAGCTCCTGAAATAATTGATGGAATATCAAATCCTTCTATAAATACTGATCTTTTTTAAATTGGAGTAGTATTATATTATTTAACTTTTTACATTAAATTAGATAGAAATTTTATAAAAAATGATTAAATAAAAATGGAACTCATTAATGAGTTAGAGGAATAATTTTTAAACGCATCAAAATTTCAATTTCAGTAAATGAATTTGAAATAAATATATAAAATGGCTTTTAGTGCGTCATAATTAGATTTATTGAAGAGGTTATTAGAAAAACAGGATCAAAGAATTAAATTAGAAGAGGCCATGAAACATTGTTGGTTTGTTAATATCAAATAAAAATTTAAACCAAAATATGAGAGGAAAAAATAGCATTTATCATCCTTAAATACAATTATTGAACTTTGTGAGTAGAGTGAATATACCAAATCATTTGTCAACATCTAGTAAAAATTTGATGATGATTAAGGTAATTAGTATTATTTTATTATTTTAAAGTTCTTGATGAATATAATGTGATATAAGAATTTATGTAGCAATTAGAAAAAAATAATTCCTAAAAGCCACCCTCTAGAGAAAATCATGAAAAATTAAAATATTTTGAATTTTCCAAGACTTCTTATGACTAAGATAAATCTAATTCTCAAAATCAGTATAAATTTTCAAAGAGTGTTATATGATAAATAAATGTTTATCTATTTTTAATAAATTCAATATTTTATTGATTATAATTGTATTTATTTGATCAAATGGGAGAATGTATAAATAAAATTATGACTTATTAAATCATTTTGAAATCTGTTGTATGGAACACTGAAAAATATAAGATTTATTAGAAATGTATTTTTTCTTTTATTTGCTAAAATAATACAGTTGATTATTTTTTCAGTTTTTTCTTATCGATAATATAATATTCTAGATTGATATTCTCTTTTATTGGATAAAATTTGGAATATTTCAGAGAATAAAGAATATAAAACTAGCTTTTTGAGGTTGAAAATATTTTAATACAAAGTCATATAATTTTTAGATTTCAGTTGAGTAGTTTATAAGAATATATCTATAAATTATATATTATAGTTTATAAAATCAAAGGTATGAAATTATGAGGTTTAAAATAATAAAATATTTCCATAATTCCTAAATACTTAATGATAGTTAAAATAGCATTAATTTTAGAGTGATTAAGTAAGTATTTTAATTTTTCAGTTTTTATGTTGATTAGATATAATTCTCCTTTATATTTATAAGATTTAATAGAAAATACAATACATAAGAATAACATTAAAATTAAAGAGAGAAATAAAATAAAGTGTATAAAAAGAATGTTAAATTTTTATATAGACAGAGGTGGAACATTTACTGATATATATTATCAATACAACGGAGAATCATTAGTGCATAAATTATTAAGTCAATCTCATTATAAAGATGGAGTATTTTAAGGAATCAAAGAAATATATGAGAAATATTAAAGTAATGGCTAATAAGTGAAAGTGAATTAGATTGTAATAGGTACAACAATAATAACAAATGCAATATTGGAAAAGTAAGGTCATGATTGTGCATTATTAATAAGTGAGGGATTTAGAGATTTATTATAAATAGGTTAATAAAGCAGACCAAAAATATTTGATTTAACAATGAAGAAACCTTGTGTATTGTATAAGGAAGTGATTGAGATAAAAGAGAGAATAGATTATGAAGGTTAGATAATATAATAAATGGATATAGAATAAGCAAGAAAGGATTTAGTTTATTTAAAATAATAAGGTATAAATTCAATAGGAGTTGTATTATTGCATTCAGTAATAAATGATGTGCATGAGTAGTAAATAAAAAGTTTAGGTGAAGAATTAGGTTTTGGTTTTATATCAATATCAAGTGAGGTTAGTAAAGTAATAAAGATAGTTCCTCGTGGTTAGACAACAGTATTAAATGCTTATGTCAATCCGTTGATATAATTATATATAAAGGAATTAGAATAAGAGATAAAATAATTATTAAAAGATTAGAATCCATAAATATGGTTTATGTAATCAGATGGAGGGTTGACAGAAGCTTAAGATTTTATAGGAAGTAAAGCTGTATTGAGTGGTCCAGCAGGAGGAGTAGTAGCATTGATGTAATCAACAAAGATTTATAAATAATTAAATAAAAAAGGAGTAGTAGGATTAGATATGGGTGGTACTTCTACAGATGTTAGTGTTTATTATGAAAAAGAAAATATTAAAGAGGAAAGTATAATAGATGGAATTATAGTGAATACTCCTTGTTTTGATATAAAGACAGTAGCAGCAGGAGGAGGCAGTTTGTTGAAATTTGAAAATGGAATGTTTAAAGTAGGTCCAGAAAGTAGTGGTTCATGTCCTGGTCCTATTTGTTATGATAGAAATGGATTGTTAAGTTTGACTGATGCTAATTTATATTTAGGAAATATTGATGTAGATCATTTGCCTAAAATATTTGGGTTTAATAATAATTCAGAATTAAATTACGATAAAGTTAAAGTTTAATTTCAGAAATTGGGTTAAGAATTAAATATGAATCCTATTGAAATTGCAGAAAGTTTTATTAAAGTTGCTGATGAATAAATGTGTAGACCTATTAGATAAATCACTAATGGAAGAGGATAAAGTAGTTAAGATCATTTATTAGTCATTTATGGTGGAGCTGGAGCTTAACATTGTTGTTCTATTGCATAATCATTAATGATTGATTCTATTTTTATACATAAATATGCTAGTATCTTTTCAGCTTATGGATTAAGTTTAGCAAGATAATAAAAATATTAGAAAATACCACTTATTGATAAATTAAACAATTTTCATTCTATTTCTAATATTGTTTAATCATTTCATAATTTAACTTAAACAGATATTGAATAATTAATAGAACTTCATCTTAAATATGAAGGAAGTGATTTTCTAATCAAAATTTAATACAATTTAGATTTAAATGTAATTAAATAATAATTTGAAATATAACACTAATAACTTTTTGGATTTAAGTAAAATCGAGAAATATTAATAGAGTATTTATCTATTACTACTAAATACGGAGAATTAAAAGAAGAGTAAGATGAATTAATTGAAACATTTTAAATTATAGATGGTAATAATATGAAAGTCGATTAATTACAAAAAAATATTTAATATAAAGGACCTTTCTTAATTTATACGGGTAATACAACAATTAAAATAAGTGAAGGATGGAAGGCTGAATTAACTAAAAATGAAAATATTATTATTAGAAAAATAAATGATGAATAGAATTTAAATTAATAAAAATATACTAATAGTAGTTTAGAATTAAGTATTTTTGCTAATAAATTTATGTCAATAGCTGAAGAAATGGGATTATAATTATAGAATACAGCTGTAAGTATTAATATAAAAGAAAGATTAGATTTCTCTTGTGCTATTTTTGATAAAGATGGTAATTTAGTTGCAAATGCTCCTCATTTACCTGTACATTTAGGTAGTATGAGTGATGCAGTAAAATGTTAAATAAATAATTTTAATGATGGTGATATTATAATGAGTAATCATCCAGAAATGGGAGGATCACATTTACCTGATATAACTATTATAACACCTTATTTTAAAGATTAATAAAAGTTATTCTATGTAGCATCAAGAGGACATCATGCTGATATTGGAGGAATCAGTCCAGGAAGTATGCCAGCATTTAGTAAATACTTAAAAGATGAAGGTATTGCAGTTAAATCTTTCAAAATAGTAGAAAAAGGAATATTCTAAGAAGAAAAATTAATAGAGTTATTATAAGATAGTAGGGAAATAAAAGATAATGTGTAAGATTTAAAAGCATAGATTGCAGCAAATAATAAAGGTATATAGTTATTAGAATTATTGATCAATCAAGAAGGATATTCAAAAGTAGATTATAATATGAAAAGAATTTAACTTAATGGAGAAAATTGTGTTAGATAAATGTTATGTGATATTTCTATTAAAAATCATATGAAAGAAGTTGATACTATTGAATCTCAAGAATATATGGATGATGGATCTTAAATCTAGTTAAAATTAACTATAGATAGAAAAGAAAGATCAGTTATTTTTGACTTTACTGGAACTTCTTAATAAATATTAGGAAATACTAATTGTCCTGTCTCAGTAACTAAAAGTGCTATCATATACTGCTTGAGATGTTTAGTTGATATGGATATTCCTTTAAATTAAGGATGCTTGAATCCTACAAAAATAATAATACCAGAGAATTCATTGTTAAATCCTAATAATTTATGTGGAATAGTAGGTGGTAATGTATTAACTAGTCAAAGAATAACAGATCTTATTTTAAAATGTTTTTAGGCTAGTGCAGCATCATAAGGTTGTATGAATAATTTTTCATTTGGAGGTTTTAATTAAAGATCATATTATGAAACAATTGGTGGAGGTAGTGGAGCAGGAGATGGATTTAATGGTGAATCAGGAGTCTAAGTTCATATGACTAACACTAGAATAACAGATGTAGAAATAATAGAAAGAAAACATCCTGTTAGAATCTTATCTTTCACTCTTAGAAGAAATAGTCATGGTAAAGGTAAATATAATGGTGGAGATGGTATTATCAGATCATTTGTATTCTTAACAAAATTAAATGTTTCTTTATTAACAGAAAGAAGAGTGTTTTCTCCTTTTGGTTTAAAAGGTGGTTAAAATGGTTAAAAAGGAATAAATGTATATAAAACACAAGGTTAATCATTTTTATTGAGTGGGAAAGTTAATTTAGATGTTTTTCCAAATGATGAAATTTGGATATATACACCAGGAGGTGGAGGATATGGTGTTATGTGATTTAAATTTATATTTATTAATAACATCTTCAATCACTTAATGCTACAATTACAGGAACTTTAGGATCAAATCTCTCTCTTCCTTTCAAATCTTTTAATTCAATCACAAATATATATCCAACAGATATGCCTTGAGCTTTCTCTATTAATTCATTTGCTGCAACTGCTGTTCCACCAGTAGCTAATCATTCTATTATATATATTATTTACCTAATAAATCATCACAAATTAAAATTCTAGATCCTGCCTTAAATGCATCTGCTTAAATCTCTATTATATCACTACCATATTCCAATTTGTATTCCAAAGTTATCTTTTCTCCTGGCAATTTATTCTTCTTTCTAATTGGTATGAAACCTTTATTTAATTTCTATGATAATAAAATCCCAAATATAAATCCTCTTGATTCTATTCCAGCTATATAATCAAATTCAAAGTTAATCTTTCCTGCTAAATAATCTATCACTTTATTTAACACCTCTATATTTTTTAATAAGGGACATATATCTCTAAAATTTATACCTGGTTTAGGATAATTTGGTATGCATCGAACTGTTTTATCAACTAATTATTATATTTCTTAATCCATTTTTATTATTAATCAACTAAATAAATTTAAGAATAATATACTTACTATCATTATTATTTTATCATCAATATCTTTGTTTTATTTAAAATATATTATATCATGAAAATCAAATACATCTTTAAAAAAATCATTTAAAATCAATTATTTCTTTCATGTTATTATATTTGTTATATTAATATTCTTTATGCTTAGTGAAATTAATTGAAAAATTATATAATACATAATAAGGATGAACATTATAGGGATTTTTATGATATTAAAGTCTTGATTGCTTAATTGATCTGTTTTAATATATTATCTAGTTCAATATTTGAATTTCTTAGAGAGTTTCTATTATATAATTAGAAGTAGTTGGGTTAAATAGGTGGGAAAAAGATTATCAAATATATTCATGATTTTCAAAAAGTAAGTATAGGAAGTAAGTAAATATATATGGATGAAGAATATATTTCATTTAGAATTTATTATTTTAAATGAAGTAAATAGAATTAAATACGATAATAAAAATATAGACTTCAAAGGTAAATGTTTACAAAAGAGGATTATTATTTTTGGATATAAAATGATTAGAAAATTTCAATTACTAAATAAGTTGTAAAAAGGAATTTAATTATATATTATTAAGCAAGCAATTAGGATTTGAGTAGAGTCAATTATTAATCAAATTGAATTAATCATAATTAAATAAATAAATTATTTTATATATATTTTATTATCATTTAATTTCACATCTCTTAATATACTGTCTCTAATTTTGATAATCATTAATAATAAACTTAAGACATGATTAATTTAATTAACCATAATACCCTAATTATCCACTTTTAGTGGTTTATTTGTTTTATTCAATATCCAGATTGAATGCGGTATAACCTTCTGTTATGATGGGATTGTTCGTATTTTAAATAGATGAAACCATTGATTTTCCACAACTCAAATTAGAATTCACCTATTCATTAGTAAGACTGATAGCAACACTTACATTTTGACTGGAAGTTAATTTTTCATGTAAGATTAACTTATATTGAATTAATTTATTAGATTCCTTACATTCTATTTCTATCAAATCATTGCAACAATGTTTTATTATATCTTCTTAACTGAGATGTTAAAAAGGATTTAAAATACCAATAGTTCCATTAAATAAATTCTTCCATATCACTTTTAAATCAGGTTTTGTTAATTAATTTAATGGTAACTTTCTAAGTTTTAAAGCTTATGCATAATAATCACAATCCTCATTTAATATTTAATTAAATTAACCATCTATTAAAATCTGAGATTATAATTCTAAACTTATTAAAAAATCTTTTTTGGCAATCTGAATACTTAAAAAACAACTATCTTATAAATCATATATTTCTTTAATCTTCTCATTATTACATCTATATTTACTAACAAAATGACATTGTTAAATAATAGTTCTTTATCTTATGGAGATTAACCGATTTAATTTTATTTCTTTTTAATACAACGCATTATTATACCATAAGAATAAAGTCAATGATATTTTTTTAATCAGGTGAGTCTAATGAGGAATTTTAGGTATTTTAATGTGTACTTAATTATTTTAATTGTCATATTCAAAATCAGTAAGTAAAATATTTACAGAACTAAATCCATCCAAATTAAAATTCTGAATGATTTATTTATATTCATATATTGGAGGATCTTCAGATTCTACTATAATTTCAAAAGCTAAATTTTAAATTGATTATTCTGATTTATTTTTAATAATAAACTAATAAGTAAATAATTCACTAGGATCAAAATAAACAGCTTCTACTTCATTAATTAATGTTGAATCTCTATAAATTTAAGCTTAAACATTAGGAATATCCTCTGTTATTTTAATATTATGTAAATTAAAATAAGATAATTCTTATTATTAATTTTCTGATGATAAAAGAGCAGAAAATCCAAACTAATTTAATTGATGAAAGTATTCATAGTTCAAAAATTAAATTTTAATTCCAACTATTTTTAATGAACCTTCAGACTTAGGTCTTATAGTAAAACTAACAGGATGATTTTTAGTATTACTTGGTAAATTAATTCCTTTTGGATAAGTAACACAATCACTACCCTCAATTTATAACACTATTTTATCTAATTAAAAATCAAAGGAATAATCATTTGAAATATATAAAATTAACTCAATAATAGTATTGAGAGGATATTTCAAATCATTTTTAGATTCCTTATTTGCCCAAGGATTCACAATAAAAATATCTTAATCTTCAGTTTATGTTTTAGTTTATTTATTGATCAAACTATATTTTTCTTTTAAAGGTAAGATTTCAAGTCTTTCAATTTTAGGAATCATTAACAAATAAGTTTATTTTAATTCATGTTTAACAGATTCTTACTACAGAATTCCAAGCATAGTTTATAATTGTTATTATGTAAAATCAGCTTTAAACATTTACATTCTCTGTATCTAAGTATTATGTTAGAAATAAGGTCTAATAATATATAAATATAATACATTCCTTAAAAATTATGTTAGATCTCTTAAACAAAGTTATGTTAAAGTGATGCCCAAAATATATTACTCTATTAATCAGAAAAATAGGAATTAAGACAATACATTGTACTTGATAGTTTAGTAAGTTCCAAAGCCATTGATTTATTGATTGTAGCTAATTGAAAACTAGCTAAACGAATAAAATATGCTTATTTTCTTTTCATTTATAATTATCCGTATAATTCAGAAACAAAAAGATAAAATTTACATTTTTCAATAGGAGATTCAGGATCAAAGGTTTTAGTAAATAAATCAATTGTTTTATTTAGTCCTAATTTATCATTTGAAGCTTTTCTATACTACATCAATTTGAAGAAGCATTCAATTTCTAAATTTATGAATTTAGTTTTTTTAAGGAAAGTTAAAGATTCTCTAAAATGTTCTTCAATTTCTTCAGAAACTGATTTTGATGAAGCTAAATGTTATTAAATTATTCCACACCATAAATAATCATTATTTTTATTCAAAATATCTAAAGCTTATTTATAATATTCTATAGCATCTTAAGAGTCATTGACCATTAATGCAAGATCACCCATTATTTTCATTTATCTACCTTATTTTCTCTTTTTAAGTTTAGATTAATCATTAATCTTTTCTTCTTTCATATTAAATAAAACAATTTAGGATTGATCATTCCTTTAATTATTTAATAATCATACTTCAATCTTAATATTTCTGATGCAAAATATTCAATTATCTAACATAAATATAATTGTAATTAATCTTCTAAATAATAAATCATTTTATCATCACTTAAAGGAGGAATAATAATAAATGTTTGTTCTTATTCTATATTTTAAAATGAATTCACTCCACAATTAAATAAAAGAAATCTTATCATCTTATCATCATTGACTTTTTTTTTTTATTTATTTATTTCATCTATTGGAATCAACCCTTCCTATAAGTCAATTACAAAAAACATCAAAAAAGGTCTCCTATTTGCAATAATATTAATATTTACATATAAATCATCAACTCAGGCCAATCCAGTTAAAATTCCTAATCTACTACACTAATTGAAACATAATCACCATTCCAATCCTTTTTAGAAAATACTCCCATAGTATTTTTGTACAATTAATTTTAATAAAAATTACTAAAATAAATCTTTTAAGGCATTTATTGGAAAATTCTTATCATTCTGTCTAATTAATCCTGTTATGTATCTCCTAGCTTTTTGCATAACAATTTGATTGATTTCATATCCTCTAATGTACGTTCAAATGCATTCATTATTAAAAATAATATAAATTTTATTATTTATAATTAACAAACCAGAAAATTACAATTTATAATATATTCATCATATTCTACAAAAGTATATAATCTTAAATATAATTTCATTGATTTGGTAATTGTTACTGAATTAACTTTATTAAATTTTCTTAATGATTTTTATCTATTTTGTTTTTCTCAATAAATTGAGATGCTAATTTTTTAGCAGTATCATTTTCATTTACAATAATTCTCTCCTTTTTGTTATTATCAAGAATAACATCAATAAACATTAATGGTTACTTATGACCCATCTCTTATTCATAAATTTAGTCTTCTAATTATTGTCTCTTTTTGGAATTACAAGTTCCTTACTTAATAATAGCTTAACTCAATTATCTTTAAACTCTCCCTTTAATCATTCTTTCTATCGCTATATTACTATTTGCTGGTTTCATTTAAAGAACAGCAGGCTTTGTTTTAAAAGTGTTTGGAGTAAATTAATTTAAATTAATTTATGATTTATCACATTAATCATTTTATTTCTATGGTTTAGATTAGAGATATTTTGATTTTACTTGACCCTCATTTATTTAAGGGTTAAAAGTACATTACTCTTGATTAATTTTTTCTTATTCTTCAATTAGTCTTTATTTCTTTTTATTATAAATTTAATCATAATCATTTAAAGTAACATTTGCATTTTGAATTTCAGATGCTACTCTTTTTCGATGCTAAATTGCTAATATTTGTGTTTATTTATTAGTTTTGAAAGAAGTATTAACATCTTAATATAATTCAGTAGTTTTTTTATAAGCCAAATGATTCACATTTAGAATATTATATTTTTATAATAATAACTCTGGATTATAAACTCTTAAATTTCCATTAATAAATTATGTTATTCCATTGTTAAATTGAATAGGAAAGTTAATTTTGTATTGATTTTCATAATTTGGTATTTATTCTATTTCATTATGATAACCTTAAACACATAATAAAAAACATAATAAGTTTCTTGACAATATCAAATCGAAATCTGGAGGACATTACAAATGTTAAAATATATCTATTTATAATTATTTATTTTCTATTGGAACAAATCCCAAATTATCCAAGATATCACACAATTCATTAAAAGTAATTAAGCATAAATCACATTCTATTTAGAATTTAAATGAGCATTGTTAATTAAATTTTTAATTTTCTAAAGTATCACACCTTGCTAAAGTTAATACTTTATAGAATTCTCTGACAAAGTAATGAATTACAAGTTTTTCATTGTGGCTTCCTCTCAATGAACCTTAAAAATTTCTGCTATCTTTAGTTTATTTTTATTTTTTAGGCTAAAAAGCTTGATTATATAATCTATTCACAATATCATTTATTTTAGTTTAATCTATTTTATCTTTATCTGGTTTATCATTAACAATAAGTTGTTATGTCTATATTTAAAGACTTTACTTATTCTAACTAAGTCTTTCCCAAAAATTCTCTTTGTTTGATTTATTCTTATATTTTTATTATGGTGATTACTATGTCTAAAGAGGTTCAGTACATTCTTGAATAAAACTTTTTTTAGGTGACATATAACGTGGTTATGACATATCTTGAGATTTCATTTCTATACTTTTTTGACTGATTCTTGGCTTAAATGAACATTATTGCAATTGTAGTTATTCATAACTATTTCTTAATTAATTTTTTCTCTCTATTAATTCTTAATATTCTGAATTTAATTTATTATGTAAGTTCTATTTTTATGTTAAAATTCTTGGATTTAGTAAATGGTTTTGTTTTTATTAAGTTTCGTATATTAATTGATTTTATTAGGTTATAAGATAAAATTAATCTTCATTATTATTATCAGTAAGAAGTATGGACTTCTCAGTTAATGGTGTGATGGGACTATCACCTAATAATGATTTCATTTATTAACAGAAAAATATTATTAATAAATAATTTTTTAATTAAATAATTCAAATATAGACTCATTCAGTCGATTCTTTATTTGTGGTTTCATTTTCATTGTTTCTAAATATTGTAACCAAAATATCAGTTAACTATTCAATTCTAAGATCTAAAAATGGAATTATTTATATACTTTCAAAAAACTTATTATAACTTTTAAAGAAGGATTATTCTTTAAATTCAGTTTATGGATTTTTCTTTTTTAATCTAAAAATCTTGAAAATAATGAATTTGACTATAGCTTTTTTAAAAATGATAATAAATATCATGATAATTCCTACACTTAAAACAGAATATATCACCCAACTAAATCTCCAAAATAATCTTAGAAATAGATAAACACTAAATGGTAAAACAACAATTTAATAACATTTAATTTGATGACTAAATAGATCAATAGTAAATCTCTTATCAATCTAATAATTGTGTGTAATAGCATATTTATCCCAAAAATAAATGTAAATAGTAAATCCAAGACAAAATAGAACAGCCATAGGACATATGTAAATTAAACAAAGAGCAGTAGTCAATATAAAAAGCATATTAAATTATCTTCCTCTTTAAGCAATATATGCTGGAGTCATGATTTAATTGAGTTAACCTTAAAAGAACCTTTTTGGATTAAAATTCTTTAAAGCTTTTCTTTTTCTCAACCAAAACTTAGTGTGTCTAATATGAAATGTATGAAATATTTATTTAAATATTATTCTATGTAATGATAAAGTGACTAAATCATAACAAGCGACTATTTTATTTCTTCCTTCCCATATTTCAAATGTAGCTATATAAGGAAAGAATTAAATTAGAAAATATTGAATAATAACAAAAAAATGCATAATACTTTCTTCGACTTCAGTAAAAGTACTTCTTCTACTTTTAGCCATCTATCCTAAAATTGTTAAAGTTGTATAACTTGATAAAAAAGTCACCAAAACAGCTAAGAAATTAGCTAATATTTTTTCCCATATTGATAATTATCCAGTATTTTTTCTATCTGTTTAATGTGGATTGTTTTGATAAAAATAAATTAATTCAAAACTACCCATCAATAAAAAACTTGCAATAGCAGCTGTAAATATAGCCTTTAGTCTAAATTTTAATCTTTTAAATGTATCCATACCTAAATTTTCCCAAAAGATTCCATTAATTCTGAATCCCCTTTTCACTCCTATTTAATAATGCACTTATTCAACATATTTATTACTATAATCATATTATTATTTAGCTAATTGAGTATTTTAATTGAATAAACTCACTCTTGCTTATTATTCAGGTTATGATTGAATTTATAAATCATCTACAGAAACCGTTCTACTATCAGAATATAAAGATGTCAAATCAGACACTTAACTTTTTTATTGTTTTTTCAATTTATTTTACTCTTTCATTACTTCATATCTAATAAGCAACTAAGGATATATAAATAGTTTATACATTCTAATACCACTTTCTTCTATAATGTAAATATGCAGCATCTCGTTATTCTTTTGATTCAAATTTAATAATAACTTTGTTTGTATATGGGAGTCCATTCTTTAAATAAGATTTAATCTTTTATGTTTTAAACATAATATCTTTTAATTGTTATTTAAACATCTGATCAAGCATCTCTAAAGTGAATGATTTATATGTTTTAATTTATTTATCAGTATATGTAGTAATCATCCCTGTTTCCTTTAATTCTTTCATCTATTCTAAAGTAATCATAAAATCAAGTAAAGAATTCTCTCTATCAATATTCATCTCATTTATTTCATGAATATCATAAATATATACTAATTCTTAAATTGAATTTTTATTTTCAAACAAAACTGATTTTTTAGCAACTTAATCAAAAGTGTTCATTGCAATAGCCTTACAAATTGTTTAAGAAATCTCTTCAGCTGTCATCTTATATGGTAAATGTCTAACATAAACAGACTTTTTATTTTCTGTTACATGATTTACTGGTTCTATATCCCAATATTTAATTTATTTGTATCTAATAATTATCTCATATTCGAATGGTAATAGTATGTTCATTAAAAAGATAAAAAAAGCTGCTACTTAAATGTAAGTCTATTTAAATCCACTTCCACCATTCTTAATATCTTATTCAGCTGAACATTAAATCTATGATAAAAATGGATCTATTGCTACAAACATATATATTGTATTCAAATCACAAGCATCTTTGTACTCCTGTGATAATTGCTAATTGATGTTTGTTAAACATATTTCGACTCCATTTTACAAATCATTACAAGTTTCATTAACTTCTTTAATAAAGAAAATTCCATATACACAAAATAAAATGATAAAGAGAATCATTTAAAATTTGAGAAATGTAAAATATAGTGGTGCTGCAATACCATAATCTTTCACCAATAATTACCAAATGTTCACTGTAAGGAAATTTATTCGTTTTCGATTCAATGGTTTACTTTATAAATAATCATATAATAATCATACTTGCAACACGGACATTCCGTAGCTTATGTTTTATCTAGAAAATCTTAATCTGGTTAGATGTAATGACTTTATCTATGTAATTCGGCTTAATCATAACTACATGGATAAGCATAGTAATTATTTTCAGGCATTTTTATATTTTTAGCCCATTCTAAAGGATCTATTGAAGACAGTCTTTCTCTAAATTTTGTTGATGAAAATCGATGTTATATTGGAACTTAACCTTGTCTATCTTAATTAAAATCCAAAGTTGCTAATTAATTTGTATAAACTTATTAATCATCTTCAAAATTTTCAATGAGATTTTCATTATCAGAATTATTCATTATAATAATTATATTAATTTAATAATGGTAAAACTTTAAAACAAATAAAATAAGAAATCTAAAAAAACTTTACAACTCAAAAAACTCTCTGAATAAGTACCTTAATAGAAATATTAAAAATATTAATAAGAAGAACTATTGTTATTCGAAAATGATAATTAAAATTAAAGTGATTAATCTATCAAATAAGAGTAATCAAATCCTAAAAGAGAATAAGAATTAAATATTAATCATAATAATTAATCTGAACAAGATTCTGCTTAATGGATTGATGAATTTGATGAAAAAATATAAGTGGATTTAAGTAAATAAACTAAATTAAGAAAATTAATTAAAAATGGTTAAAATTTAGTTACAGGAAAAGAATATTAAAAAAAATTAAGAGAATTTTATAAAGATCAATAACAAAATAATGAATTTTTAAGTTGGGCATAATCTAAATAATAAATTAAATAAGAGAAAGAAAAATAAGAATAGAGCTAATTGAATAACAATTTAAAAGAATTATTATCATAAAATCTTTAAAATCAATTAACTAAAAGTAGTCTGCTTACTAATAAAATAATATAAATTGAATAAGCTGGAATTATAAAAGCAAAAATAAATACTGTTATATAATCAATTAGTTTTCATAAAAAATTACCAATATTTGCAGAAGGAGGTTTTGATAAATTAGTTAGAATATATCAATTTAATCCAAATAAATAAATTTAAGTAAAGAAAATAATGCAATATATTTTAGTTAATCAAATCTATAGGATTAGAGAAATTTCCTATCTGTAAATTGTCATTCATGAATGAAAACAACAATATAATAGTAGCATCTCCATTTAAAACATATTTAATTGAAGTGGACATCAATTCTTAAAAGTATAAAAGAATATAATCAACATTATTTGCAAAGCATTTTAATTAATCTGGAAAATATAATAGATAGATAGAATTTTCAATAAGTGAAGATGATAAATATATTGCTTTATTTAATGAATCTGGTTATATACATATTTTGAGTGGAGATAGTAAAATTCTACTTAATGAATTTAAATAGAATGAGGCATGTAAGGCAGTGACATTTGCTGACGAATTTTTAATATCTGCAGGTTAAGGTGGTAAAATATATTAATGGTCTTTATAAAAATAACAAATATATAATGTATTTCATAATCCAGGAGGATTTGAAGTGAATTGTTTAGATTATAAACTTGATCTATTAGCAGTTGGTAGTAGAACAGGTATTGTAAATGTTTTTAAATTTAATTCCGCCACAAAATAATTCAATAAAGATCCAATCAAAGAAATATAAAATTTAACTACAAGTGTAAATGAAGTTTAATTTAATAAATTTTGTGAAATATTATTTATAAGTTCAAAATGGAAGGATTCAGCAATAAAATTAGTACATGTAGATACATTTACAGTATTTGAAAATTGGCCAACAGCTACTACATGTCTGAAAGTATAGATATCAATTAAATTAGAAAATCTCAGCGATTGGAATAAGTAATGATTCTAGATTTTTGGTGATTGGAAATGAAGATGGAGAATTGAGAGCTTTTCGTTTGCTACATTATTGATATTATTGTATATTAAGAATAATTTATTGAATTAATTTAAAAATAAAAATGCTTGGGATAATTACATATACTAAATTATCATCTTTGATCTGTGGTTAAGAATTTGGCATACAATAGAGTATCTTTTTAAATTTCCATTGTAACCATTGAATAGATGATACCAATTAAGACTATAACAAAGAATACTCCAAACCAAATATAAATTTGATAAGTGGTGGAATCCATATTTTAGTAAGGAGAGTTAGTTGATGTCTAAAAAAGTTAAAAACAAAAAAATACAGTAACTTAATTTAACATTCTTGTTCTTGTTTCCATTAAAATTCTCTGGATTTTAGCTGAGTCTTTGGTTGTTGTTAATTGAGGATTTTTTTCTTCTTCAATTAAAATTAGACCAAATAATTCTTCATTTTCAAATGTATTTCTAAAATTTTTAGATAACTATATTATTATAATTAATAATACTTTTTTATGTGTGATTCTCATCATATCATAGATCATCTCTATTTCTGGTTCTTTCATAATTTTTTCTAATTTAGCAATAGATTTATTAATAATAGTTAACATATTAGGTTGATCAGCTTTAAAATAGTAAAAATAATACATTTTTTAAAAAGTGTGGATAGTTTATTCATAGCACAAACATCTTTTAAGAACCCAGTAATTTATTCTTCGTTATCTTATGTAATTTCAATCATTTCATTTGTATTGTATTTATATATTTTTTTATCTTTAGGTGCATAATCAAATGTAGTTCCAAAGAAGGTATCAACACATTTTTCTAAAGTGGAATCAACTTTATATGATTTATCTTTATTTGGTTCATAAAAATAAACTTCATTCTATATGTTAAATATGCTATTTTACATTTTTGCCTAAATAAAGTGTAATAGTCCATTATAAATAATTAATATCTAAATCATCTTCATTTTAATATATTTTGAATCCTAAATTATTTTTATTATAAAGTTTATAAGCTTTCTAAATAAGAGAATCATCTAAATTTTGGATGAATAAGATTACCTTGTTATCCAAAAAGGGATTCCATAAGTGATTTAGGATCTTTTTCTAAAACTTTAAAGCTTTATGAGAATCCCTCAGTTATTCTTTATTCTTTTGAATCTTATCCTGAATACAACTTTTGACTTTCAATAAGAATCAAATAGTTCATATTAGTAGGTGATAAGATATTACCTTTACCAAAAGATCTATATGATGATGAAATATATACTTTATCAACTATTCAAAGACTTTTTGTTAATCTGGTGAAATATGTTCGACTAATCCAACATTGTATTTAATCAATTAAGCTATTTACTTTTGATTAAGGCCTTCTAAGTCATTTATATTCTTATCATTGAATGGATATAAGTATGCATGTGATGCCAAAGCAGATACAACTACCAAAAATCAAAATATGAATACCACAAATGATGAATAGAAGAGTTTTCATTATTTTATTTAATAAAATTTATGAATGATTACTAATATTATTATTTATGAGCTTTTGATTTTGAATTATTAATTTGATATATATATATAAATTTTATCTGTTAACTCATATGAGTTACGATATATCCCAATAGTTCATCGAATTTAGAAAATAAATTATGAACAAAACATAAACAGCTCCAGTAACCAATAATAGCAAAATATAAACCATTTCAACACCATCAAAGAAATAAGAATTTTCAGTTGACATCCTTAAATAATCAATGTCCCAAAACGTCAAACGTCTTAAAGTGAAATCTGCTATTTCAAGTATGAAAATCATATATTTCTCTCAGATATTCCTTTAAGTCCACAAAAATAAAAACCTTAATCACCTGTTAAGAAACAACCATTTAAGAGTCCTAAAAGATTAAAGTAGAATGAACTAATCAAGAGTTCTAATAAATAGATATATAGTAGTAATTCAAAAAGTTAATAATCCTAATTGAATACTTTTTAATTACCGCAATCTTATAGACAATCAGATTATATTGATTAACAAAGCTAAATCAAATTATATTCATCTAAATATCAAAAAATCATGAATGAAGAACAAGGCCTTTATTATAGTCAATTATAGACTAAACTAGATTAATTATCATAAATCATAGGTAATCAAGATGATCGTCAACGGAACTTATTTGAAATAGATAATATGATCAATTAATCTAAACAGATTAATGCTAAATCTAGAGTACAAAAACATCTTGATTCTTTGCAATTTGAAAGTAAAGCCTTACAAAGTGATCTAAACACTATTAAAACTAAAATATCAAGATTTTCTGATTTTACTGATAATTGATATATAAGTTATATATAAAATCATTGAATTTAAGATAAACACCATTACAACAATTACATTGTTTCTGACCATCGATCTTCCTAATTACGACATCCCAATATTACTATTGTGAATGATCTATTATTTGTTTGGTAATAACTTGCCAAACAAGGACCAGCTACTGATGTATTACCTGTCTTTATCCCTCGAAAACCTTAATAGAGTAATTTATTTGTATTTTCCCACATTGCATCTCTTGTAAATCCTTTATAATATTTATTAACTATCATACCTTCTTCATCTTAAATAGTACAGAAATGGATTTTTGTATTTACAACCTTTTTAAAGAATTCATCTTTTAATAACTAATTACATAATTTTGCTACATCATAGGCTGAGGATAGATTATTTTTATTATTTAACCCATGTGGATTTGCATATGTAGTTTAAGTCATCTTTAAGTCTTTTGCTTTATTATTCATTTCCTACACAAAGTAATTTATTGGATTCTTTCCTTTAATTTTATCTTAATACATAGCATAAATTCCAAAATTTTCAGCAAATGCCATAGCTGCATCGTTACCTGATGGTAACATTAATCCATAAAATAAATCCTCAATAGACAATACATCTCCTTTAAGCAAATCAGCTGTTGTACCACCTACTTAACTTGCTTATAAACTAACTTCAGCATATGTATTATTAGTTTAAACATTCATTGTTTTGCACATATTTTAAACTACATAGAATGTCATTATTTTTGTAATTGAAGCAATCTCCCTTCTTTAATTCTCATTAAAGGAATAAAACACATCACCATTATTTGAATCAATTATAATCCAGGATTTAGCTGTCAATCTTGGAGTTAAAACTTTTTCATCATTCCCAATCAAAAATGCTGATTTTAGTTATTATAATCTCTGAGATTATTTCCCCTCCTCTGATTTAGCTTTCAATCTAATGTGATTCGAATTCATATTTTATAAAATATTTATACACAATAAGTTAAATATTTTTATCATTTTTGCCAAACTCTTCAATTTTACTATCTTAACCAATATTATTTTTTCATTTCCTAAAAAGCTATTTAGATAAATAAATTTAACATGAATTCTAATATTTTATTTATGTAACTTCAAATATACAAAATCAACAATCACTTTAATTATGAAATCAATAAGGAAAACAAAATTCTTTCTTATTTTATAAAAAATTGATAATTATTTACATAAATTCAGATTTTAATTTATATTTCTGAATAGATAATTCAATTCAACATAATATTAGATTTCTATAATTGTTTATTGTTTAAATAACTTAAAATGATATTTAAATTAGAAATTGAGAGATTAATTATAATGTAAACCTGAATTGAAATTAAAAAAAATAAATACTATTTATGGATTATTTTATTATTATTATTTTTAATTAAAATAATGTCAGAAAATAATATTAATTCAAATCATAATAATAATAATACACATCATCACCATCATAATTAAAGAAGATCCCCATCACCTTATAATCCTAGAAGATTTGATAAATTAGCAAGAGAAGAATGTTGGAATAATGTATTAGTTGATTTATATTGTTTAAAAGGCTGAAATAATGAAAGGAAGAAATCCAGATAGATGGAGATTGGATGCTGTTGGTAATCCAATATGCAAAGCTTTAAATGGTTGCAGAGGACCATTATGTTATTAATTTGATCATATAGTACCATATTCAAAAGGAGGAGAAAGTATTAGCAAAAATTGTTAATTATTGTAATCATTTGTCAACATATACAAATCAAATAAAGAAAATATATCAAAGGATGAGTTGAAGCAAGTTTCTCCTTAATTAAATTTCACTTCTGAGTAATTTGATGCTATCGAATATGCTATATATGGTTGAAATCAGAAGGAACTCTTTTTGATTATTTTGCTTTTTTTTTACATTTTTATTTAACTGTTTTGTTTGTAAAAATAATTGTCTATTTCTATAAATGCCTTGTTGTTTTAAAATTACGGTAAAATTTATTCATTTTCTTGTCTTACTACTATTGTTTTCCCATCCCGATTTTCTTTTAGTCTCATATCTATTCTATCGATGTTTTCTATCATGATATTTTCTGTTATATAATTAATTATATATTTTAACTTAGAACTGTCACTTGAACTATGTCTCCTCTTTCTGGATTGTGATCTTGATCTTCTACCTTTGTTTCTACTTCCATTCTCATCTACATTAGTTTTACTATCTTAATACATTTATTGTTATAATTATGATGATAATTACTATAATAAGAATTTTAATTCTTTTCTATTGATTTTTCTTATCTCTCATTTATTTTATTACTGTTAATTTCTATAGTGCTGATATTAATATCTTAATAACGTTTTTCTTGCATTAGTTAAAATATCATTTACTTCCACTTTATTATCTATCAGATCTATCTCTATCTAATCTATCTCTTTCTTTATCTAATCTTTCATTTTTCTCTCTTTCTATTTTCTCTTATCTCTCTTTTTCTAATCTCTCTTAATACTCTTATCTTTCCTATCTTTCTTATCTCTCTTATCTTTCCTATTTTTCAATCTTTTCTTAAATTTCTTTATCTATTTCTTATTATAGAATAAATTTCATTTATTTTTCAGTATCATATTAATATGAGGTATTATTAAAAAATTCTGATTTATTAGAGAAATAAGGAACTTTTTTGCCTTCTTCATTTACTAAGATAATTTCTGGTTATGACAATTTTCTTTCAAAAAAATATCTAAATTAAAAATCCTCTTTTTATACTTAATGAATATATCAACTAAAATTTAGGAATATTTAAAATCCTCACAATAAATAATTCCATATTTACATCCTTCATCTATAGTAAATTTATTATTTATACATTCAAATAATTCTTCTACTTTTAAAGATCTAATATCAATTTAATATTTGTCATTTCTTCTTTCATAGATTATTCTTTCAATTTTTTCTTTTTAAAATTAGATTGGCAAAAATCTAAGGATTATTTTATACTGGTTTGTGATATCTCTGATTTTTTTTAAAATTCCTACCTTTGGAGGATAGAAGGCAATTAATTACTTAAAAATTCTCACCAAGATATTTCTTGTGTTTTGGTTAATTTTTATTCATATTATAATAAAAAAATTATGCTGATTTATCTTCATTAATTTTAATAATATATATTTATTCTCCTGCTAGATATACTTTTTAAACATCTTCAATATTAATAAAATGATAATCTTTGAATCTATAATTAATATTAATAAAATAAATAAATATTACCTTTCTTTTAAATACTTTTTAATAGAATGCTTATCTTAACATGCTTCAAGTGAAGAATCATAATAAAAGAGAATAATATCTTTTTAGTTTTGCCACTATAAAGGTATTCTAAGATTTAATTAAAAATTTAAAACTTTTCATATTTTCCTGTTTTAGTGGGTTCTAAAATTCGAATTTCATAGCAATTAGAATTAAGAACAGAATTACATATATCACGAATTGATAATTTAGAACCTATGAATTCTATTTTAGATTAAAATTGATCATCGTCACAAGGACTAGAATCACCAGATGAAAATTCACACATGGCCTTAGATGGTGATGGTGGTTAACTTGGAGACCAGACAACATTAAACTCTTTCTCATGTGTATTAAGATGTTTCAAGTCGTAAGTTGAGAGTTTTTACCTATAATAAACAATCGCCTGACTAGTTATAGTATAAAGTATATAATCAATATTTTTCAAGATATCTGTGTTAATACAAACCTGTTAATTCTTTTCCATTATGAACAATTTAACCTCTTAATTAAATATTTACTCTATTCTAAATTTGTTAAACTCTATTCTGCAATTTCAATCATTTTAATTATATTTAAATTTAATATATGTTTTTTTAGATATTAATATTTCTTTCTAATATTTTCCTTAATAAAATTATTATTATAAATATATCATTGTATTTAATATCCTCTCCTTTTCTCTCCTTAACTTATTGCTAATTATGTTTTCAATGATTCAATTTCTGAAGAATATTAATTCAATTTCTCCTTCAAAGCTTATTATAAGCCTCTCATATGAGTAATCTCTTCATCTCTCATTTAACAAACGGATTTCCATTTATCTATCTACAAAATATAATCCTAAATATTATTATCTACTCTATATTCGTTCTCAAATTTAAATTTTATTTCCCTTTCTATTGATATTCTTAATTCCTTTTCCAATTTAAATCTTAACTCCTATTCAAACTATATCCGTCTCTAATTGAACTGTTATTCAATCTATTAACGAATTTAATACTATTCCTTTCTCAATTCTTCCAATTATTAATCTTTTGTAACAACTTATTTCTTTAATTCAAAAATATCATACATCAATGCATCTACATCTACTTATGGTTTTATTTATTTCTACAAAATCAATATTTCTTATTCATATTTTAATCTCAAATCAGTTTCAATCTATAACTTCTATTACTTTTCTATCTAGATTTACTTTCTTATTTCATTCATCTCAAAATTATGATTCTCAATCACTTTCTTTAATTCCTACTCAACTTTTATCTTTATGTTTTTCTCCTATTGCAATTTCTGTTACATTTATTCCTATCTCTCAAATTCATATTAATTATCTTTTTAAGCCAATTATTTCTTTAATTCAAATATCTCATACATCAATGCATCAACATCTACATTAACTTATTTACTTTATAAAACTTCAAATTCTTTAAGAATCTCTTAGTATTTAAATTAATACTCATATATTTATTACTACTTGCTTTATTGATCCTTTTTCAATATATCCATCTGCTAAATCGACATTTCTAATTCTCTTCTCATTGCTAATTCCTATTTCTTAAATTAACTCTATTCTTATTAAAATTATCCTATTTCTTTATTCAATATTTCTATTTACTCCTTTAAAGAATTAACGTTTAATAAATGACCTTGTAATTATCCTTTTATTTAATATTTTTCCTTTTCACACTCCTCTAAATTCATTCTTAAAATATCACATTCTGATCGATATTTCTCTAATTCATTTTTAGAATTAGATGTTAATTATAATTAAGATCTTAAAGATAATCTCTCTCTATCCTACTCCTCAAAATTCATTCTTAATTAAGAATATTCAACCTTAATTCTTTCAAAATCTCCTTTTTAACTATTTAAAATTTATAACTATTATCTTAAATTAATTATCTCTCTTTCAAATTGTTCATTCTTCTAAATCAATATTTCATATTCTCTTCTTACATTCTCTAATTCTTATCTTGTACTATTCAAAACTAACAATTATTATCTTAATCCTTATCTCTCTCTCTCTGTTTCTTCAAACTTCAATATGGATTAATTCTTCTCTTATTCTAATTTTTAAAATTATTATTTTGTCTAATATAATTGCTATTGAAGTATATCAATCTCATTTTTTACTTAAGGTTTCTATCTTTCTGATTCTTACAATTTTAATTATAATATGTCATAGTCTTTTTTCATCATATCATACTAAGCTCTATTTTGCTCTAAAATTATCATCTATTAGTGAGAACTCTCTATATCCTTTTCTAATTTTATTATTTTAAATTAATAAGATTAATTATCTTTTTCTAAATCATTTATTTTATATCTCAATTTGTCTAATTCATAATAATTTTACTATAGTTATTATTTTTCTCTTTCCAATTCTTTACATTTCATTTACCATCTTTCTAATTCTTATTTCACTAAATTTGTATCATTTTCACTATCTTAATAATCAGTTATTGAAGATCTCAAAAAGTTTATTTCATTCTCATATGTTTTACATTTTAAAATCCAAGTTTACATTTCAGATTTAAGTGCTTCTATCTCAGAATTAAATGATATTGTTATTTGTCTTTTTGAAATCATCAATTAATTGTTTAATTCTTCAATTTTAAACCTTAATTATTCATTTTCTTTTTTTATTTTTTCACTTTCTTGTATTGCTCTTTAATATGTATTCTACAATTCAATATTTTAAACTTTAAATATATTTGCTTCTTATAATTACTTTTCCAATTAACTTATTTTAAGTAAATAATTAGCTTCATTATTTTTAAGGATATTTAATTCTTATAATTACTTTTCTAATTAATTTATTTTAAGTAAATAATTTGCCTCATTATTTTTTAGAATATTTGTTTCTTACAATTACTTTTCTAATTAACTTATTTTAAATAAATAATTAGTTTCATTATTTTTATACATATTCGCTTCTTATAATTATTTTTCCAATTAACTTATTTTAAACAAATAATTAGCTTCATTATTTTTTAGAATATTTAATTCTTATAATTACTTTTCTAATTGATTTATTTTAAACAAATAATTAGCTTCATTATTTTTATACATATTTGCTTCTTATAATTATTTTTCTAATTAATTTATTTTAAATAAATAATTAGCCTCATCATTTTTTGATTTTATCAAATCATATTCCCTTTTCAATCTCTCATACTCTTAAAGTAAATTAGTATTTTTGGTCTATAGTTCTAAATATTATGTTTTATATATAGAAATCTCTGCCAATTATTTTTCTAACAATTATATTTTCTACACGTTATTAACCTCATCGAATCTGACCCTTAATAATTCATAATCTTTTCTTAAATTGTCATATTAAATTTACAACTCTGCTAACTATGATTTGTAGATGTTTGAATTAGCTAATTGTTTTTCTAATTATACGATTCTAAATTCAAAATCTTTTCTTTCCTTTTCTAAAATGATGATTGAATCATTTTTCTTATTTTATTGATCAAGCTTAATTTGAAATTCTTGTAATAATTTATCTTTCTTGTTAATTTCCATCTACTGATATTATATTTAATCTAACAATTCTTTAATCCTGACTTTCAACTAATTACTTTCATTTAATGCATAAGTTTATCTCTCTGATTATGCTTACTAAGCCTATAAATCATTGTAAACTTATTAATATTTGTTTTGCAATTATTTATTAGCATTTCTTAAATCATAGATTTCATCATTTAATTGTTGGTTTTGATTTCTAAGTTTATCTAATTCCAAATTGAATGATTAATTTTATTTTTTTTCCATATTCATTAAAGATGATTTATATTAATCCAAATCCTATTTGCTTTTAAGATCTTATTACTTGTAATAATCTAATTCTTTCTATAATTAATTTAATTCTTATTTCAGTTCTTCTGCATCTGATAATTACCTTTATGAGGTTTTAAATGTTAATTGTAAAGCAGAATAATTCTCATTCATCTAATTCAACTGCTATCGAAGTCTTTGCATATCTGCCAATTTATCTTGGAGGTCAATAATATATTTTTCTAAATGGCTTATTTTCTGTTTATCATTATCCTAAACCACACTTAATTAATTATTCAGTTGTTCAATTTGATTTTTCTGGTATTCATATTATTATAGTAAATTATTATGTTTATTAGTTAAATCTTATAATTTTCTTTATAATTAATCTAATTATGATAATAATTCATCATTCTTTCGAATATATTAATCAGATCGATTTTTATCTCTTTCCATTTAAGAAATTTATGCTTGAAAATCTCTAAATCTACTTTATAATTGAGTATTAGTTTATTCCAATTCTTATATATATTATTGATTTTTATTAGCTTCATCATCTAATTATTATCTTTTTCTTAATATTTATTATTCATTTTAAGTTAATTATTATTTAAGCAATTAAATTTCATGTAATAAAGCATCCTTTTCATCTTGCCATTTCTATTATTAATATAAAAATTAATCTTTAATTTAAATATTAATTGTATTGCGTTGATCTGAGATTAACCTTTCTCGTTCTTAATTCATATCTTCTAATTGTTTTTAATATTACTTTTATAATTATGTATTTTGTTGCTATAATTGAATATTCTACTCTTTAAGTATCATAATTTCATTATTATTTCCTTAACTAACTTTATTAATTTATAAAACATAACTTTCCTCTTTTTAAATAAGATCTCGAATTTACATTTCTAATTATCTAATTTTGGCTAAATAAGTTTAATTTTCTTATTGATAATGAAGTGATTCATCTTAAATGTATCTTGATTTTTCGTTAAGTGATTTTAATCTAAATAATTCTTATTAAAGATTTCTCAATTCATTATTCAATCCATCAATTGTAGATCTCATTCTTTAATTTTCTTAAATTAAACTTTATTCTTATGTCAATCCTTTTTGTTTTATTTCATTTAAAGCAGATATTAATTATTCATTATCTCGTTTAACTTTATCTAAATCCAAATTTAATCGATCAATTACTTATTTATACCTTTAGATCTCTTCTTCATAATCTTTAATTGATTGATTCATTTAATCCAATGTCTTTTTCATTTGTTAATTATCTTTGTATATTTATTGACATTCATGGACTTTAAAATTGAATGATTACCATTACCTTTTTAATTCATGTAATTAAGTTAAAGTTATTATGACTAGATTTCTTATTTTAATGTATCATTCTCTCCTTTAATCTAATTATAATCATGTTGTGATTATTATGGATTTTCTTTTTTTGTTTTACAATATGTACAAGGACATGCAAATTAACTTTATAATCATTATATAAATACTGCTGCATTAAGATATCCTATATATTATACAAATAAATTATATTTATTAAGAATCGAATTAAAATTGAGTTAAAGGATATTCAACTAAAATGATTAATAAAATGTCCAATTTTCGACCTTACAAATACACACAAGAAGAACTCACAATTAGCAAAAAAATAAAAATAGAGGATCAATAAATTACTCTACCTTTAACTGTGTTTTAATAATTGGTTGAGAAAGCTAAAGAAGAAAATTAAAAAAAAGAAGATACAAAAAACCTTCTTAGAAATTTTGGAAATGCCTTAAATAGATTCATACTACATAATGAATAAGCCTTAAAAATTATTACACTTTACATTCCTGAAAATAATGTTTCTCATTTTAAGAAATGGGTTACTAATTAAAAATTAGAGAATTTTGAACAATTCAAAAGAATCTGGACTGTAGATGGAGATATTTATAAAAAAGTATTCTCAGAATTATCTTTCGAGTTTTACTCTAAACATGCATATTCCTATGTGATGCATTCACAAATGAGATCAGAATCAACAAAATTAACTCATTTAAAATATATTACTCGTTTTTTAGAAGGTATTGTCTGTCCAGAAAGCTTCTATTATTTTAAAAAGTGAAATCATTAATATTAAAATGTTGTTATTGCCATTTTTATTTATTTTATTAAAAATAAACAACTATTTTCAACTATTATTATTAAATGAAGCATTTTCTTAACATTTACAAATACTTTCATCAACTTGAAAATAAGAAAAGAGTTCATTTTTTTATTTATTTGATTTTAGATGAAAATAAAAATAAATTCAAATATTTCATTTTGGTAATAAATGATTTTCAATAATCCCCTTTTCTATTCCTCTTATTATCTTATTCATATAATTTATTTAGAGTCTCTTGATTTCTGTTACTCCTGAAGAATATTATAAAGCTTCACAAGGTAATCCATACTACACATTTCCAATTCCTTATATATTCTATACATTATTTGAAATATTTCGACATTAATTTAAAATTTGTAAAAGTTAAATATTGCTTTTAATTTCCTTTAATTCCTACAATAATATTTATTTTTTCAAACTATTAGTCTAGGCATCAGTTTAATAAATTTTGTTTTCTTCCAATTTAATTGCTTGTTTACATTTAGGACAAAATTGATTTGAATTTCCAGATATCCATGTTTTTAAACAACTTTTATGATAAACATGACCACAAGATAATTATTTACCATTTTCTAATTCATTAAGACATATTAAACATGTAGAATCATGAGATTCTATTTTATCTACATCTTAAATTTTGTCAATCATTCGAACTAGTTTCATTTAATTATAAAATGCTTTTAATTTCTTAAACATAGCTAAAGCATTTTCAAATGTATCAACAAATAAAATCAATAAAAATCCTTATGTATTCAATACATATTAAAAAAGCATAATTTAAACACATAATTTCAACATTGTTGATAGTACTTCTAATCCAGAAAAAATAATTTATTTTGAATCAAATTATGAAAATGTTTAAATTTCGAAGAGATTAATAACATACTTTATAAAAGGCAAAGCTATTCTAATTGGTAAAAGCATAAATTCAAAACCAAATAATACATTTTAAAATTTCTCCTCTGTTCCATAAAAAAAATAGAGACTTATCTAACTAAAATATTTAAAATTTGTTACTTTTATATCAATATAAAATAGCATAACAAATGTTAGCAATAATTTTAAATTGTCACTAAAATTTATTTAGGATTCTGCAATTAAAAACCCAGCTCTTTTTATTGAAATCCAATGAATTATTGATAATGCGATTAACCAAAGCATTAAAACTACAGATAATCTATAGATATCTTACATATAAATTGCCAGTCTAATGATTAATAAAAGAAGAATAATAAATAAGCAACTTCTAAAATTTTTCTCTTTGTTTTATCAATCACGGACTATTCAATAATAAATTATAATTTTATACTATTTTTTCAATTTCCTTTAATTCTCCAAACATTAATTTTAAAAAAATCATTATCAATGTAGAAACGATCATAATGGCAAAATTCACAAGTATTGTTCTATTTATCTTGTTTGTGCTTAAATATAAGACTGATGGATAAAATTGCTTATGAACATTGAAAGAATTATAAATTGCTCCTAATGTTATGGCTATGCTGAAAAAACAATAAAACTTTAACATTTTTAATATATTTTTTAATAGATGATATAAAACATCATAGATATTTAATATCAAACATAGAATATTCTAATATTTAATATTGATGATTAATCACAAAAAACCTGTGTATTTTTCCATAATTAAATATCTATTTGTGGAATATATATACAAATATGTGTAGTATTTATGAAAAATAAAATTCTAAAAAAAAAAGGAAAACTGCTTTATTCTAACCATCAAATCCACATGAAAAAATAGAGTTTATAGTAATGCTTCTTTAAAATAAAGATATTTATTCAAACAATCCTTTTAATTTAATATACATACCTTAGCCTCAGAACTAAAATATTGTACAATTGAAGGAATCTTATTCAATGAATATATCATTAAGTATTGATTGGTTGCTTATATGAACGTTGAACTGACACACATATTTAAAGCTCCATAAAATGAACTAGAACAATAGAAAGAATAGTCATGATCTTAAATAATAATAAAAAAATTATATACTGGGCATCTTGTGATTGAATTTATTTATGAAATTTTGAATTGTCAATAAAATTCAAGCTTAAAAATGAATTATAATAGCTTATTATTTTTTTTAAACAAAGCATTTTCGTTTTTTATTATAAGCTAAGATATCATTAGTTGTGTTATCCCATTTATTATGAAAATTTAAATTATTAAAATATTGATAGGTAGCAAATGATTAATTTATCATAGAAATATTTTTTAAATATGAAATTTAAGTTGATATTAATATAAAGTTCCTTTAAATAAAAGTGAATTTACTTATATTAAAGATGTATATTTCTGTAAAAATAAAAAATTTCAGAAATTATTCTAAGAATTAAACAATGCGCACACCTATTTTTACGGAAGTTCTTAATTAGAACTAATTTTTTATCTTTTTCTTTTTAAAAATTATTTGTTCAATGTATTTTCAAAAATTATTTAATTAGTTTAATAACATTACAATTAGAATATTAAGATTATTTTTAGTAAATTTAATTTTGAAAATTGTATAAATTTTTTCTAGAAATAATGAAAAGTATATTTTGAATTGCAACAGACCTAAAATAATTTAATTTGAAGAAACATTAGAAACTAGATAATATTTATTTGATATTTATATAAAATACACAGAAATAAAAATTATTAATAATTTTAAGCAAAACCATGTCAGAAAATATCTAAAACAGAGTTTCATCAATTTTTGAAAAGCTTAACAACATTTCAACAAGTGTTCAAGACGAGTATATATAGTTTTATTATATTTCCTAGGAAAAATAATCGATTCCATACTATAAGCTAATTAATAATGGCATTTGAAGCTTAATTATAACATTAATCTGACTAAAAGGAAGAAAAATTTGCTTATATTGCCTAGAAAGTTAGATAATTAACTGAATTTTTAGAATAAGAATAAGAAGAGTAAAAATATTTAATAATTCTTTAGTCGTGAGAGATAAGAAAGTGAAACCTTTAAATTAATAACAGATCTTGAAAGACATGCTAGAAGATTGATTGAACAAAATTCTAAAGACAGAGTTGAATAAGAAAAAAAGATAGTTTATACTATAGGATAATAAATAGAAAGCTTATAATAGGAAGTTGTAAAAGAAGGATTGGTATATTATTTAAATAATGTTTTAGGCTCAATCTACATCTCATGAATATATTGATTCATATTTGAATGAAGATTTACCAAAAATAGCTGATGAATTATAAAATGAGATAACAGAAAGAAAAGACGTTGAAGAAAAAATATATCATTAATTTGTCGAATAATTAAATGATTTAAGAGAATTATTTGATAGGTAATATAAGTTATTATTATAAATTAGAGAAAAGAAAGAAAGAGAAGCCAAAGAAGAGGAAATTGTAGAAAGTTTAAGAGAAATATCAGGAAGAATTTAAGAATAGCTTAAAAAAACTAGAACTGAAAGAGAGAAAACTGAAGAAACTCTAGTCTAATTAGTAGAAAAAGTTATTGAAAAACTCAAGAGAGAAATGTTAGAAATGAACTTATGATATTGGCATCACATATTATTATTTTAAATTATTTATTATTATTAAATTATCCCCTAGAATTGTCTGTTCTTATTTCATTCATGTGAAGATTAGATGTGAGATTAAATAAATAAATTTTAGACAATTATTTTCATTTTTATTAGACTTTTTGGATTATTAATTTTTTTATAGTTTATTAAGCTATTTAAGGATCATGATTAATTGTGATAATTTAATTTTAATTGAAACAAAATCTATTTTACTTGAAATCAAATTTTTAATTATGAATTGTAAAATCTTTTTTTAATTATAAAAGATATATTCTCTGCTAGAAATTAGATAACAACCGTTACTCTAGTTTAATAACTATAAGGAATTTCATAATGTATTATCTATAAATTATAATCCATAATACATTATTATAAAGTAAAATTATCATTTTTAGTTAATCTATAGGGATTATATCTTAAAATAATATTTAACTATTTTTTTTTATGTATTTTCAATTTTTATTTTATTAAAATTTTCAATATGTTCTTAAATATTTTAATATTTATAGATATTAATGGAGAATGATGAATTTCAAATAATTGTAATTTTATTTTAATAATTCTTTTACTAGTACTAAGCAAATTTTTATTAGGTATTTAAAAAAAGTGTTTTGAGCCTATTGGCAGATCAATGGCTTGTTATCTTTGTCTTTGTATATTGGGATAATTAGATAAATTGAGAAGTTGTGTAAAGTAGCAAATAATTAAGTTATTTATTTTATTTAGTTTATAAAATTATTATCCTCAAATGATTCTATCTAATCTTCAATAGCATCATCTAGTAGCAATAATTTTAGAATTAGAATAATTACTCATTTACTCACAATAATAATTTATTTTATTATTAATTTACAAAGAATAAAAAATAAAATGAATCAGTTATTCCATCTCTTAAAAACACTCATATTTAATGAAGTTGAAAACTCAATAAGATCATGATCACTCAATTATAATTATTAGAATTACAAACCCTATGCTATTGCCATTATAAATTATGACTTGGTGTTTTTAGAATAATAAGTAACCTGATTTGCTTCTCTGCATCTGAATCGAGCATCTTGAAGAAAAAATCCTTTACAAGTCTTTAAGTGATTTTTACAGATTATATCACCATATTGAGTAATGAAAGCAGGGTTCTTGCAACTATGATACCACTTTTTAATCGATATTGCTCTACATTGACACTCAGAAGGACAACTGCAAACTAAAGGTATAATTAATCCCTTATGAAGTCCTCCAGGTGGAGGAAAGCAATTATTGTCTTAATGTTAATACATAATAATAAATAGTGATGATCCAGTTTAATCAGCTTTTAATACATTAATTCTATCAGATTTAATTCTATTTAATATAATTTTTTGAAAACTTCAATGTTTAAATTAAATATTACAATTTTAGTTATTTTTATATTATTAGCATAAGGAATAATAAAGTTGAATATTATTTGATAAATCCATTCATTTACCAAACATTCTTGCATCCATTAGCCCTGCTTCATTTTCTTAATTTTAGCGTTGATCATTCTAAATTACTAATTTAGATGTAATATTAATACTATAGTCAAACTTTTTATAATATATCATCAAAAACTTTAATTAAAATTATTTATATCCTATTTAATTATATTTATAATATTTATAATGATTAAAAATTTCAATAAAAAAAAATTCTATTTGATTAATAAAATAAATTAACATAGCATAAATGTTTTAGGATCAACAAAATATTAAACAAAATACCTCAATTAAGTTACTTTATATAATCGCATGCATAAACTTCACTAGCATTTTTCTATTGGCAATAAGTTCTAACATCATATCACATCTTATTTTGTGTTTTCGTGCATTCCAAATTACTATTTGAGTATATTCAGATATTTCATTTACTTTTCATAATTTCGATATGAGATATATAATTTGCATAATTTAGAAAAAATAATTTAATGTTGATTAAATATTATTATATTTTAATAAAATTTTAGATCAACTTATCATATTGCTCTCATATTTTGAAAGAGAATAAGTTTAAATTCGTAGTGATAGAGATCTATTCTCATTTATTTATAAGTTGTGCAAAATAAAAGAATATCAAATAGAATTATTTATTAGGGATTAGAAAAATCAATAAATAGAGCTAAAATTTAACAATAGAAATATTAATAATTTATTATTAGAATATACTGTAAATATTAACGATTAAGTGAATAATTAATATAATATTAAATATTTTGCTTGCAAATGTTAAAGTCAGTTATTTCTAATAAGGAGAACTAATTTCATCGTATTCATTAGTAAAGAGCTGCTAGAAAAATAGTATAGAATTGAAATTATTTCCAGATTAACAAAATTGGAAAATCAACTCTTAATCAGTCACCAATACGAAAACAAGTTGAAAATACAGCTTAATAAAATTTAGAAGCTTTAAGTTCCTATTAAACTTTATGCGATAATTAATAAAGAATTGATTTATGTAAGAATTAGGTTATCAAAGTAAATCAACCGAAAAATAAAATAGATTTTACTCAATAAGAGATAGTTGGTTGGGCTGATGATAATAAAACTTTTGAAAAACAATAGAAATTAACAACTGAACATAGCGTTCAAACAAGTATTAATTAAGAAAAAAAAGCGAGAAAATCCTATTCTCAATAAACATAAAGAATCAAGACAATTCCAAGAATGATAGAAATACGATAAAAAACTTCAAAAACACCTCTAAGAACTACAAAAATTACTAGTCCTTTTATTGAATATCCAAATATGCAAAAGTTTAAATTATTCTTTGATAAAAATATAAAACAACAAAGAATTCCTCAATTAATTATATGTGATCGATCTATGAATGCTATTGATGGATTGAATAGTATTAGTTTTAATAATGTAACCAAAAAGCAAATTTAGCAGCATCGAAGAAATCAAACTTTGTGTGTTGGGAATAAAATGAATAAAATAGACATTATTAAAGACATTACTCATTATTTATGATATTGTATTGATAATTATATATACTTTTACATATTATAATTTTATTTTACATTTTTTATAAAAGCTGTAAACAAGATGCTATTTGATACAAATTAATTAATTAATAATTATTATTATTAATTTTTGATGTCGTAAACAATTAGAAATTCAGATGAATGCTAACTTACTTAGGAACTAGTCGAAAATGTATGATAAAATTTAAATTAAGATAATTAACTATTACTACAAAATTAATCTTTAAGATTAAAAAAAAGAAATTGAAGTTTAATATTATAAAGTAGAGGAAGCAATTGTTTTTTTTAAAATCATATGTCATTATATGGATTAATTGACTATTGAACATGAAGAATTATTAAATTAATATTAAAATTTAGAATAACAATTGATTTAAAAAGAAGCTGAAACAAGACGACATATTTAAATTGAATAATAATTAAAACTTTATGCTGAAAGTTTATTAGAGAATTCTGAAGAATTTTAAAAATAAATAGATAATTTAAATAACTAAATTATAGTACATATATTAAATATAAGACAATCTCTAAAGAAAATGTTAGTCTAAAATAATAAATAAGAGCAAGTAGAAATGAGAGAGTATTAACTGATACTAGTTAAGAAAGATTAAATTCTTTAATTTCGTAATAGAAATCATTACTAAATGAGATTCCATTGAAAAATCTCAAAAAAAGATCATTAGAATCATAAAAGTAAAAAATATATTAATATTTCAGATTTAGAATTTCATAAACATAAAATAATGATAGAATATAAATGATTTGTAATATATACTAAAAAAAGCCATCATTACAAGTTAAGCAAAGATCAAATACTATACATGTAACAGAATTTCCAACAAAAGTATAAAAAATATAAAAATAAAGAACAAATATATGATAAAGCTATAATGTTTCTTGTAATTATATGAAATATAAAATATAGAATTAAAATTTTGATATTCAGTTAATTGAAAATAAAATCAGTAATTTTTAATATGTTTAACTTTATAATAAATCAAATCCATTTGAGTCTTTTACCATTCATCCATTCTCCTTTCAATTTTTATCCAGTCGAACTGGTATAATCTCCAATACCATGCATTTTCCCATTTAGCCACTGACCTGAGTAGCATCGAGAATCAGCTAATAAATAAAAAAATAAAGATACGCCATGTAATAGTACCGAATCCATGTTTTTTATCATTAAAGTAAGATCCTTCATAACGAGTTCCATCTTACCATATCATAATGCCTTATCCATTCATTTTACTAGCTTCCCATTAACCAATATATACTTTAGTATTTACCCAAGTGTATTTACTATAGACAATATATTAATATAAGTTTACCCCTTCCCTGAAAATTCATTATTTTAAAATTATCCTTCATATTAAGAGCCATCAGGAAATTTAAAAAGGCCTTCTCCGAATTTTTTACCATTTTTAAATTATCCTTTAAAAATTGAAGAATCTTTAAAATATTCCTCTCCATATCCATTCTATTAATCATATTACCAATTTCCTTTATATTTGGTTCCATCATAATGATAATATTCTCCATATCCATGAACTAAAATTTAGTAAACTTATTACGTTAATCATCTAACCAATCCCCGATATAATAATCTCCATCTGGATATATCATTCTACCTTTTCCATTAGATTTTCCTTTAACAAAATAGCCTTCATAAATTGCTCCATTCTTCATAATCTAAGCAGCTAAATTTATTAGTTATTATTACCTTTTCCTTCTTTTAATCCTTCAATCCAGGTACCTTGATATAAGGATCCAGTTTTAAGTTCATATACTCCAAAAAAGTATCCTTCTCTATCTTCTAATTCTAAAGGTGGTAATATGTTCAATAATTCCTATAATGTTCAAAATTCTTTTTTACTTTAACTTTTTCTGAATTACTTTCAAATAACTTTGATGTTTCCCATGCCTCAGTCTTTTTAGGTCTATGTAATTCCAACTCTTGAGAATCTTCCATTTACTTTGTTTTTGCTTAAGAAAAAGCTTTGTCCACTTCTAAAGAATGCGTCGCCTAATTTATATTAACTTATTCTTCTATAATCATTATTGGTTTCTGAAATAAATTTATTGTAGGAACCTCACTTGTGATAGGAATTTATTCTTAACATGAACATTACCCCATTTATGATTAAATAATTTCTCTAATTATGGAACTATTCAATTAAAAAATAATCAACAAACTATTATAATTTGCTTTTCTTATATTTTTATTTCGCATTATTTTGAATGTCATTAGCATAATTCATAAAATACAATCAAATAGCATTTCTAAATCAATTTTGGAATACTCTTACACCTGAATCACAAGTAATAAATCCTATTTAATCTACTTAGTTATTTTATGATAGAGGAAATGAAATATTTATATTTAGAGATTTAAATCAAATATTTGTAATCTACAAAAATTAACTAAATCAAATTGTACGAATTAAAATACCATATAATGGATTGATATATAGTATGAATATACAAATAGATTTCTCATACGTTGCCTATTAAACATCTGAAAATTAATTAGTAAAATGTTCTCTTGTAATTCTTAGTCCTTATTTTCTATCCGAGCAAATAAACAATTCTTTTACACTGTATAATCGGAAAAGAATTCATAAATAATATAATTTGAATGGGCAAAAGGTTCTTTAGGAATATTTGACTTATTGGTTATTGAAAATTATGGAATACATCTTCTTAAAATTGATGATTAAGTGAGAAAAGTAAAATTTTTTTAATAAAAAATTTCAAACTGTTGGTATGAACCAAAAAATGAAGTATTAGCAACTTGTAGTACTTCAAATAATGGTTTAATATCTACTTACTTTTTTTCAGAAAAGAAAAAAGATTTCAAATACAAAGGACCTGAATTTTTTTTAGATGATTTTGAACCTAAAGATGGTATCTCAACATTTGCTTCACTATTCAAATCAAAAAAATCAGATGTTCAATAATTTATTGCACCTACTGATAAAAAAAACAAAGATTTATGTTAAGATGAATTGATATCTGATTCTATTTATAGAGTCTATTTAATTCATATATATGGTAAATCTCTTTTAGCATATTCCAATACATTCAGTGGTAAATTAATATTCTATTCACTTAAATTTGAAAAAATTAATAAGTAAAAATATTTACTTAATTTTCCATCTGACATTACTGTAAACTATTTTTATTTCATGTTAGATTAATCTATCAGTTGTTGATAATCTTATTGTCTTATCTGCCATTAATGAAAAAATCTCAATTGTTTTTGATGTTAAAAAATAAAGATCAGAATCTTCATTAGGTCCTGCCTAATCTATCTTAAAATACTAAGAAATTTCAACTTTTAATGTTAAAGAAGTTGAAAACTAATAAGTCGATAATAAAAATCAAACTATTAAAGAAACTTAATCAATCGATTCAATTAAGAAATATTCAAACAAAAATTTAGATGATTTACAAAATGACTAAAATCAATAAACTTTCAAAAAAGAAAAGTTAAAAGAATTTGATGAAAAGTTAGATTAAAACATAACACAAGATCAAGAAGGATTAAATTAAGATATCATTCAATAAAATACAGATCAAACAGAATAATAAAATCAATCTAAAGAATTTCAATAATTTAGAAAGCCTTTTTTTACTTCTGATGTTTAGACTTTAATCTAAGAAATAAGATAAACTGATGATTATTATTAAAAGTTCTTAGTAAAAATGAAATGGTCAACTTTTTCATAAGAATATTTTTCTACTTAAGATGAATAAAGCTAAATATGTAATTTTTTATTTTAATCTTTAGATGAATAAAGTTGTAATTATTAGGAAGATGATTTAATCATTAATTATAAAGAAAAATAAATTTATTAATTTAATTTGAATTTGAAACATTTACCAAACATTTTTGATGATGAAACAGAGGCATTTTGTGGATTAATAAGAAGAAATAACTGTAAAAATACAGTTTTTGAATTCTTAATTTATTTAGCATTAAATAATAAAGCAATTTCAATCTTTTCCATTGTTTTTAAACATATTTTTGAAATTCTATTGAGATCCTATTAAGAAAAAAATAGAGTTGAAAAACTATTAAATGGATACACTGTATTATATCCAATAGATATCAAAGTTAACTTTTTTGAAACCTTATATGAGGATGATAATATGAATAAATTATTTTTAATAGAAATTCTGATAGAATTTATTAGATAATTTTCTGAGATGTTTAAGGATTATAAAATTCCTATAATCGAAATCTAAAATTTATTAGTCAAATTATTGATTAAAACTCATAGATATACTCATTTACATTTCCTAATTTAATATTAGGTTTTATCTGATAATTTAGATCTTGCAAAATTATTAATTGATATTAGTAGCAAAGAATCTCTTGCTTCTAGAAATCTTTAAAATAAATTTTCATCTTATGAACAAGCTTTTTAATTGGGAATAGATATGCTTTATAGGTTATCAAAATATGAAGAACTTTTAGAATATTTGTTAAAATTTGGAAAAGTAAATGCATAAAGTTATTAAAGTTTCATGATGCAACCTTTTTACTTAAAAAGATACCAAATTTAAGAATGAGATTACCTCCTATTTAAGAAGGCATTAAAAATTCTGATTGTTAAAGAGAAGATTTATTAGCTTTCTTAGAGGATGCATATAAAAAATAAAAAACTTATTTTAGTTTTGCAGAAGTGTAAACTTTATGATAAAATTATTTAAATTAATTATTAAATTTATTTAATATAGATTTTTTTATTCAAAGTAATTGTAACCTATAAATTAATTCTTTCAATTAAATTTCTAAAGAATCACTAAATATTAAAGCTTCAAAAGGTATTAAATGTACAATTCTTTTCAGAGATTAAAATAGCCAAGCTAAATATGGATGATAAAAACAATAAAATAGAAATAATATTATAACAATATAGCAAAAATAACAAATACATAAGTACTAAAATAATAAAAATAGGATACTTCTATTACTGTATTTGTGAAATTAGCTTTGGAGTCTGCACTTTAACTAAGTTATTCCGAAAGAGCAAAAAATACTCTTGTCACTATTTAAGAACTTTCTTATTCATAATAATTAATCTCTACACGTTTAGTAAAATTATTGATGGTTTGTTAAGTTTTGAAGGAATTAGATAAATAAGTTAAAGTAGAAATCATGCCTTGTTTTAACATACCATCAAATGCTAACTCACAATATTTAGAAGTTAGATTCTAAAAATTCTATAAGAATTATAAAAAAAATTACTTTATCTATAAATTAGCATAGATTTTCTTTACTAATGGAGAGAAACAATTATATAAAGTCATCATCTACCAAAAATTAATCAAATCTCATTGTATCTGATATTTATATATAATTTTAGATAGATTATTGTGCTGAATCAATAAGTGTATAAAGTTGAATTTTATCTTGATCATTTAAAAATGTAAAATTATTCCATCTAAATAATATTTCTCGATACAAATATAAATTTCCAGTTCTTAATTTAAAATCTTGTATTTTCTAAAATAAGTATAATGTATCATTATATTTAATTAAATAAAGATAAGTAGTTATAAATGTAAATAAAAATAAAATAGAAATAAAAATAAATAAACATATTAACAACAAATAGTTTAGTAATTTTTAATTGTTGAATGATCCTAAATGCAATTTAAGATATTTTTACTCTTAAAATTTATTTGGTTTTATCAAATAATCACAAGATCTATTAATTGGATCATATTATTATAAACAATGCCTATCCAATTTATATTGATTTTTATAACCAGTGAGTTTATCAATTTCTGATTCTATCATTTCATAACTAATTGTATTTAACAAAAAAAATAGCATATCAATTTAAATGAAATAATTGATCTAATAACATTAAATTATAATGTAAAGCAAACTAACAATAAAATATCCGATAAGTAAAATAATTTATTGTTTATTTTAAACATAATTTTTATTTTCGATTGAGTATTGAGAGATATCATTTGTAATATTTTCACATTGGTTATGCAATTTAAAGTAATTAGCAAATAAAGAAATTTGAAATGGTTTTCCAGAAGTACTTTCTCTGTATTAAAATGTCATCATTTATGAAAATTAATATTATAAAATTACGAAGAGTGCATCCCTAAAAGATAGATTGATGGGATAAATTTAAGTTTCATTATCTTCCATAAAATACATGGTAATATTTTAATCATTAAGGAATTCTTATAAATATTCATTATTAAACTATTCATAAAAGCTATCCTTTAACTCTAAAAATCCAATGTCAATATATTGATAATAAGGTTCAGTTAATTCTTATAATCTATCTTTTGGTATAAATCCTTCCCTTTACATTTATTAATATGCAGTAATTGTTACTCTCATAGAAAAAAACAAATCATGAGGAGCCATTATAGCTGCATGAAAAGTTAACATTTCCATTTAAAATTTAACATTTGTAATATCCCTTCTAAAAGAGATATAGAAAAGAATAATAAACAACATAAAAATAGTATGCCATAAAACTACAAGAAAAAAGAATTTTTATAAATGTTTAGGAGATTTAACTCCCAAAATTGATTAAATTAACTAATACTTTTTATTTACTGAAGTATTATCTAAATATGTTTCACTTTAAATGGTAGTTTTCTTAATTTTTCTTCTTCTCATTAATTTATCATCAATTTTATTTGATGCAGCAAATACTTATTCTTAATGCTCAACAGCACCATTTTCTGCAAAAAACAATTACTAATTATTGTTAACAATAGTTTGTTATCTTGAGAATTAGATAGGCATAATAATATTATTATTAATACTTAACTTTTTATTTATAGAATTGCAACTTTAAATTTTCATGTTGGCTATTGACTCTGGAATAGTTTGACTATTTAAATTAATTGCATTTATTTTTTCAATTTCTGACTTATCGGTTTGATCAACTAAATATTTACTTTAATCTTAAAATTTTGGCTTATTAATAGATATTCTTTTCAAAGATACCTAAGTTTATTAATGTTCAGCTATTTTAACAACATTTATTATAAAATATTCGTAATTTGCAATTTTATTTTTTGTTATAACCAAATCACATTCAGTATGAACATAATTAAGAAAGAGTTAAGTCTCTCCAGGAAGAATTGAATTTTTAGTTTGTATGTTATTTTAAGGTTTTGGTAAAATGAGAATACTTTGATTAAGTTTGGAATATTTTATCTTATTTGATCTTATAAATCTAACAAAGTTTGGATATATTCTTGTTATTTATAAATCTTCAAATTTTTCTTATTTACATAAAGCCTCAATATCACTTTCAAACCAACCAATTAAAGTTAGTAAATTCTATGTAAATGTACATCTTAAACTAACCCCATCAACTAATATATAAACTTAATCTTAAGATGCTTCTTATAAAAATGAAGCAAATGTGATATTTTAGTTTATAAATTTGTTAGTAATTATAAAACATAAATTTATTGGAGTTAAAAGTTCATTCTTATTCTTTATGTAATTTATATCAAACATTTAATAATATTTAGCTTCACCAGTTTCAAAAAACTTTTTCACTAAGTTACTATGATGTTATACTAAATATTTTGGTAACAAATCATTGAACTAATGTTCTTCTGTTATTGATTTTCCTCCAAAAGTATTAAAAAACTTATTAGAAAATTGTTATATTTTCAGAGTTTCCATATCATCTTTAACTTCTAAAATCAAATAATGAACATTTTAAGAATTTATGTTAAAATTTTTTATTTACTAAAATTGTAATTTTTATGCTTCAAAAAAGTCTGAATTTCTAAAAAAATTGATTGCCTTTTTGTAATCACATAAAACTTCACCATAAAAAAAGCACACAATTCTATGTAATTTAAAACAAGGTTTATGTTTATATGCCAATGCTAACTATTTTTCTAACTCATATAAATTTTAGCACAGATTATATACTTTATTATGCAAAACACTAATTTAATCATTAATCATTGTTGTTTATACAATCTTTTAATAGAAATCCAATTTTTTTTCAATAAGATCAAATATAAGTTTTTCTTTTTAAGACATAATAATGTCAAGTTCTATATTTTATTCAATATAATCTGAAATAAATGATTTTTAGGCTGCATGAAGGGAAGTACCCAAAGATGCATTTATCTTACTTTTAGCTTAATTAAAAATAAAAGATAATTTTAAATTATCTAAATATGTAAATTTAAGATTATAAACTGAAAGCATTTATACAAAGGTATTATTTTATTCTAAACAATCTTACAAAAAAGTTTAATTCATTGTTGATAGATCAAAATTATTGATTTAAGAAATTTAATCTCGAGAAAATGAAAATGAATTAACTTTGATATTTTCGTTATTTTTAGAAGTGTAATTCAAATAAAAAAGGAGTTTAACAGATCTCATAATTAATCCAAAATCATAAAGCATAAAAGCATATTATAAAAGCATTTAATGTTCTTATTCTTATTTAGAATTAAGTTTAAATAAATGCATAAATTATTTCATTTTTTTCATTGTGAATTCACGATATATTTAAAGAGTTATTCCACATGTTTAAGTAGGAAATATAATTTATGAATGGCAACAGTAGAAGCATTTAATATCATTACAATTTGATCGATGATCAGTAGCAATTAGAGATTTAATGATAATCTCTGATTATTTTGAATCTAAATCATTATTAATTAATTTTATCAATGAATATTTCATCTACCAAGTTGATATAAATTCTGTTTTAAAAAGCGATTTTAATTGTAAACTATTTAAATAATTATTATAATTATTGATAATATAAAACGTTAGCGAACCAAAAATAAAATGTGGTAATAAAATTTGATTCAATATTTATTATGGAAAAATTAGTACATGTAAATGAAAAGCTATGTTAATTGAAATTGCCAAAAAAGTTGATTTTTGTTAATAAGTTAGATTAAGCGTAAAATATTTAAATTAATCATATATTAATGTCATCTCTGATATTAGTACTAAAAGTGATTATATATATTCTATATAAACGAAATTTACCAATATAACTTAATAGATCTAAAATATGATGAACATTTAATAAATAACACGAGGTTTGGTAAGCCTTGTTCTTTCAATATCTTTAACTTAATGTGTAATTGATTGATCAAAATAATATAAAGTAAATAGTGATTCAAGCAACAACATTAATATTGTTATAAAATTGATTATTATGTGAATGAACATAATTTTTTCCTTCTCTAATAATTATATTTATATTTTTAAACTTGTCATACAGAATAAACTAAGTAACATAAATATGTATGTGCTAATCAGTTTTTAATAAAATGTAAAAATAAAGCTCGAAAACTTTAACAACAAATTCTTTCTAATGAATTTAATAAACCTGTCCTAAGTTTGTTATTTTACATAATTGTAAAATAGAAGAGCCCAAAAAAGTTTATGTAGGATAAATATTGTTAAGGAAATGAGATACATATGAGTACTTAGAATAATAAGTAATTATAATATACTTAGAAATTATGAGATCTGGCCTAAAAATAAGAATTAAAAACTAATAAATCCAATTTTACTTGAGATTTTAAAAATTCTATGATTCTAATGTGATTAGCAAAGGATAAAGAGTAATAATAAATTGTAAAACTATAGATATATGTTTTGAAATGTATGAATTCGTTTTTAGGATGAATGCGATTGTTATGTAGTTTGTTATAAGGATATGCTTTTCTTATGACATAGAATCCAAATTAATGATTTTCAAATGCAAAGTCTTATTTATTAATTAAAATAAATAAATCTCATTCCTTAAAGTTGAACCTTAATTTTATTAGAAATAAATTTAATTAATATTCTTATAATATTATCTAAACCATAAAATTCTTCACTCTAAAATGATGTGAAATCTTTAGAAATGTTATACTATATTTAATGATCTTTTTTTAAATTTTAAGGCGAATAGAACATTTCTTTAAAAAATAGTCCAAAAATTACAGAATAAAGAAATTTCAGTTAGATAGAGTATTGAATTATTTGATTATTAAAGAATGTTTGAGGATATTTTTGATTTTGAAGGCTAAAATAATTTTAAAATTTCCAAAAAATAATTTTGATGTGATGAATAATAAAATTGATTATTGTTTGCTTTAATCTAAAGATAAGAAAAACTGAGAGAGAAGAAATGATGAGTAGAATAGAAATTTCTTTTTAAAGTGATAAAGAGAATGTATTAATTTTTTGGTTAAGTTTAAATGAAAGCATAATATTTTTTTAAAGAGAATATTACTAAAGTAATTTAATTTGTATTAAATTAATAGAATAATATTCAAAATATGAAAAGGTTGATTTAGAGTTGAAATGGGATGATATTGAAATGAAAAATTATTATTTAAAAATAATTTAACAATTAAGATGTCATTCATCATTAGCATATGAAGTTTTTAACAAATCTTTAAATTCTCCGAATTCGATTTGACCTGAACTATCCTTGTCTACATCTCTAATGAGACTTTCTATATCAATAGTTAATTCGAATTCAGATTTAATAATTTATACTAGTTTTTCTGTACTTATCTAAAGATTAATAAAAAATTGATACTGATCCTGTTTTATCTGGATTTCCTCCCATGGCTACAAAAGCATCAATAGTGTCTTAGTCATCATCTAAAATGATGAAGATAATAGTACTTACCATCTTAGTTAGAATACTTAAATTTCCAATATACTCCTAAGAAATCACTAAATCTAATTAATCCTGTATTAGTTTCTTCAACTTCACTAATGATTTTGTAGAGTTCATTTTCTGATGGTTTGAAACCGATTTTTTCTAAAGCAATTTTTAAATCTTAGCCTCTAATAGCCCCAACACCATCCTAAATGAAATATTGAATTTACTTCATCCATTTCAGCAAATGCTCTTTAACACATATCGATGTCTTCCTCAGTTAAATTCATATATAAATTTATGTTAATTATATAAATAGGATTAGAATTATAGCAATATATTTAAATATATTATATTCAGCATCAAGGCACGTCATTTTCATCATCTTATAAATAATTAGTTTTGAGTAATTCTTTAAATTCACCAAATTCAATGACTCCTGATCCATCAGTATCTACTTCTTTTATTAATCCTTCTATATCGATCGTTAATTCAAATTCATTCTTTATAATCCTGATTAATTTTTCAGCATCTACATTTCCAGTAGTATCTTCATTTCCACCCATAGCTACAAAAGCATCAATCATATCTTGATCATCATCTGATGAACCAGCATATTTAAGTTTGGCATATAAAGCCAAAAACTCTTTAAATTTGATACGACCTCTATTACCATCATCAATTTCACTTATTAATTTATGAACTTTATGAGGTTTCTGTTTTAAACCAACCAATTCTAAAGCAAACTCTAAATCATCAGCCATTATTTCACCTTCCCCTCTCTAATTTAAATAATAGATCAATTAAATATACATCGTCTAAATCATTGAAAGCTCTCTGACATTGTTCAATATCTTCTTCTTATAAATTCATATATTTAGATGCGATATTATTTAATATTAATATTTATTATAGATTCAATTCAATTTATACATTAAAAGGCAGTAAACTATTATTAGCTCATTATTATAAAATTTAGTAAATATTATTATTCATTCATTTTTATTTATTATGATAAGAAAATAATTTAATCCCAACAGTTGTAATTCAGGTGGAAAATAAACTATTGAAACATTATAAGAAAAACATTTAATAGCTCTTATCAATACAAGACCTAGAGTTGTAATCAAAACACCACATCCTCATGTTGATGCAAATAAACCATTCTCCATCAGTTTTTATTATATTAATATCAATTTTAGAAGACAAACAAGATTTCACAGAAATTAATGAAACATATCGTCGTGTTTAAGCTTTAAAATCAGGATATTCAGATTCTAAAATGCCTAAGACATTCAAAATGAAAGAAGCATTAAAAAGAAAAAATAAAGTATCATAATTTATTCAAGAACAAGTATTAGAATATAATAAATAAAAGAATCATTTCAATAACATTAAAGCACTTGAAAATAATATTTAAGAGATTACTACAAGAACTTAAAAGAATATATAAAGAATCAAATCTAATTCAAGAATGCATAGTATTGCTTCATCCATTAAAGAAAATTCAAGAATTATTAAAAGAGAATGGGAAGAAAAGTCTTCTCATCCTTTGGAATATGAATGGAAGTATATTATCTATTTTGAGTTATTTTGAGCTAAAAAAAGACCTGATTCAGCTTTTAGTAAATCAAAATAAAGTAAAGGGGACACAATTTTATCAAATATTTTTTCATTTGATTAAAGTCTTTAAAAATAATAAACTGCTTCTAAAAGAAATTAATAAGATCTTCCTTTTGATCATGCTGATATTCCTTTAACTGAAGATATTTAAGATGAAGATTTTTTTATTTATACTGATACATAAAAAAAATTGCCAAATGAAAATGCAATACAATCTCCCCATTCTGCTATTATTAATAAGAAAACATAATCTACAACTAATGTAATAATTCCATTGGTGAAACCTAATGAAAAATTGAATGATGTTAAACGCAAAATATATTAAACTTTGATGGAATATAAAGTATGTTTTAATATTATTTTTATTATTCTACTAGTTATTTTAAAGAGATTAAGTTTATTAAATAGGATTAGCATATATAAACAAAAATTAATGGCTTGATGAGAATGAAATTCTTTAAGAGTGCAATAAAATATCCAAATAATTGTACGGAGTTGAATGAATTAAAATCTTTGATATTATTATTTTTATTAAATTTGATTGTTTCATCTATATAATTTTACTTTGCATAGATGGTTAAATGGTTTAAAAGATCAGTCCTTATAGAATTTCTGTGATATTTCACTGGTTGAATAAATATGGCTCTAATTCTATTATAATATATATTTACAAATGTTAATGAAAATGTGTTATCATATTTCTTAATAAAAATTATAAAGTAAATCTTTAATTAATGGACATCGATCGTCATATAGCATCATTACTTTCAGGAGGATGTCTTCCAGAACGAGATTTGAAGCTTATTTGTGAAAGAGCAAAAGAAATCTTTTTAGAAGAGTCAAATGTATAACCAGTTAGAGCTCCAGTGAATGTTTGTGGTGATATTCATGGTATGTTATTATTAGTATTGATTTAGGACAATTCTTTGATTTATAAGCATTAATGAGAGAAGGAGGAGATATTCCAGCACATAATTATATCTTTATTGGCGATTTCGTTGACAGAGGATATAATAGTGTAGAAACTATGGAATATTTACTTTGTTTAAAAGGTATCTCATTCATATCAATAATCAATAGTTAAATATCCAGGAAATATAGTTTTATTAAGAGGAAATCATGAATCAAGACAATGCACATAAGTTTATGGATTTTATGAAGAGTTATTAAGAAAATATGGTAATAGTAGTCCTTGGAGATTATTTATGGAAGTTTTTGATTGCTTACCATTAGCAGCATTAATTGAAGGTTAAATACTTTGTGTTCATGGTGGATTATCACCAGATATGAGAACAATTGATTAAATTAGAACTATTGATAGAAAGGTTATATTAATTCAACAATATTTAGATTGAAATACCTCATGAAGGACCATTTTGTGATTTAATGTGGTCAGATCCTGAAGAAGTAGAATATTGGGCTGTAAATTCTCGAGGAGCAGGATTTCTTTTTGGTGCAAAGGTTACTAAGGAATTTTGTAGAATCAATGATTTAACATTAATATGTAGAGCCCATTAATTAGTTATGGAAGGATATAAATATTGGTTCCCTGTAATATATCTATCTATTATATTAGGATCAAAATTTAGTCACTGTATGGTCTGCTCCTAATTATTGTTATAGATGTGGAAATATAGCATCAATTTTATGCTTAGATGATTAATTGTAATCAACATGGAAAACATTCAAGGAAGTACCAGAAAGTGCTAAAAGTATTAATCCAAAAAATGTTTTACCATATTTCTTATGAAGTATTTTTTTAAATATTGATACATTTTTTATTCATAAATTTATCTAAATTCAATAATATTTTTAATACATTTCTATTTATGCTTTAAAATTATCATCATAAATTTAGTTTTTATTAAATTAGAATTGAATAATTTATGATTAATAAATAATTTATGTTTAATTTCTTATTATTCTATGTTACCTACCAATAAATAATATTTAGTGAATTTTAAAGTGTAGACTATTTTATGTAGATTTAATTGGAGTTTTTAAATAGACTTAGATTATGAATTATAAAATATGTTAAACTAAAATTAGAGCTTTAATTATTAGAAAGAATAGTTATTAATAATTCTTTAGTGATAAAATTGGATAAACGAAATTAACTAAATATAGAAATAAAAATTAAATTACTTCTAAATATTTGATTTGGAGATGATTGAAGATATTGAGAAACTGCTAGCGATTCTTAATATATAAAAAAGGATATTTGTTTATAATGGTTGATTTTTATTCTTTCTCTCCATAAATAAAATTCTACAATTTCATCTTATCTATAAATTTAAGCAAACTCTAATCAGTATGCTGTTTAATTTAAAATTTATCCATTAAATTAATCACAAAATAACAATTATATTCTGACACTGATCATAGTATATTACTCCATTAAAAACTAAGAGATTAAAATATCCAATCTTTTATACTGTAAAAGCAATATATCATGCTAGAAATTTTCTTAGTTTTATATTCGCTTGATATTCCAATTATCTATAACTCCAAATCAAAAATATCATTCATACTTCAGTACCATTTTACATTTATTTAAACTAGAATTATTAATATAGCCAGATTCTCTTTTTGATCTATTTATTAACTTATTATTTTATAAACAGAAAATTATACAACTATGATCTTTATATGATTGTTCTATTTCCTTTAAGGTTAACAAAATTAATATAAATAAATTGTTTAAAATAATATTTAATATAAACTCTTCAACTCTTTTCTCATAGGCTCTCTGGATTTATCCCCAATACTTTACAAGCTTTTTAGTAAGCTAATTCAGCTATTTCTATTTTTCTATTTGTATTTCTTATTTTGTATACCAATTCTTCTTCTTTTCTCTTTTATAATACATAAGTCATAGCCTTTTTTGCATATCAAATTATTAATACTTTTGGAATATCTTCATTTGTAGCATTGTTTACTTGTTCTAATTAAATTGCAAACTTTTTCTTTTTCTCTGTCAAAGAGGATATCTATCTTTTTACTTTTTTTATTTATTCTTATGTTTTTGCTATTTTTTTATTTTTATCATCAATCTCTTAAATCAATTTATTGCATTAATCTATTTCATTTTATAATTAATTTCTTTCTTCTATTAATATTGATGATATCTTTCCTGTTGCTATTTTTAAACCTAATAACTTTTTATTTTTTTCATCTATTTATTTAACATATTTTTTATTTTCTATTTACAATTAATGAAAATCTATAAATTTTAAATCATCACCCATCTCTTCTTTCTTTTATATTTGATTACTAGTTTTTGTTATCTATTATTCAATATTTGCTTTCTTTTATTTATATTTTTCTATTTATGCATCCTAAATATCTAAATATATTACCTTCTAAGCCAATTTTTCTTTGAAATATTTTTCTATTCTTTCAGCTTCAATTTTTCCTGTTCTAGTATTTTCCCCTGCAAATAATATTTCTCTTTAAAAATCAAAAGCATCCTTTCTAATTTCAGTAATTGCCTTATCAGTTTCCTCTAATATTGCCTTTATTTATTATTATTTTAATTACTCTCAAAGTTTCTAATATTTAATCTGATCTAATTCTTCCCTCTTCAATATTCTTTTTTAAAGTATCGCTCTCAAATTAAGCTATCTCATACTTCTCTTCATTTGTCAATTACATTGCCTAATTATTATAATACTTAAATCAACCTTTTTATCTATTGTCTTATCCTTTTTCTTTGTTTTTTATTTCTTATCTTCTGCTTCTTCTTCTCTTTATAAATCTTTTGAGTTTCTCATTATATAAGATTCAAATAACAAATTCTCTCTTCTTATCTATTCCATATCCTTATATAGACCTTCTAATTTTTATGATAATTCTTCTATCTAAATAAGTTCCTTCTCTTCTTCAGTTATTCCTTATTATTATTCTTATATCATGTAAATTTATATTATTATATTACAAATTAACGATGAAGAAGAATAGTCCTAACATTTCATAAGTTGCATCAGATTTAATTCTAGCATATCAATAGTTAACAACTCAACAAAAAGAAATTATCATATCCCCAAGATATGAAAAAACAGCATTATATTTTCCACAATCACGTATATATATGATTATGTAAATGCCACAGCTATAGAAGAGAAAATAGAAGAAGAAAATTAAATTGATAGTCCTCGTAAAATTACTATTACAGAAGAAGAAGATGATTACCTTACAGAAATTTCTGAACTTAGAAAAATTGTAGATTAAAGTATTATATTTTAATAAAACAGTGAGAATGAAATACATGAACATACCATAAAAATATTTGCAATAACCCTTATAAACTAATGATTAAAATACTATCCGTTCACCATAGCACAAAAAATCAAAAAAATAGGTAGTCATTACATAATACTAAACCGATTTTTTAAGGCAATAATATGGAAAACTTAAGTGAGTGTTTATAATTTATCATCCCTTTTTGTTTCTTTATATTCCAATTTTTAATACAATATATATTCATATATAACTCAAATTTGTTTCTCATAATAGTTAAACCCATCATCTTATCTATATATTTCAAATTTACTACCTTTTCCCTTCTATTTTTATAAAATTTGAAGAATTTTCAAATTACTGTATGAAAAAAGGTATTTTCATAGAATTATTTCAAACTAAAGGGGATCTTTTAATATCCTAAATTAAGCAATTAAAATTAATTTGTTAAGTTTAATATAGTTTATCAATAGGGATTATAATATTAATATATTTTTAAACCTTATTTAAACAAATTATTCTTTTTTTTATAATTGGATGTAATATAGTGCTAAAGTGTAAATTTCTGCCTAAGAATTATGAAGAATAAAATTTCTAATTCATATAGTTATTTATTGTATTCTGAATTTATTAATGGAAGATGATCAATGAGAGAATAATATCTTAGATTTATATACTTTACAAAATTCTATTCAAATTAATCAGCTTTTTGAAATTTAGCATGTTTTAATCTTTGTTAATAGAATCCCATCCTGGAAGAATAATTTATTTGATTTTAATTATATGAAAAATTTAATTATTTAGTTTTCATAATCATTAGAAATATGTGTTTTTCTGGTTTTATTTCTAAAATTGCTTTAACATTTTTACTATAATTTTTCGAATAACTTATTTATAGTAAAAAATATAGGCGATAATAGAATTATAATTCTAAAAAGAAAAGTCATTCCTTTAGGTAAGGGAGAAGAAAATTTTGGATTTTAGTATAATTATTGAAAACTATTCGATATATGAAAAAGAATTTCAGATTCTCTGAAAAATAATTATTTAAAGAATTATTTTTTGGATTTTAATTAAAAAATTTAATTGAAATAAAAATAAAGAATATTGATGAATATCAAATGTTGCATAATTTTATTATTGATTTTCATTTAATTAACTTGTTATGTTTATCATATTGCTTTTTAATCTATTGGAAGCTTATTTTAATTTACTAAAATTTTTAATAAAAATTCTAAAAGAATAAAACTAAATATATTCTTTGTTTTTAAAATGCTTCATTAATATGATCTTTTTGATTGATAAAGGAATATTAAAAATTATTAATTGAGTTTTATCATGAGTTATAAATTATTGTTTTTGTTAGAGGAATTTTATCATAATTTTTGTGATAACTTAATGCAAAACACAGTTTATTTGAGAGGAATTAATGAATAGTTAGTTTGATTTATCTGAATGTAAAAAAATATTTGAGTAATTAAAAAAATATTTTTTGGAATTACGAATAATGATTGATGAATTAACTATTAAAATTGTTCAAATCCTGTATTTATAAGGAATTAAAACAATATTTTGAATGACAATAATAAATATAAGTAATGACTTAAGACACAAACAAAAGTGGAAATACAAACCCGAATCAAACTTTCAATTTCAAGGAAGTAGCAAATAAGGCTTTAAGATCAGGATTATCAGGAAGCATGGCTATGGCAATTTAAGTGTGTTCTTTGATGTGGCTTAGAACGACGATGAATTACCAATATCGTTATGGAGGTACAATAATTGGGACAATCAAACATTTATATGGATAAGGTGGAGTGCTTAGATTTTATAAAGGTAAAAATTAATTTTAAATGTAGGGTTGGCACCAGCATTATTATAAGGACCTTTATCTCGATTTGGAGATACCTTTGCTAATACTCTTTTCTTAACCTTAATGGATTCTTTTGAATCAACAAGAAAATTGCCAGTGATGATTAGAGCAGCAGGAGGATCAGTTATGGCTGGTATTTTTAGAATAGCCTTAACTCCAATTGACACTGTGAAAACAATTCTTTAAGTTGAAGGTAAAAATGGATTAACGATACTATAATCAAAAATTAAAGCAAAAGGAGTGCCTGTTCTTTATCATGGTGCTTTAGCTACAGCGTCAGCTACAATTGTAGGACATTATCCATGGTATCATTTTTAACTTAACTTTAGGTTTGCAACTTTCAATCTTCTAAATGAAAAACTCCCTGATTATACAGATAAAAAAAAAAAATTAGCAAGAAGAGCCTTTATAGGATTTTGTAGTTCAGTCATTTCTGACACTATCTCTAATTCTCTTAGAGTTATAAAAACTACTAAACAAACTAGTCAAAATCCTATAACATATTAAGAAGCTGTTAATTTAGTACTAGAAAAAGATGGTGTAAAAGGACTATTTGGAAGAGGTTTAAAAACTAGAATTCTAACTAATGGTTTATAAGGATTACTTTTTAGTATTCTTTGGAAAGGATTTGAAGATTATCTTAATAAAAGATCATCTTAATAATGATAATATATTTATTTTTTTCACAATAATTATCAATCTTAGAAAAAAATTGAAAATTTATACAAGCATGTTATAATACATACTTATATTATGAATTAATTTTATTATAAATGTTTCATCAATTTGTAAAACATAATTAATAGATTATATCATTCAGATTTAAATAAGAATTTCATTTAAATATTTTGAAAACTAAAAGCTGTGTAACCCTCGATTACCTAATCAAATTTAAAATTAGGATCAATAAAAAAAGTTTATTTTTGATGGTTATTTACTTAATTTAATTTTTCATTTTGTTTTTTAACTTTATATTCACCCTATTCTGTTAAATCAAGAACTTAATAAGATCACCAACTTAAATAAATCTTCCTTGTTCTAAATAACATTTTAATCAATCTCTTGATGTATTTATTTTATATAAATCTAATAATCTAATATCAAACAAATCTTGCCAAAGAATTGCATCTATGATGGTAGTCTTTTATGATACAGGTTTGGTAACATAATAATTATTTAAATAATAAATTTCTAAACACAAATGAATTTGTTTATCTTTTATTGAGTAAGAAGATAATTTTTGTCTATGCTTTTTAATTATTTTGGTGCTAACATTCATCTACTTGTGGAATTTTTTTGTATTTCATTGCATCTGGTAAAACAGTGATTCCAACTAGGTTTTATTATATCATCTCTGTATTCAGAATCCTTCTTTTAACATAATTATAATTCCTTTATATTAAAAGTTAATTAATATTATTTGGTTATTTAGTTGGATCTTATATTTTTTGCAACAATCTAATGAACTTGTCTTATTTTCTCATTATGGGCATTTATACTTATCTGGTTTTCCATCCTATTACATAATTCTAAAATTTCTATTCTTTCATCATTAATTATAATAATGTAATTAAATAAGTATCGATATAAATTAAAAGCATCAATCTTTGGAACTCAATTCTCTTATATAAGTAACCTATTCTTTTTGAGTTCCCTTTTTAGCTAAATCAACTCTAATTTTTCTTTCTTTTATAATTCTTTATTTCCCTAATGCCAATTAGGTCCTTATTTATGCAATAAGACTCCCCTTAAATATTGTTCTTTCTTTTTTAGCACTTGCTTTACTTATATTTCAACTTTTCTTTTATTGAATATTTTTCTCTTCCAAGCCCTTCCCTAAACCTTTTTTGCTTTACTTGCCTTACCGATATTGAGTCTTTTTGTTTAATACCTAGTTTTCCCACTTTTTACTAACCATGATGGCCCCATTTTACCCATATTTTTTAGATATTAAATAAATAATAAATTCTTTAATAAGAGTCTATGATTTATTTATGCAATACTTGAAAATTTCTGTTTAATTTTAGTTGATAAAATTATTATTTTGTAAATTTTGTTGTCAAAATTCATTGATGAAATCATTAAACTTAGAAATTAATAAAAATACTAAAACTCTTCAGTTTAAGTTTTGAAAATAATCAAGATTATTTATTAGATTTATGATAATGTACATAATAGAAAACAACAAAAAAGTATACATAAGAAATTTGAGTAAAGTTAAAATTATATATGAAAAAATCCTAATTAGATTTCAATGCTTTAAATTGAATAGGATTTTATATATTCTGAAAATAACACGCAAACAGCATCTTAAGAGCTAATAGGAACTTAAAAATCTAATTTTTGTTAAAGGTTTGTGATATTCTGTATCTTAGTTTTTATATTTATAATGTAATTGATAAAATGAAGATATATACATATATCTTCTAATAATAACAGTAAACTATAAATTCATTTACATATTCAAAAGTTGAAAAAAATGAATGCAGAATGCAAAAAATGAAAAGGCAGCTTTACTACAAAAATACAAATCCAAGAAATTTCCTTATAAAAAACTAAATAAAGGAAAGAAAATCTTAGAAAAATACCTTAAATTAGCCTTAAAATGAAATGTAGTTTAAAAGTTTTAAAAATCAATTGAATAAAATGAAAATGAAAAACAATAAAAAACTATAAATACATTAAATTTAGACAATAAACTTTTAGAAAATAAATTATAAGAAAAAGAATATAAAATAAAAGCAATATTTAAAAATAATGAAAAAGAAATGGAGAGATTATCAAATAGAATTTTTGAGTTAGAAAACTTGCTAAATAACAAGAAAATTACAATTTCTAAAATCAATTTTAATTAAATTAATGATTTGAAGATGAAAGAATGCATATAAATCCAAAAAGAAATTAAAGTTCTTAACATCACACACCAAAAATTAGAAAAACTTAATAACTATAATAAATATCAAACAATAAGTTGAAGAGCATTCATAGCAAAAGATTAAACAGAGATTGGTGATTTTTTGAATAAAATTAATCCAAATCTAGAGAAATAAATAAAGTAAATCTAAAATAAGCTATATAATACAAAAACGAATAATTAAAATGACAGAATAATAAAGCTCTTTTATCAGAAAATCAATTCAAAAAATAAATCATGCAATAAATAGTCAATATGTTAGAGATCACACAATTATTCAATATCTGTAAATGAGACAGGATTTTATGAATAAAGATCTAATTGGGAAGATTAAGTAGAATATAAGACAAATTAGACAAATCAAACTAATCAATCTTTAATATTTAATGGTTTTCGATATTCTTGAATTAATACTTAATGTCATAATAAAATCAATTCATTATTCAAGAAGTTTGTTGTTTGAATTGTTACTATTCTATTCAACATTTAATTCATTTGATATTAATTGCTTTTTATTGTCTTTTTATTGACTCTTTTGAGTTTCTTAATATCCCTAGATTATTTGAATATAGGGTACCCTTTAACAGTTTCACAAGATTTCATTATTTAATTGCAATAAAGTGTTGGAATAGTACTAATTATTTAAGGAAATCTTTCCTCAGTTGAGATTTAAGTTAATTCTGTTCTAGTGGTTTAATGTTTATTTATTTTTGGAAGATGATCTTCATCATTATCCAAATCCAAAAAGTGTTTTAAGAATTTTTCAGTTTATATTACACTCTTCTTATCAACTTTATTAAATTCATATCCATATCCAAGTAAATCAAAATTACGATTTACTGCATCTTATAATTCATTTTGTCTAGCTTTCATACCCGACTCTCTTATTATTAATCTATTACTTTATTTGGCTCCATATCTTAAAGTTATTAATACAATAAATTACTTTGGGTTATCAGAGACTTTTTTGATTATTAAGAATTTCTCTAATTACTTTATTTTTTATTCGTAATTCATAAAAATATTATGCTTTAGACAGGTACAAAATTATCACTATATGCATTGAAATTAATCTAACAAACTAATTATTCTGCTCTATCATCTTTACAAAAAACTTACAATAAGTTTAAGTTAATCAAGAATACTTTAGGTGAAATATTTAAGACAGCTCCATAGATATGTTCTAATATTTTAAAAGAGTTTAATTTCATACAAGTTTAAATATTTGATTTATTATCTGTTATAATTGAGCAAAACCGAATTAATAGGATAAATTATTGATATTTTAATAAATTATGAAGCAGAATCTTTTTTATTTAAAACTCTTTGCAATAATAAAAAAAATGATATATCAATGAAAATCTTAATTTTCACTTTAGTGATTTTGTTTTCATCATAAATAACATTCTAGATTTCAGATATTTGTCGTTGTGAAGAAGCGATAAATGAACTGGATTGTTATAATAAAAGCAAATAAATTTGAGTAATTAGTGCAATTGAGACTATCCTTAAGTTTGTGATTGGGCCTAAGGAAAAATGCATTGAATTAACTTTTGAATAAAGATGAGGATAAATTATTAGGGTATTTGTTATACATAGTTGGACATCTTGGTTATGATAAACAAAAATTATTTCATTTAAAAAAAAATTTAATTACATAAATTTTTTAGTTTTTTTATCTTAAGCAAAATATGAAAACTTTCAAAAGATTATTATAATAGGATAAGCTGCATATGGGTAGATAAAAAGTGCATCAGCGAGACATCTTAATTCAATTTAAAATCTTAGGAATGCTGAAATGATCTCGTGAGTTGAACAAATTTAACAAATACTCTATATTTAAAACTTGCTCCAATTATACATAACAGAATGAGAAGAACAAAGAATGTACAGATGACTCAACAAATTAAAATTCTTCAAATAATTCAAGTGAAACAAATAGCACAGATGGCTTTAAAAATTAAAATTCTTCTTGATCCTTCAACTTCAAAATCAAATTATCTTGAAATGGTTAATTCATTTCTAGCAAGTTTTATTGGATTATATTTTTTTTGATGATTAAAAATATGATATGAAACTTAAAAATAAAAAAAGTGATTTCTTTTTATAATCAAGATCTAATTTATATTTGAATTGTATTTTATCAAGTGTCAATATTAACTAATCAGAATCGAATCTGGTGTCTAAAATTTTTAAAGCTCTTAAATATTTTATAGAAAAAAGTCTTTTTTGTCAATTTTTAATTATAAATTAAATGAAGAGAGGTTAGTAATAAAGTTTGAACAAATCGCAGAACAATATCTAACTGAATAATTCAAATAATGATTAATTGTAGGAGAACTTAGAAAGATTGAGTAATTTGATGATAAAGTAACCGTCTCAAACTAAAATAGTACATGTATAAATGCATAGCTACTTGAGATCACCTTCTGCTCATCTTTCTATGCAAGCTAGAGAGAGTCCTGCTTAAAAACTTAAATCAATAGGTTAAATAGATTTTGAAAAGAGTAATGATAGGATTGTATTGTAGTATAAAGAAAATTTGAGAAAATCTTTACTAAATGTTACAAATCATTATTTAGAAAATTCAAATTTTAATTAAAGCCAAAAACCAAGGAATTATAATGGTTGGATAGGATTAAGTGTGATTGAAAAGAAGAAAATCTTTATGGAAGAAAAAGAGAAAAAGCTGAAAAGATTGAAAGAATAGAAAGATGAAAATGAAATCAGTTAATGCACTTTTCGCCTGCCATTTTTAATTAAATCAGAATAGAGAGAAAAAATACATGTTAAGTGAATAAATCCTATTTAGATATCCATTAATAAAATTAAACTCATACTTCAAGATTATATTGATAATATTTAGTATTGTTTTATATTTGATATATATACCAAATAATATAATATGTAGAATAAATCAGCCGCTTGTTTTATGCAAAAGCCAGATAAATAGTTTTACTATAATTTACTTAGGTAAGAACAATTAATACAAACAAAGCCGGAAATTGATATTGTAAATCAAGCTGTTCAGATGTACAGGTAATAAATATTTAGTATTACTAGAAAATGTGTTGAGTATTTTGATAGTTTGTAAGATCCAATCAAATATTATTTCTTAGAGAAAATATAAACAGCTTTGAGTGAAACAAAAACATTGATGCTAATAATTAATACAAAAAATGAAATAACAGAAGAATAAATCAGGAAATCTGCTAAGATTAGTTTCGCTGCTGAAAAAAAGATTAATGAGATAGATTAAATTCAAGTGAAAAAAGCAAGAGCTTAACAGGTGAATTTAATGATTAAAATGAATAATGAAGTTGAATAATAAAGTGTAAATGTAAAGCAAATATTGATATAAAAGGTTTAAAATATGGTTAATAATTATGCAGATGAAANTTGTATTTTATCAAGTGTCAATATTAACTAATCAGAATCGAATCTGGTGTCTAAAATTTTTAAAGCTCTTAAATATTTTATAGAAAAAAGTCTTTTTTGTCAATTTTTAATTATAAATTAAATGAAGAGAGGTTAGTAATAAAGTTTGAACAAATCGCAGAACAATATCTAACTGAATAATTCAAATAATGATTAATTGTAGGAGAACTTAGAAAGATTGAGTAATTTGATGATAAAGTAACCGTCTCAAACTAAAATAGTACATGTATAAATGCATAGCTACTTGAGATCACCTTCTGCTCATCTTTCTATGCAAGCTAGAGAGAGTCCTGCTTAAAAACTTAAATCAATAGGTTAAATAGATTTTGAAAAGAGTAATGATAGGATTGTATTGTAGTATAAAGAAAATTTGAGAAAATCTTTACTAAATGTTACAAATCATTATTTAGAAAATTCAAATTTTAATTAAAGCCAAAAACCAAGGAATTATAATGGTTGGATAGGATTAAGTGTGATTGAAAAGAAGAAAATCTTTATGGAAGAAAAAGAGAAAAAGCTGAAAAGATTGAAAGAATAGAAAGATGAAAATGAAATCAGTTAATGCACTTTTCGCCTGCCATTTTTAATTAAATCAGAATAGAGAGAAAAAATACATGTTAAGTGAATAAATCCTATTTAGATATCCATTAATAAAATTAAACTCATACTTCAAGATTATATTGATAATATTTAGTATTGTTTTATATTTGATATATATACCAAATAATATAATATGTAGAATAAATCAGCCGCTTGTTTTATGCAAAAGCCAGATAAATAGTTTTACTATAATTTACTTAGGTAAGAACAATTAATACAAACAAAGCCGGAAATTGATATTGTAAATCAAGCTGTTCAGATGTACAGGTAATAAATATTTAGTATTACTAGAAAATGTGTTGAGTATTTTGATAGTTTGTAAGATCCAATCAAATATTATTTCTTAGAGAAAATATAAACAGCTTTGAGTGAAACAAAAACATTGATGCTAATAATTAATACAAAAAATGAAATAACAGAAGAATAAATCAGGAAATCTGCTAAGATTAGTTTCGCTGCTGAAAAAAAGATTAATGAGATAGATTAAATTCAAGTGAAAAAAGCAAGAGCTTAACAGGTGAATTTAATGATTAAAATGAATAATGAAGTTGAATAATAAAGTGTAAATGTAAAGCAAATATTGATATAAAAGGTTTAAAATATGGTTAATAATTATGCAGATGAAAGGGAGAATTTAGAAAAAAAATTAAAGCAAGATTTGGATAGCCAATAAAATAATATAGATGCAAGATTAATGAAAAGAAGAATGACGCAGAGGAATATGACTGTAAGCCATTCAATGTAATAATTAACTTGACTATATTATTTCTAATTAAATATATGTACAAAAAAATTAATAATTATTGTGGTTATTATTATTATTATTATTATTTTCTATCTACTCCTACTCTTAGCATTTCTAATTATTTTTTTTTTCATTTTTTTTGTCATTACTTGTGGTTCTTAAGCAGCTTCTTCTTTGATGGGACCAATGATTAATTTTTTTTAATTTTGCATAAAAGAATCATGAGGTTATATTCATTCTAAATTTAGATTTAATCATGCTTGCTAAATTTTTTTCAATTTACAAGCCTGTATCAAATAATTTTACATGTCTATTATTTAAAGCATATTATACTCACAGAACAAGTTGAATAAACAATAATTCCACCTTTTTTACAACAATCTATATATAGCTGATAATAATAATTCTTTTTACAAATGAGAATGTTTCATTTTTTTTTATGCTTTAATAGATGAGCTTTTTCTCTATCTTTGCTAGTATTATTAGCGAATATAACTCCTGAGTTTTTCATCAATTATATCAATTATGCAAAATAGGTTGTTTCGCCTTCTGAGGCAGCTGCAACTGAATCTAAATTTACTCATCTTTAAACCACTGTTTATGCTAATTTCTTTCTTCTAGTTCTTAAAGTTACCTCTAATAGTGATTGGCCTTGGAATTCATTCGCATCTAAGAATGCTACCAATTCTGCTGGTTTAAGCATAAATGAAAAATGAGACAATCAAATCTGAATTGTATCCATAATATATGCAAAGATGCTTTTTCAATTCATTTAATAGTAATCTTTCTACTTGAGGGCTTCTCTAATCTGGTTCATTGCAGCATTAAGATCTGTTTGAATAACTAATCATATAGATCATCCTATTACTAGTGTGATTTCAACTATTCTTCTTATTAATCCTCTTCTATTTTCTATTATTTATATTTCTTCATCATTTTATTCCTCAGACTTTATCTTTTGATATGAAAATAAATTTACATCTTTATCGTTAGTTATTAAGCATATTATTGAGCTAATTCTAAAGTTTGTTTAGAGAATTATGCCTTGTTGTTCATCGCAAATTAATTATTATTAATTATTTGTAATAAATACCTTTTTTAAAGGTTCCATTAAACCTATATGATTTATTCTAAATGCCCTTGTTTTTATTCTTTTTTTAATAATTTCAAGAAACCAAAACCGGATAGGTCATCATCCTTTTAAGGCTTTACATGTTTGAGGTATATTTACTTTAGCTTGAAAATCTTTTTCACTTTCTTTTTTCATTTACTCTAAAGTTTTACATGATTTTATACATTATTTCTTTTATTCTCAACATCAATAAAAGCATTAATGTCTTTTCAATTCTTTAATTTTTTATTTATCATAATCCACACTGGTTTGATTATATTATGCTAAACTGAATTCATTTTATTAATTATAAATAAAATTCAAATAAATGTTAAAAAATACACCCTCCAAAGTAACTCTAAATTATCAAGAAACCCAAGAGGAGACGGATCATGAAGGATTCACTCTAATTTATGAATAAGAAATAGTGTGTTAAATTGTAGTAGATGATGGAGAGTAATAGTAAACACAAGAAACTCTGAATGTGAGGGTATTAATTTTGGGTAGTGAACAAACCCTTGATAAAATGAAAATTGAATTAAGTTGCGAAAATGATTTGTTCTTTCATTTTATTCATGAGTAGTGTCTTGTAGTATAATTAGCGTGACTGAAGAAACTTTTCAGCAGATAAAAGAAGGATAGTAATTAACAGCCTCTTTTATTGATTATCCTGCTATCTGTGTAAAATGTCTCGACAAAGCTCACAAAGACCCTAATAAGTACAGTGCTGTATTAAGAATCACTTAAGATGGTGATGCTGTTATAGAAATAATACAACACACTGAATACAAAAATGTAGAATTGATCTAATTCTAATTTGTCTCTTTACCTGAAGAATCTATTCGTATGGCCATCACTAAAAAATATTAGAAAGTTAAATAAAAGCTCCAATAAATGGAAAATAAATTAAAAGATGTATTCATTTGCAAGCGATTATTCTTTAGATTAATGATGTTGTTAAAGTTAAAAACCCTCAACTGCTATTACAAATGCAAAGAATGAACAGATGAAATACATTACAAAATGACGATTCATACCATTATTATAATTTATAATAGTAAATTAAAAATAGCTCATAAACTTTAAGGCTCTTAAAACTGTTTCTGCATCCATAAACAACAATCCTACAGCTATTTCTGAAAAAATTAGATCTTATATTTGCAGTAAACCTCGCAGAAGATCAAAATTGAAAAACATCTCCTAGAAAACTAAATCTACCCAATCAATATTAGATTAATGTTTATGTCTCTTAAAGTTTAATTATGGAGATGGGCTATAATTTGATAAAGAACACTACTTAGAACAAACAATTATATTTATATGTTAAACTTAATATTATTTAATCGTTTTAATTTTTTTTTTAAATTTTACTTCACTACTTTTAATTCCATTTATCTTATTAGATCATCGTATAAGGCTTTATATTAAAATCTTTCATTCATCGATATTATTGCTTTAAATAAATCAATCTTCTCTTCCTTATACAATTTTAATTTGGTTGCTTAATAGGCTCAATTTACTTATAACATATTAAATAAATCTTTCAGCAAGTTCTAAAAACTTTAAAGTTTCTATTTTAAAAAATTTTTCAGTGAACAAAATTAAAGAAATGAATAACTTTCTAATTTATTATTGGTACAAAAAAAGCATTTTGAAATTTAACTAATAATATTAAAATGTAGAATGTTAAATTATATAAAAAAAAGAGTTTGAAATTCCTCCTAAAAAAGGAATTACTCAAACAGGGAATAAATAAAAATAAATTACGTGTCAAATGTCTTGAACTATATTGGAATGTCAATTTAAAATCTATATTACTATAATATATATTTGTCAGAATCAATACATATTTAATCCTATAAAAATTGCAATGTAGGAATTTAAGAATCCAAAATTTGTCTATGTTAGATCTGTAGAATTTAAATTGTTTAATTCTTATCATCTGTGCTATTTGTCTAATTCTTATCATCTGTGCTATTTGTCTAAATTGAATTAGATTTACATCTTTAGCATTCTCCTTTTTCATTTAAAAAAAATAAAAAACGAAAAAATGAATACTACTACTCTTTACATTATTATTGAAATTCTTCTTCAGTAGACTCATAGCAATAACCATTTTTCCAAGTGCATAAAGTTGTTGAAAAGATATTTCCAATTGTTGTACATGTTTCTATCGATATTTGATCAGAGCATTTTTATATTTAACATTAATTATCTTCATAAATGCAATACCCTGAAGCCTTGCACACTTTTTCATATTTGTTATACTTGCTACATTCTAAGCCCGTCTCAATAAGGTCGCAAGATCCATCAATTGACCAATTACAATAAAAATATCTTTCATCTGATAGTTCATACCCTGAAACTTTCTCGCATTCTTTCTAAGTTGTAAGCTTTTTGCAATTGTATTCTTCACAAATATTTGTTGAATTAGATTTCATACATTGAGAAGGGCATTAAGTATGATCACCCTCTAAGATGCCATAACGATAATCAGAGCAAGTTGTAGTTGTAGGGGCTGTGCATTTCTTAAATGCATTCCTATAGCAACCCATAACATCATCAATGCAACTTTTTGATGTCTCACAAGTAATTTTTTTAGTGATGCACTTGTTATCTGACCATGTGCAACGTATCCCATTATCGAAGTCAAGATGAAATTCCAATTCTTCACAATCAGTCTTAGTTGTTAATTAGGCGCACATTTATTCATAACTTAAATGAATGCACTTTCCTTAGTTCCATTCACAATAATCAAGTCTTCTAAATTCTTTACAAAGATCTTCATTTTTAGCATATTCACAACCACAATAACCTACACTTTTGAATGATACTTATGATGTGCACAGAATAACAAGAGCGAAAATAAATATTTTCATTTTAATTTAATATGTTATTCAATTTTTTAGATTAGCATTTAAATAAAAAATATTCTACTTATTAATTTTATGAACAATATTAATGGTATTTAAAAAAAAGGGGTTGGCTGGGCACCTACCTCTATATGCCCACTAGTAGGTTTAATTCAGCAGTCACATTATGTTGAATTCTCTGGGTTTTGGGTTTGGGTTTGGGTTTGGGTTTGGGGTTGGGTTTGGGGTTGGGTT